CTCTTTGCCCCTCTATTACTTTGGTCTCTGTTGTCGGCCGACAAGACGCCGCATGAATATGGAAGGAGGGAGTTGTGTTGGGTGCTCATCACATCTCATCTACACTAGAATGGTCGGCTTGCTGCGCGCCAGGACGAACAAAGCATCATGGCGTAGGTGTTGGCGGCGTTTCCCGGGCCGTAGGATGGTATACCTTGTCACCGGTCTACTGGCTTGGCAACATGATAGGGAGAGAAGGAGGGGATCCAGTACCAGGCAGAGACGACGAGAGTCTGAGGAAAAGACACGACACGATATCTATGTCAAAGACATGACGAGCAAGGCACAAAAGGGGTGGGGGGAGAGAAAGACGTTGCGGGTCCGAGAGGTGCAGATCCGCGCGCACGCGCAGACGCGCATGGACGGGGATGAGGATGAGGGAGGAGTGGACGAAGACCCATGATGAAGGAAGAAGAAAAACAAAAGACAGGGGAGGGAAGGGGGGTTTCTTCGGAAGGGAGAGGAAAGGCGAGGGCGAGGGCGTACCACAGTCACCTGGTTTTTTCTTCCTTATTTGCTTCTTCTTCTTATTCTTCTTCCTCTTCTTTCCTTTCTGGGGAGATTGGAGGAAATGCACGCACAGTGCCATTCTCGGCGAACCTGAGAAAAGAGTGCCCCCCTCCTTTTTTTTTCTTTTTTTTCTTTCTCGCCCTCTTTTCGAACCAGAGACGGAATTCCCTCACTTGACCCTTTTCTTGCCGCTCGCATCTCAATCTGGTTCCAGGGGAAGGTAGCACGCAGCCAATCCCAGCCATCCATCCGTAGTTGCTCACACAGAAAAGTATGTATAAAAGCAACCAAGGCTATAGCCCAAAAGACCCGAGAGACCTTCCTGCAGAGCCACACAAAACGGAAAAGGTGTGATGCAAAAATAACCCGGGTTGGCCCTTTCCGATCATGCCGTGAGAAAAGGAGGGGCGCTGAGAAAAGTGACTGCTCAGGTCGCACGGCGCAAGTTGGATGTTATTGATAGTCGCCGTCGCCGTCGGGAGGGCTCAGCTTCGTCCCAGGGTTTGTCGACCCAGCGGCCGCCAACCAGTATTCCGGGCTCACGTTGCACGGAAAAGGGAAGATGGTCGTGGCGCGTCAGGCGGGGGAGGGGGGGGCGGGGATGAAAAGGGGAGGGAGGGAGGGGGCGATAGCTGAGTCCGGTAAAATTGTGACCCGTGACATGTGCACCCAAGATGGTAGTTATAGGAAGGGGGGCGGACGTCGGCAATACATTCAAATATTAGTAGTCCGCACCAACCCGTCTGGATAGGGACTCGTCGGTATGAAGGCCCCCTCCCCCCCCCCTCCCGGGGGCAACGCGCTCCATGCTTTTTCAAATGGCAAACCCTCGCAAGAGTATAATTAGCCTTCTAGAAGCATTCTCCGACGAAACACATCAACTCTAGTATTGATGAATGGAGCTAATTGGTAGGTCACATCGCAGACGACAGACGATGCCGCTGCTCGTCACCCAACAAATAAGGGGGAGGGGTGCTTCGTGGAGTGAATATGTTCGGCATTGCAGTATCATAGTCATGACATGCCGTCTTCCGTCAATATGTACAGGGATTGTAAAAGGAACGGCTGGCAAACGACAAAGGGTACTACCTATTGTGCCCCAGCCTCCCATCCTAGGGGAACCCGAGAACGCGGTTCTGCTTAAGAGGAAGGTGAACATGCCGACCGGGGTTCCCTGCTGGCGGAGCTGAATGCGACTCCCCCTCATCGGCCGCCAACTCATAGGTAATCCCCCTCATCCTCCCCCTTCCTTGCAAGGGTTGAAGTAAATCCCATTGAAAAAAGAGAGGAGCTCGCTCAATTTTCCTCTCATATCGGGTAAAAGAAAAAATACTGTGGAATATCCGCAGATGCGTGGTCCGCACTAGTGCAGACGACAACGGGGTCAACGGCCGCAAGTTGCGAAGCTGAGCTTGTCATTGGAGGCGCCATCCTGTTCGAGCTTATCCAAGTTGAGTCGTCGGGGTCCATTACACATGGCATCATGTTAAGGAAAGATGGGTTGGATGATCCCCCTCTGACGTGCATCATCTCTAACAGGCTAATTTCTTGCCTCGCTCCCTGGCGCGGAGCATGGTGTTGCGCCGGCGCCTCCAAGATATGTTACGAACCTTCTAGGTTTTCGGTCATCGTGCGTAGGGGCAAGACTTCGTTATAGATACCGAGATATGAATCACGACTTCTGCTCCGAGCCTCTATTCCGAGGCTGCTTGGCTCGTGGCCACGGCACTCACTGGGCAGGTCATGTTCACCTTTTCCCAGCTGCTGCCTGTTACGCAGCATTGCACCGCCGTCATGCCTGAGCAGTCGCTTTCCGGGCCACCTGACCTGTGGTAATTTAGAGCTAGAGATACTCCCGGGCCCCCTACCCGCCATTGGGATAACCTCCGGACAGCCCGTAATTTCGGCTGACCACTGCGAGCTGCCCAGCGGATATACGCCTGCGGCTTTTGGTGAGACTGTGGCTGGCTTAGCAAAGTTGTGTGTAAACAAGATGCCGGCCAATCTCCTTGTGTGTGTCCCTTGTTCTGACGTCGAGGGATGGTTAGGGTGGAGGGTCATGACATCCCGGGCCAGGCGTTTGGCAGCCAGGCAGGCCGAAGCCGGCATGCCGTCGTCTCATGGTGTCTCCCGTCGCTTTTTCTACCCGTCCGCCATGCAATGCATCTGAACCCATTGGTACAAGGTTGCAGGCTGCAGCGAGTACGTGGCGGCCGTGGACAGGCGTGACGCTCCCAAGCACCAGGGTGCGGTTTTCAGAGACAAGGAAGCGCTGTCGACCTTCGCCCCTCGGTTCCCAAATAGCTGGAACCAGGAGATTTTTGTGGCTCGCGTCATCGCGCCCTCTCCCGAAACCCCACTATCCGAGCCAGCAGCAGCCCGGTCGAGCCAGCCAGGCCATCTCCCTGTCATGTCAGTACCTAGTTGCAAAGCGGCCAGTCGAGGGTTCGTTGTAGAAATGGGCCAGCGCCTATGTCTTTCTTCCGACTCTTATCAAACCATTTCAGCTCGGGAATCCTGCTTGGCTGACTTTCTTGGAGTTTGGCTAGCAAAAAGCTGCAACCGGTCTGTCGAGTAGGCAAGCACGAGGCGGGGCGAAACCCTGGGAGTCGCAAGGACTGAGGTAATTAAAACTTCATCAGCACGCACCCGAATACGCCAACGTGTCAAGAGCCAGAGCTATGCAACCTACCTATATTTTGCCGGGCTTGACTGTTCTGTGCATATTGTGCCACCATCCGACCAAATTGTTGCCGCCTAACAGCGTCTCTGGGGTGGTGTGTAGTGGCTGAAAGTTACAGACCGCAGGCGTTGGTGCTTAGCAAAGTAAAAATCGATGTTCCCGCTCACGTTATCTTTCTCCCTCTAACTATCCGTACTGTCGTGAGATTTGGGTCTGATGCCGGTCTCACCACGCTGGCAGGACCGCAGGTCTTTGTCAAGTTGTGTGCGAGCATCAGACCATTGACTCCGCCTCCGATCGTCGTTGGCCGCATATATGGCCCCGGCCTACTCAGTCAGTACCAGACAAGTCAAGCAGCATAGGGTTAACCACCATGCTTGTCGTACGAGGTCGCTGAGCGGCGTCCAAGTTGTGATCGTTTCGCGCTTTGTGGGTCAGCATCCTCCCCCCCCCCCCCCCCTTGCATTAAGAGCCAAGTCACCGGCAACCCCAAGTCCATGTTCTTGGGTGTGCTCAGTAAGTACAGGCAACAGGCTGTCGCGAAGAGAGGCGCGTGTCATCTAGAGACCTGTCGGGACCTGTGCAACAGCCCTCTAGTTCAGGCTTACTTTCCTTCTCCTATGATTGCACCAAGCTCAAGCCAACGACCGGATCCTTGGGACATGGAAACCGTCGGAATTCGGTTATAGCTCCGCGTGCGACAAGTGTGGATCGCCCATGTAACCCCTCCTTCAAGCGATGTTCCCACCCACAACATGGGGGGGTAAGCAGAAAACAAGGGATGGACAGCCGTGTTCGCTGAAGAGCTTCTCATTGCCTGGACACCAGAGGGTTGCAGCCGGGCTACATCTGTGTGTATGAGAATGCGCTAGGCCTTGTACTCCGACAGCCATGCGGTTGGTCTGAAAGGCACCAGTCCATTGCTGGCTTTGCCGTGAGTGTGGAAGCTCTTCTGTGAGCATCAGGCAGCGGTATATTGATGCAATTCGATTGTTGTAGCGGAGTCCGTCGAGAAGCTCATCCCCAATACCAATAGCATGAGATATACCATGCTCCCATCTGCGGTCTTTGGTGGCCATGTGGGGTGTCGGCCTCTAATGCCAAGTCCCGCAAGAAGATGGTTAGGTCGATGAGAACGATAACCGTCTACCTGGCTTTCGGAACAGTGTACAAAGAAAGACCAGCTAGAGTTGACAGGATCCAAGGATCGGGCAACCGGTAAAAGCGGTGTCCCGCCTACCAGGATGGGTAGGGACCCGCTGGTACACCCGCACTATGCCACTCACTCCCTATCTTGGGATTAGCACGTCTTGGTTGTTTGCTGGTCCACTTCTCGCACAGGGGGTGTATCGGGTCCAGCAGAAACAGTACGGATAGAGGACATATCTATGTCACCTGAAGACTGCCTCGTCCGCGCCGTGTACCATGGAGTACCGAAACAGGCACCGGTTCCTCTGGGCCCTAACCCAAGATCGACAGCGACGTCGTGGGGTGTAGTAAAGAATGACAGGCCAATCTGAAGTCCCCTCGACCTTCTCGGAGTCTCCACCTCCAACGCGGCGGGCAGTTAATTTTATGTCTATTAGACACGACTGCCGCCTTCGCGACTGCCCCTGTAAACCCAATATGGCTTTGTTGACGAACAATCGTACTTATTGCGTGGGCAGTACTTGAGAGGCACTCTTTCCTCGCCCTCCCTCCTGTTCCTGAAATTGCGGCAGACCTTATTGAAGCAAAGCAGTTACGAGACACACCTCCATAGGTCGGACCCAGAGGCAGGTTTTGGACGAAACTTCTCAATCTTATTGAGATCAATTAGTGCGAAGAGCAAGTATCCCACCGCTGTTGCTGTCTTTGTCGGTATGGCAAGGTACGGTTGACCATCCCTAAGACTCGCACAGAAAGAAGGGTTCGTTTGACGTCTGGACTGTTCCCAGTGATCCACAAACAGTCCCTTTGGACAACGCATTCCTTGAAACTGTCATGCATCAAGGCAGAGAATACCAGCGATACGCAGTTGACAATGGGGCTTATTTTGCACCGATAGACGAGGTAAAGAACGCACCGAGTTCATGGAAGCTTCCCTGCTTTGTCTGACGTATCTGAACGGGTTGTAGGACGAAGTCGAGCGCTTGCAAATCATGCATGCCGTTCTCTCAATAGTGTTCGAAAACCAACTCCTTTTCCCGCCCATCACCAGACCCCGACGAATACTCGAGTGTGGATTCGGAGCCGGCGACTGGGCTCTCGAAGTCGCACAGCAACACCCAAGCTGCGAGGTAAGTTCTGCGCGCATCCAATTGTTCTTCTGTTTTCTTCTTCTTCTTCTTCTTCTTTTTGTGCCTCTGTCCGCAACTCGGTGACCAGCGTGCCCATGTAGAGTTTGGCTTACGCGGAACGGCAAAGGGCCACCGCGTTTTGCCGAGTTTTCCAATGGACGGTCGGTCCACGGCCTTCGTCTACCCACGATGAACTCCTCCTGCTCTTCATTGTAATCGGCAGGGAGATACTCCTCAGTGGTTGAAAAGCATAGAACCATAGAAGAATTGCATCGATGTCGGTCGGGTCGCGCATACAATGCTAACTTCGGAGGACAGGTGGTGGCTATTGACATTTGCCCGCACATCTGGCCAGACGAGACCCAAACACCCACGAACTTGAACCTTCAGGTTGACGACTTGAACGGAAGGTAGGCAAACATGGACGAGCTGTTGCTCGCGAATCCACCCAGGCTGTGTCTAACCGAACCGGCCCAGATTTACCTTTCCATCCAATCATTTCGATCTCGTGCATAGCCAAATGATGGCGGGCGGTATTCATTCTAACCGATGGAGGGACTATATCCGCGATACGTTTCGGGTACTTCGACCGGGTGGATGGTGCCAGATGGTGGAGATATATTTCAATGCGCAGTCGGACAACGGGACGTTGACTCAGAGTAAGGCGGCTCACCCCCGGAGAAGCTGCATTTGTTGATTGTTCCCGGCTTTAGATCACGCCTTGCGCAGGTGGTCGAGGCGATACCTGGACAGTATGCAACCTTACAAAGATCCACGAGCGCCGCTCCAGATGCAGAATTGGATGCAGAGCGCAGGGTTTGACTCGGTGGAGACCCAAATGATTCCTCTCCCAACATGTGGCTGGTCGAATGGTGAGGAACCTGTAGAAGCAGACGTACAAGCCCTTGAAGCTTATTGGTGATCTAGATCCGAGGCAGCACCAAATCGGCGTGGTCAACCGAGAGAATGTCCGGAGGATGCTCGCCTCCCTGGCCATGTATCCCATGACAGAGTTCAAAGGGTGAGCTCAGCTACCCCATCTTCTTCCGTGGACGACATGACAAGGACTCGTCATGTGAGCGTGTTTGGAGCTGACCGTATCACGGTAGAATGACCTCGCAAGAGTTCCAGGTCCTGGTGGCCCAAGCCAGGAGTGAAGCCGATAACCCAGCATTCAGGGTGAGTACAGCTGCCGGCCTCAAACGTACTAGGCGTCACACTCCGATAACTGGCATGAAGGCGAATGCTGACGAGCTGAACCAGGCATATTTCCCAATGTAAGTGAGCGCCTACTCGATGTTGCTGCTTGGAGATACATATATGCTGATGTGGTTTCGCGCTGGAGGTATGTTTGTATAGGTCGAAAACCTCGCCGGTGAGGCATGTCGGGGCATCATATGGCAGGGTTGCTTGTTTGACCGAGCATTGCGGGGCGTTTAGGTTTGAAGACTTGGTGGGCTTTCTGGAACAGAATTATGACGACAATGACGATGATGTGACGGCAGTAGATACCCATGCCTAGCTCGCAATTCCGTTTGGCTTTTTTCTTTGCTGGTTGTACTCCAGAATGCTCATCGGCTTGACATGATGTTGGTAGATGGGCACAAATGTGAGTCGAGAAAGAGGCCGTCGGCAAGAGACAGAGAAGCCTCAAGCTCCGACGGCCAAGGACCTTTATTGAGGCCCAAGGGCCGACGAGACGGGTCTCTTGGAGACTGACTAATAGCGTGCGGGCCTATTCGTGGTTGTTGGTCGGTGCGACTAGCCCTGTGATATTTGAACGGTCGATGAGTGCTTGAGCTCCCCATTGAGAGGAGACGGCGGGCTGGAGGAGATGGAAACCAGCGAGCAACGGCTGTCTTGACCCGAGTTGCGAGAATCATGCTAGCTTCCAAGAACCCTCATAGCAACAGGCGAGAATGGATGGATGAAGGGTTTCAACGGGGGATTGTGGAAGGCAACAAGGGCTACATGGAATGCATCGAAAGGGAAAGAGGACGGCAAGAAGTTGGAAGAGAATAAGCCTAAGCCGCAAGTGGGGATCAGCGGAAGCTAAAGTACCTAGGTAGTGAGTGGTAAGAGACAACGATGGCTAATTACCAGCAAGGCATAAAGGGTCGAGACTCGCGCCTCGAAAAAGCAGGGAGGGAAGGAGGGCTCGGGTGATTGGCCTATCTTCCTTCTGTACCTTTTTGGGTTTAGATTGGAGTGGCTCAAGGCGCTGTGACTGCCTTGGAACGCGTTACATATATGGGCAGGTCCGCATAGTTTCCCCAGCTCGCTACCGTCTCCCCGGGTCCTCGGTGAAGACCGGGCTGTAGGTGAAGAACACACGCCACACCAGGTAGGCCTTGCGGTAGGGAGGTAGGGTACCTACTAGTAGGTAGGTAGGCAATAACACGCACAAAACAGCATCGCGTCTGGGCATCTCAAACCCATGAGTCGTAACATCTACCGGAACCCACCCTTACCTGATGGGCGATATGTTCCGTGCCACGCCATGTCACGTTTCCAGCATTTGCAATCGCCATACTTGCAAGTTTCCACCTCGACACCACACCCGTGCTCTCGCCGGTGAAAGACCCATTCCCTTTCGCCTGCGCACGGGCACGAATCACGAGCTAGTTTCTCCGGCTTTGGAGACCATGTCCGGAGGCCGCTGCGATTGCCCCGACCCTTGCTACTTTTGCAGCTTCCTCCATCTTCCGCCACATCAGGTGATTCTGTATCTTGGAAGATGGCACGGATATTGCATCATTTTTGGCATTTTCAAGTGAGCTGACGAGATGCCCAGATAATTATGTTAATCAGCAATCCATGCTACAGGTCGCTCGGGTTGCGCGCAAGTTTCATTGTCTCATTGGTTTCTTCCTCTATTTTTTTAGCCATCACGCTACGTATGGCTACCTAGGTAGGTACCTTGTGTATCAAGCCATTGGCCAACAAACGAACCCGGGATGAACCACCCGCCGTCAGTCGTTCATCACATAATGCCTCCTCGGACACAAGAAAAAAAAAGCCTCTGAGTTGAGACCGAGCAACAATGTGAGAAGACCCTTGGGCCCCCGCAAGTTTCCGCCCATGGTACCGGTGCCACCATGCGCGCCTGGAATAGCTCAGGTACAGCTAGCCAATGAGAAGCTCCCTTTACGGTTCCACCTAAAGACAGCTTCTTCAATCGAACTTTTTCCCATCCGAATCCATTGACAGCATCATACGACGACTTGACGACAACATTGTACAGAACTAGCGCCTCTAACGACGGAACACGAAAATCAATCGAGAAATACGCAGCGAAACAGCTCGGCCGACTTACAACTCTCATAAAAAACACGCTCCCCTCTCCCATCAAACATAATGGCCTCCCGAAGCTCAGCCCGTCTCCTCCAGACGCTCCTCCAGCCGACTGTGCCTAGCCGCGCGGCTGCCATGCCCCTCCGGGCGCTCCGCCTCTACTCCTCCGACGCCGCCCCGGCCCAGCCCCAGCTTCTGGCCACGCTCAAGACCGACCTGAAGACGGCCATGCGCGCAAAGGACGCGCCCCGCCTCTCCGTTCTCCGCTCCGTTCTCTCCGCCACCAACAACGCAGCCAAGACCAACGCCCCAATCGCCACTGACGCACAGCTCGTCGCCCTCCTGCGCAAGACTCAGCGTGCCACCCAGGAGGCCGCCGCCCAGTTCCGCGCCGCCGGCCGCGACGACCTCGCCGACAAGGAGGACCTCCAGGCCAAGGTCATGGCCGAGTACATTGCCACCAGCGGCGTCGTCACCGTCACTGAGGCCGACGTCCGCGTGCTCATCCAGAAGGCCATCGAGGACGCCGACGCCGCGGGCAAGAGCGGCCTGGGCGAGGTCATGAGGCTCATCAATGCCGCCATTCAGGGCAAGGATCTCGAGGTCGACAGGAAGCGAGTCGCCGACCTGGTCAAGGAGGCCCTCAAGAAGGAATGAGTGGGGAGGGAGGCAGAGGCCGCGAGAGTCGGCCGCTGTACAAATCTGTATATGTACCACCACGACCTATCTAATATCTGTACACTACAAAAGCGAACGCTCGGCAGGAGAGCACTTTACACGAGGAACCCCTCGCATCGTCTCTGGTGCGAGACGAAATCGAAAGGAGTATCATTACCCCGTTTGGGGCCTGGGTTACCACACAACATGAACCGGTTCATGAATGGCTGGAAACGTTGAACTTAGCGCGCTGAAGCGCATGCTTGAATCAATGGTATATGTCTAGGTAGAGGGCATGTCAGGCAACTTCCTCACATCTCTTCCCTCCCTCCTCCTCCTCCTCTCCCCCCCCTCCTCCTCTCTCTCCTCTCTCTCCTCTTTAATGCGCTCTTCTCACTTAGGCTTTTGATAATGCGAAATGCTATCCGCCCTGCTTCCCAGCTTCCTAGAACCCAGACCTTTCAAACGCCGTAGACCTTTTCTTTGAATTATGCGAGGAAAAGAGAGGCAGATAGTGAAGAGAGAACCCCCCGCGGCTCCGGCGCCAGGCTTTATGCGACGCTGTCGTCCTCGTTCCGTAGCCCGGAGTACTCGGTTCCCTGGTTCGCCGTGCTGAGCCGCGCGCACAGACTGAGCAGGACGACCGTCTCGGTCGCGGCGTAGTGGTTCAGCGCGTCGAGCAAGATCTGCAGGTGCCTGCTGAAGTTGCTCTCCCACTTCTTCATGATCTCGAATAGGTTCCCCACGCGCGCGTCCTGCTGCTGTTGGTCGCTCGCGCCCGGCCCCGCCGACGACGTCGAGTCGCTGTGCGAGCCCGTCGTGGGCTTCTGTGTCCTGACAGCCTGGAAGGCGCGCCACTGCTCGGGCGTCATGTTGGGCGGCCGCGTAGCGCCAGACAGATCCGGGTCCGCCTTTTCCAGCTCGCGGGAGAGCCAGTTGGAGTAGGTTGCGAAGATTGTGCAGGTTTGCATCAGTTTGGAGTGGATCTATCAACGGCATTAGTCGAGACGCTCGAGAGAGGAAGATGTCAACGGGATGAACTCACTCGTAGAAGCTTGCTGTTGGTGAGCATGCACTCCTTCAAGCACGTGTCCAAGAAGTCCACGTGGTCCTGCATCAGCTCGTCTACAGTCCTCGTCGGACCTGACGAAACGCCTCCCGAAGCTGCCTCCTGACCCTCCTCACCAACCTTGAGTCTGGACATGAACTTTGCCCAGTTGGGCTCGATGACCTCGGCGGTGCAGAAGTATAGCAGCTGCTGCACAAAGACTAGCATGCGCGCGCGCAGCGTCCACACGCGGCGCTTCCAGATCTCAAGGCTGCGCGAAGAGCTCTTGTGCGCCCACGTTAGGCCGGAGGTCTGCGAGTACCACGTCGTCGACAGCTGGGACTCGAGATAGCGCAGCGAAAGGAGGTAACGGAACAGCGCTTGGTAGCGCCAAACGGTCTTGCGGCTGATGACAAGGGAGACGGGGAATGGCACCGTATAGTCGAGTTGCAGCGACGTGAAGCCGATGGCGTTTTTATCGTTCTCAATCGGTTGATTGGCCAGGGGCTGCAACGTCTCACCCTGCTCGATACCCGTGATATTGACGACCCGCTGCAGGGATTTGATCAGCGTGATTTCGTTCATCTCCACCTTGACATCCTCCTTGAAGGGATCCAGCGAGACGATGCTGCCCGGCTGTCGCAGGACCAGGTCGAGCAGCGACTGGAGCTTGCCGGTATTAACGGACTTGACGGGCTTCCGCAACTCCGAGGTGCCGAGCTCGAGGAAGTAGGAAAAGTAGTCGGACGGGTCCAGGAAGAAGTAGTGCTTCATCGACCGCAGCCTCAGGGGTAGCGAGTGTGTCGTCAGGAGCAGCTGCAGAAGCGACTCGTTGGCGTGCGCGTAGGCGCTGTTGACGTTCTCGAGGAAACGACTGTCATCAAAGGATGTGGGCACGTCCTGGACGACCTTGCTGACGTCGACGCCGCCGCACTCTCTGACGACGTTGAGGTACTTCCCGGCCAGTAAGACCTTCTCCTTGACACCTTCCAGCTGAGGAGGGATGTCATGCTCCCGGATGGTATATCGTCGCTCCCAGTACTCGTCAGTGTAGTCCTCCTCTAGGCGCTCCCTGCGGATACTCTTCTGCTCCTTGATCAAGAACTCGGCGTGAGGGTCATTGATGCCGCCGTGGTGAAGCCACTCGTTGAGCATCACCATGTACGGCTTGCTAGCATCGCGCAGCAGCGTGGTCAGCAGAGCGCGCGCCGCCGGGTCTCCCGACATTGACTCCAGCCTCTTCGTGATCAGCCCCAGCACGACCCCTCCTTTGCAAATCTTTTTTCCCGAGCCCGGTGCCAAGTCGCCACCTTCGCGCAACGACTCGAGGATGTTCTCAAAATCGTCCGCGCTGTCGCTTTCTTCCTCGTCATCATCGTCGTCCAGTAGCGCATTCCTCTTAAGCAAATCGTGGGCCAGGGAATACAGATGTGACATCATCTGGCACGTGGGCAATGTGTGGATGTTAAGGACGTGGAGGGTAAAGGTCTCGTTTGTCAGGAACTGCGTCTCTAGCTGCGCAATCATGACGAGGTAGTCGTGAAGGAACTTCCTGATGGAGGCGCATAGCGCATGATTGACAGCGCCAAACTCGTCCCTGCTCTGTACGTCGACAAACATCTCGAGGGCCGAGTAGTATGTCGCCATCTTCAGCATCGACACCGTCAGGTCTTGCAGGCTGGGGTCCAGGCCTGGCAATATCCTGAATGCTGGCCCCGACAGACGATCCCTTTCCTCGTGGGGGTTATACGTCTTGACGAAGCGGATGTACTGGCCCTCATAGCCCATGAAGACAAACAACAGATCCTCCAGCATCACAGCCTCTTGCGCCTCGAGGGACAGCTCGTTCAGCGGTTTCGGCTGCTGGGGCTGCGGCGCCTGCGACGCCAGCGGCGGTATTGATATTCGACAAGCCAGGGGAGCCGATGTGTGAGGAAGAAGCTTTGCTTCCGGGTTCCATGGCGCTACCGTCCCACTTAGTCAGTCGCGAATTCCACTTCAACGGCACAGCCATGACATCTCACCTGGCGGACCATCAACCTTGGGCTCCTTGGGCTTCGCCTCAGCCGCCCGTAGCTTGGCCTCGGTAGCCTTGCCCTTGTCACCTCCGCCTCTCCGCTCTCCCCTTTCAGGACTTCTCGTCCGCTGGACCATAGTCTCGAGTTGCGTCACATACGTCCTTTCCGTCCTCCTCTCCTCTACGCGCCTGTCATCGTGCGTTCGGGTTGCCGTCCGGGGGTTACCCGAAGCCGAGCGCTTGTGTCCATTGTTCCCGGGTGACGCGGCTCTGTCGCGCCGCTGGTGTTCCCGTTCTCGATCGCGCTCTCTTTGGCGCGCATCGCTCCTCTCGCTGCGCTCACTTTTGAAGCTCGTCTGGGCGTTCTCCGTACCGCTCCCTGCGGCTGCGGCGGCGGCGGCGGCGGCATTCATGCGCGCTGCCCTTGAGGCTCGTTCCTGGTCGGCAGCGGGTGCCGTGCCGCTGGTCGCGCGGCGCTCGTGGGTTGATACCCTAGTACCTGACGACATGTCGCCGACTGCATTTGAAGTGTGTAAGGCGCCGGGGTAGGGTTTGGTTCCCTGGAAGGTAGTCCCTCGATCGCGAAACTCGTAGCCTGCTTTGCTCCGGTAAATGGAGGGGAGGGGAAGAGGGGGAGGGACTTTGGGAGGCCGGAGTGTTCTGTTGCTCTTTGTCTCTGCCCCTCTATTACAGAGTCGCAGTCCAGGTAGCTCTCGGCGTGTGGATTGGGTTGCTTGCTACCTTGCCTTACTATCTTTACGCGGTTAAGTGCCCATTAACCTCGAGCGCGTCTAGTCGGAAAATCCTCGCGTGTTATTGACCCCAGCCCGGGATGTGCCAGTCCCCTGAAATATTCCGGGCTTTAGCGTTTGGGGACGGCAGCCGCTACGTACTGGAGGGGATATCACGCGAGGAACCAATCACAGAGCTTGAGATGGGGGTGACAGGGGGGAGCACGGTTCGAAGCTGCTGTGGAAAGGTACCTTGCCCGTACCAGGCCCGGGCTTGTTTAGTGCTGGCTGCTGCTGTACCAAAGGGAAGCTTGCGGCTGCGTAGGCCGAGTGCTTGCCTAACCACCATCAACCTGCCTTTTCAGCCTTCCGCCGTCACCGTTTGTTACCTGGACCTCCAAGCTCCCCTCCATCCGTCCATCCATCCATCCGCCACCACCGTCACAACCTCAGCATCCCGCATTCTCGAACTACGACAAACCTCATTCGACGACTGCCGAAAGATTTCACCTGGTCAATTAGGCCCAGCCGCTTTCTCTCTATTTCTGTAGCAGCTACGCACATACAATACCGCCAAGATGTTTATGGCAAGATCTGAATACGGTAAGACCCCCTCCAGCTTCCCTGCCCTTCCCGCTCCCTAACAGTTGTCACCCAGACCGAGGAATCAACACCTTCTCCCCGGAAGGTCGCCTCTTCCAAGTCGAATACTCTCTCGAGGCCATCAAGCTCGGCTCCACGGCTATCGGCGTTGCCACCTCCGAGGGCGTCGTTCTCGGCGTCGAGAAGCGCGTCACTTCGACCCTGCTCGAAACCTCGTCCGTCGAGAAGATTGTCGAGATCGACCGCCACATCGGCTGCGCCATGTCCGGCCTCCAGGCCGACGCCCGCTCCATGGTTGAGCACGCCCGCGTCGAGTCCCAATCCCACTCCTTCAACTATAACGAGCCCCTCCGCGTTGAGTCGTGCACTCAGGCCATCTGCGACCTTGCCCTGCGCTTCGGCGAGGGTGCCGAGGGCGAGGAGACCATCATGTCCCGGCCTTTTGGCGTCGCTCTCCTGATCGCCGGATACGACGAGGACGGCCCCCAGCTCTTCCACGCCGAGCCCAGTGGCACCTTTTACCGGTACGACGCCAAAGCCATTGGTTCCGGTTCGGAGGGCGCGCAGGCCGAGCTGCAGAACGAGTACCACAAGGTTCGTACACCCGGCGGTCCTTCCTTCCCCGGCTTCGAGCCCGCGCATAAACCAGAAGGCTAACTCATCCACAGTCACTGTCAATCACGGACGCCGAAACGCTGGTGCTCAAGACGCTGAAGCAAGTGATGGAGGAGAAGCTCGACTCGAAAAACGTCCAGCTGGCGAGCGTAACGAAGGAGAGGGGCTTCAGAATATACACGGACGAGGAGATGGCCGCCGTGGTAGAGAGGCTCCCTGCGAACTAGAGGTACCCGCAGGTCGAGGAACAGCATTGAGGGCGGGGTACGATTATACGAAAGTTTAGAGGGCTGAAAGATGCGCCAAAAGGAGAGCAAGCGAAAGACACATGGGAACTTTTTCTGCTCAGGCAAGAAAAGGAAAAAAAAATAAAACACTACCCTTGCCCCTGTTTACGAACTCTGGTACCAGACGTATAGACGATTTCCACAGTGTGTATCATTAATGTACTCAACGTGATGATGGTTTCTTCTCTCAAGAGCATATTCTCATCTCTAGTGCCTACCATCTGTTCTCCCCCCCCCTCTCTCTCTTTCTCTCCCTAACCCAACTTTTATGCGGAACAGCACCCCGTTCATGACGACCCGGGAACCCTTACCCCTCTTCCTTGATGACGAGCCTCTCCAGTTCCTGCTCGACGCTCAGCAAGCCGAGGGCGTAAAAGGCCCTCTCGGACTTGGCCACGACGAGCATCGAGTCGTTGCTGTCGAGCTGCTCGAGGCGGTCGCCGATCCTCCGCGGGTTCGACCACACGGGCGGCGGCACGGCGGGCTGCAGGTCCGGGTCGCGCACGTACGGCGGACCCCGCCCCATCGCGGCCGCCTTCTTCCACCCGGACTCGCAGCCCTCGGCGATCTGCCGCGCCGACTGCCAGCCCGTGAGCCGGGAGATGTCGTACATGCGCCTGACGACCCACTGCCGCTGGGCGTTGTCTTTGTACTGCATAGGTGCGTCAGTAAAGGTTATCGGAACACGAAAGAGGCATGGCCCGACGACCAGGCAAGGGGGGAAGGGGGGGGCGAGAGTCATGGAGGAGGAAGAAAGCATACCTGGATCCCGCCGACAAACAGACAAAACGAGCTCTCGATCAGCGCCGCGCCGACGAGGGTGCTGATCTCGACGGCGTTGGCGCAGTCGTCCGTCAACCCAGCGGCGATCCGCCCAATCTCGACGGCGAACCTGGCCGTGTGCTGCTCCTGGACGCCCGCGGCGATCATGGCGGCGGGCGGCATCTTGGGGTGCGCGCGGTACAGGTGGATCAGCCCCATGTAGTAGTTCATCCAGATGCCGGCCACGGAGAAGGTGCGGTACTGCAGCGTCGGCCCGAACGGCGAGTCCCTCCGGTCGGCGTATTCGGCACCCAGGGGCTGGAATTCCGGGCCGAACCGGGACCGAAGGACCTCGAACGCCTCGCGGAGGGACTCCCACTCGCGCATCGCGGCGTCCGCCGCCATGTTCGAGTCGAGATCTTCCGGCGCTTCTTCCCCCGCCGGCGGCGGGGTTTCGTCCCGCGGCGGCGAGAAGCCCATCGGCAACGTCACCTTGCCGAGGTTCGGGAGCATGCCGGGGAACATGGGAGGCGAGCCGCCGTTGCCACCGGGCATCATTCCTGGTGGCGGTCCGCCGCCTCCGGGCTGCCCTCCCGGCATGCCCCCGGGCGGCATGCCCATCATCCCGGGGCGCGGATCGCCTCCGGGCATACCACCTGCCATCCCTGGCGGGGGCCATCCCTGGCCTCCTCCTTTGGGCGGTCCACCCGCGTTGGGTGGCGGGCCCGGCGGGCCCCCTGGTGGTCCTCCTGGCCGCCCGCCAGGAGGTCCGAAGCCCTTGAACGATTTGCGTTTCCTCGGGAGGTCCTTCGCTGCGAAGCTGCACAGACGTCCGAGTAGCAGCATTAGGTGGTCGTACGTCCCGTATCTGTGCGTGTTAACGAGGTCAAGCCCTCGCGAGGGGTCGGTGGACTCACATGGCCTCGAGCTGGCCCATCGGCGCTCGTGGCGGACACTGGGTCCAGTGCTGGTAATCCATACTATGTTTTCGTAAGCCCCTTTTTGTTCTCGTTCTTGTTATTCGACAACGGCACTCACAATGGTTTCCCTCCTCCTAACACGCTCTGGTAGACGTCCATCTTACAGTACCACCAGTACAAGTCTCGGAGGTGTTCATAATGCTCAATGTCCCGATCCGTGTAGTAGTTACCTATAGGTGGTTCATCATCCTCGTATGAAACGTGCTGGTTTGTGATCCTGCTGAGAAGGCCGAGGTCGAGGTCGTCCAGGTCGTGGCTCATCATGTGTGTGTTGTCGTGGCCCATGAAAAAGGGGTCTGGCTGCTGGCTCTGGTTTTCCTGGAACAACGCTCTCCTGGCCCTCTTCAGCGGCAGGATGTTCTTGGTCATCTGCCTGAACGGCACCTCCCTGATCAGGAGCCTAGACCCGAACAGATGGTTGCACCATTTTGTGTGATCCGAGTTCCACACTTCAAAGTACCCAAGCAGGAGGGAAGCCGCTAGCGTGGCGGGTTGCGTTCTCCTCTTGGGGCTCCGCAGGTTCTTTGCGATTCTGCGGATGGCGAGGTGATAATGCTTCATGGCCGCCATTGGCGGGACTTTCTGCAGTTTGGCTATTTGCAACGCCCCCAGGGCCAGCATGGCTTGAAGGAGCGCTGGGTGGGTGAAGGATATGATGGGGAAAGTGTCTGTCAAAGTCAGTCAAATTACCAAGACTCCATAGAGCACGGATGATGATCTCACATGTCCAGATGTTGTGACCGGCCTTGGGCACCGAGTAGTTGTTCGCCAGCTTCGAGTGGTCAAAAGGATGCCTCTCGTACAGAGACATGCTTGGTCCTGTGACGTTGATGAAATGCCAGAACAAAGCGGCTGTTCGCTCGTCATTGAGTGGCGAGTGGTTTGGCGTGGGTATGTACGACGTAAGGATGGCTTCATCGGCAAAGGAGGAAAAGGTTCTCATCCTGGTTCCAAAGCCATCCCAGGGGCCATCGTTGCGGCTCTGCACTAGCTGGCCGTAGGCGCTCTCCTCGCCCATCGCATCCTCGAAAGCGTCATCCGAGTCGGGCATAGATTCGTCATCCTCCGAGTATAGATACTCCATCTCGGCGTTGTCTGCGAGTTGGTTTCCCTGGGCAGCCGCGTTGTGATCGGAGAACACGCCCATCTGCTCCACGCGCGCATGCCCTGGTGCTGCTACCGTTGCTTGTTCTCTCCATGGCTCTGTCGGGCTGTGAACGAATGCGCCGCTATCCGTGTTGGGACTGACCAGGCTGCTCCGATGCCCACCAAATTGCGCCTGGAACTGGCCGGCCGGCGAGACAATTGACGGGCTTGAGTGCATGTGCTGCTCTCCATACGGAAACTGGTTGAAGTCGAAGGATGCCGGCGGGGGTTGGCCCTGAAGTTGGCTCAGGCGCTGCTGGGCAGGGAAGCCTTGGCCATAGTGAAGCATCGGCTGCCCCTGAAAGTCCAGATGTTGTGGTGGCTTGGGGGCTATGGGGGCCAAAGGAGGCCCGTTGGAAGGCTTTGGCGGAGGGTTGGGAAGACGCTGGAAAGACGAGTTTGACGACTCGGGAGGGTAGACGACGGGGCCGTAGACGCCATTGAGGTTGAAGGATGCGATGGGGTCTTTGAAGATGACACGCTGGTTGTAACCCTCACAATGCCTCTTCGATTTGATGCAATTATTGCAAATGGGCCGTCCCTCATCGCATTTGATGCGGCGTTTCCGGCAGGCTTCCGAGCACAGTCAGCCATCTTACCGGGAAGAGAGGAGAACGGCACTCCGGGGGTCCAAATGTCTAGTCTGATTAGGACATGGCAGAGTAGCCTCATACGTACTAAGACAGCCCGTCTTGGTCCTTTTCCTCGCGTTCGCCTTCTTGCGGTTCGAATCCTCGTTGCCGTTTCCCTCGTTGTTATCCGAGCTCTTGGTTGGGGACTTATCGTCCTCGAGTGCCGTGGGGGAGCCCATCCTAGACGATACTAGTGTGCTGCAAGTGAAATCAGGTATGCGACGAGGCTGTTCAGTCCATCAGTATCTGGTGGCCAGCGTGCTGCATTGTCCGGCTTGTGTAACTCTGCGGCGCAGCGGAGAGCCGGTGCTCGCGTCTCCACAGTTGGGAGATGTCGAGCCCGAGTCCCAGTCGAGTATTGCGAGGATAAAAAAAAACCGGTACAGATGAATAAAAAAAAATTAGCCGGGCTATTCGGGAGACGGTCGATGTTGGGAGGCGAGGCGGCGTCGTCCCTAGGCCACAAGCGCCAAGGGAGCCGGGGGGTGATATGGTATCGCGGTAGCGCAACGAAGGGCTATGCGGGTTTTATCCGATCCTGTGCGCGGCAAAGAAGATCTAGAGAGGAAGGCAAAGGGACGTGGGAAGGGCGCCCACGAAGTAGATGCTTTTTAAACAGCCATGGACGGTGGAAGGAAGTGAAACAGGCCGGTGCTACTTTGTCTTCGCCGAGTGGGCTGTCATGGGTTAGACAAGATGCATGGACTCGTGGGGTAGGACGGAGGGGATGGCTGCGGTTGGTAAGGATGTCTGCAGCAAAAGTTGGAGGAAGTGCGTCCCTTGTTCCCAAGACACGCACGAGGACTAGAGAAATAGGTTCCCGCGGCCGAGAGCCAGGCAGGCAAGGTAGGTAGATTGGGAAACGTTCAACGTATTGTGTCTCGAGTTAGGGTATCTTTACACTATTCAGGGCTAGAGAAGAAGGGGTGTATTGGGAAGAAGATGCAGCACAAACAAAGGGGATGGATGCCACGGCCGACAAGTAGCGGCGGCGAGGAAACGATTGGGAGGGGAGGCGGGGAGGGCCGGGGTGGTATTGGAGGGAAGAAGACGAAGCGGACGACGGAGGTTGGCACCTCACCCCGATATGTGGCATAATGAGGCGACAGACCGGTCCGCTAGGACAAATAAAGAACGAGACAAGAATGTCTCTGTGTGTCATTCTTTACCCTATAAGCCTCGGACTAAGTATTCTTCTCCCTCGTAAGCGCACGATATACCTTTGCGTACTACAGGCGCTATCGTTGTCCCTGCCGCAGCAGCAGCAGCATCTTCTAACACCGTTCTTGTGGGAGGTGATGGACGACGGGCCAATGATCTCCAGCTTGGAAGACGATTTAGAACGTCGGAGGGAGTGTTCATGGTACGAGAAGCCAGGGGAAACAAGAGGCGGGACGCGGGCCAGCCGACACCGCGAGACAGAGAGAGAGAGAGAGAGAGAGAGAGAGAGAGAGAGAGAGAGAGAGAGAGAGAGAGAGAGAGAGAGAGAGAGAGAGAATAGGGTACCCTGGCGAGTGCCCCTCGTCCATCAAAATTAAAGGTGCGGCAAGACGATGACGGGAGGGAAACAACACACACAAATGGTGCACAGCACGCCGCACGCCGGGTCGTCCTGCTCGGGATCGATCCCACCTAGCGTCCAATGTCCAATGATGCACTTGGTACGTTTGTGGATCGGCTGGCTCAGACCTCCTTCGACATCCGGAGTGAAGCCACATCGGTACCAGTGTACACTCGTTCCTGGGTACCCGTCTATTTAGGTAGGTGCAGAGTAAGAGCAGAGAGACTTGGGTCCCCATAAGCTTCCCCGTCAGGGGTCGCTCATGTCCCGAATGGCAGGCAACCGATGGACGTAGCGGGACTAGGGATAGATATATTGAGGGGAAGGGGTGGTGCCGCCTCGGCCTGGGCCATCGTCCCCGTCCCGTCCGTTCGAAGCAACAAAAAAAAAAAAAAAGCTGGTGTCCATCTGTATTCGTTCGAGAGACGTCGTCTTGACTATAGGCCATCCAATCCATAACCCAGTGTTGCATATTTGCAAGATTTGATTGTCCGCGGAGACTGGGAGATGAGGTTGGATCGGGAAGGTCGCCGAGCTGCTCGATGCAACGGGCACCGCCCAACAAACTTTGTCCTCGCATACCCGAGAGGCTGGCCAAGCTTATACAGGCATAGCCGAGGTTGGTCGTTCGATCCGTAATCAGTACTCACGTAGCATCGCGCCGTTGGATTCCGGGCGTGCCATCAGGTGTCAAGAAACATAGTAGTAGGTACCGCCCGCCACCTGAGTCGCAGACGACATGGGAGCGGGTGCAAGTGATGGGGATGCCGACTGTGATACTCGTCCGAGGCCTGAGTGGTCTAGACTCCAGCCGGACAGGGGGGTTCCTGGCCTGATGACCCTCGTCCGAAGTCTGCCCTAAGCAATGCGGTCCGCTGGTGTTCAATCGGTCGAATACGGTATGGGAAGCCATCTTTACACTGCCCGCTGCCCTCTGTCCGATTTGTATTCAGGTTCGAGCATCAATGTCTCTCAAATCGAAGAGTGTCGTTTGTGCTGCCCCCATTCGCCACGAAACAATCTTCCCTCCAGCCAGGTATCCGTGGGTCTGCTTGTAGTGCAGCAATGATACTCGTCACGCTCATCATGGAAGTGGCGCCAAGATTGTCAACCGCCGCCAAAAGAATCCAGCCGCCTGTGGCGTTCCAAACGGAATGGATGCCATCCCGTGCCATCCCATGCCACCCCATGCCATCCGTCCACTAGCTGACTTGTCGCGTGTCGAGTGGGACGCCAAGGTATTCGAGGAAGCCGTCTCCCTTTTGTTGAATTTTCATAAACAGAGTGGCAAGGCCTGATAATCCATAATGCTCAAGCCTCGTGACCATTGCGGATGGCGACTTGAGCCAGAAAATCCGGTGGCGTGTATCTGACTCGTTGCCCAGACGCAAGACAAGACCACCACAAGCTGCCAGGTGCGACTATTTCACCGGGAACACACTTGATGGGGAGTGGCAGGCATCGGCATGTCGCTGAGACATTAGCAACAATGCCCTCAGTCTCGAGGCACCCTCTCATCCGACACCAAGCTGGACCAATCGTTACGTTCCCGACCTCGTGGATGGTGTGACCGATGAGTGGGTGCATCACAGTTAAAATAACTGGCTTGGGGGTGCAACACAAACCTCACGCGTTATCGGACCAGGCAAGTCGCGCTGATCGCTACGGTCCACCGATGCCCGTACGCTACTGGGCGACACTGGCTATATCCAGTATCGATCGATTCCCTTGTGCTTTATCGGCGTCCCTCGATATGCGCAGGAACATACCTTGGCATCTTGCACCGGATCTTTACTGTATCTGACCCGGACGGAAGCCCACAACAATGGCCGCTGCAGGCCAACATGCAGGTAGCCTTCTCGCAGCCACACGGGCCCGGCTCTAGGCTAGCACACCACCCGGCGAGGGACAACAGTTTCCCGGCCTTATGACTGCCATGCATTGCTGGGATTCTCGACGTGTGTGGGCCAGTGGTGAGTTCTAATCGGTGCTCCTTCGAACACCCGGATTTGGCGTCAGCCCACCAGTTAGACATAGACGCTCTTGGCGATACGCCTCATTGTGTCGCGTGTACCAGAACACAGCCGCCGTTCTCAAGGGCTTTGCGTCCTCCCATATGTTTGCTGATGAAAGGAGACCATAGTCGCTCCGTCTTACACGGCAGAATGGAATTGATCTGGAAGACGGGTTCTTGCCCCGGATGTTGCCATCCGTCTTGTCGTGCCTTCATGTCCTAGCTCCTCGTTCTCATTTGTGCGTTGACAACGTCAAGAATATATAGGAAAGGCTTCCCGTGACGCCGGATAATGCGCCGCGGCCGTATTCTCGGGACAAAGGTCGGGCTTCTGCGTGTTAAACCGACCGTTCGCCGAACAGACATTCCATTTGCGTGGCAGTGTCGTCCACGCATTTGGTCGTTCTCGACTCTCCAGAGGGCAGATTTTCTGCCCAGAGATCGTGTCGACTTAACTAGGCTGGCGATTCAAGCGCCATCGCTGAAAGCATAGCCAACGGTCTCGATCGCCTTGGATCAGGTTTGACCGGATTGAGATTCCGACGCACTTGCCAAGGAAACTGCCGCCTCTTCCAAGAACAAACTCGATGATCGTGGCGGTACTCGCTGGGTCTGCCGGTAAGGTGTTCCCCATTTTTTTTGGGTTAATTGTCTGGCGGGGTCCACACCCCGTCTCACTCTGAGCATCTTGCGAGGAGAGGCTCTTCAGAAGGCTCCCACACACTAGTATTGTGAGACGTGTTGGAGCCCACATGTAGCCTGGCAGTAGTTCTTGTTGTATTTTCCCCACCTGTTCATTCAGTCGCAACCGGCTGGCTTCCGGAAGAAGCGGGAGTTATTGAGGCATGTCGATTAGGCCTTGTATAGTGCCTCCCATGTGAGGCCCATGACCGCGTCTGGGTATTGACGTCTTTAGAGCCCGAAGTGACGGACCAGCTGATAGGTGGCGTCGATAGCAGTAAGATTTCAATGGGGCCTTCGCCTGGAATCGCTAGGCCTTGAGGTATGCCGGTAATCAATAGCGATCGACCCATTGTCGGAAAAAACCAAACTGCCATCTCGTTTCGTCATCAACGAGTCAACGAGACAACCCTCGAGACCCCGAAGACCTATACGAGGCCTGCTGATTATGTCGTCGCCCACAGAGGATGGCAAACATGGCAGTATCATTTCCAGGGGTTGTGCTCGATCAAGATTGGAGAGAGGACGGCTCGTTTGGTACGGTCGGCAAGGCTTTCCAAGAAAGAAAAAGAAAAAACAAAAAGACATGGCTAACAACCGATCGCGCCAAGAACTTTCGATAGGTATTGGGAGAAATGGATGATTGATAGAGATATGTGTTTTACCAAGTAAACGTCGAAGCTCAGGAGGTCTAGAAGATTGAGATGAGAAGCCATGAGAAGCCAGGAACGGAAGGAATGAAAGGTGGGGGCGCACAGTCCACTATCGCCTGTCCCATCCTAGCGCCGATCAGGAAGCAGGGGTGCGATAAGCGATTCTCTGGGGAAGGATACAAAGGCAAAAAAAAAAAAATTCAAAGCGGATAAGCCATGAGACGACCGAGACTGAGACTGAGCATGAGCATGAGCGTGAGCGAGAGCTACGATCCATCCATCACAACACTGTTTTCATAACCCATCGGCGCCTTCACATAAAACTAACCACTGCGGATCACCTTGGAACAGGTTTCTCAAAAATGTTCGCTGTCCCAGGATGGTCCGTCTCGGCGGACGCCCTGAAACCCGAAACCCAGACCGGCAAGAAGAAGAACAACACGTCCAAGAACAACAGCGCGAAGAAGCGCAAGAAGGCCAAAAAGGAGGAGAAGGCCCCAGGCACGGGCGCGAACAAGGTCATTGTCAACCAGCGCGTGTTTGGCCAAGCCAAGGACGACGAGCCCAAGAAGGGCAGCGGTAAGAGGGCCGCGCCGGTGGACGACGAGGTCGACGGCAACGACGGTGGCGGCGGCGAGGAGGCGGCCACCCCCAAGCCGAGCAAGAAGCAAAAGAAGGACAAGAAGAGTGAAGCGGAGGCGCAGGAGACGCCCAGGTCCGACAAGAAGGACAGAAAGCAGAGGAAGGAGAAGCCGACGACGCCCAGCAAGGAGGCCTCGGCGGAGGACGAGAAGAAGGCGGCCAAGGAGGCTGCGGCGGCCATCGCCGCCTCGGTGCCGCCCGTCCCACCGCCCGCGGCCAAGCTCACGCCGCTCCAGCGCTCCATGCGCCAGAAGCTTATTTCGGCGCGCTTCCGCCACCTCAACGAGACGCTCTACACCCGCCCCTCGGCCCAGGCCTACCAGCTCTTCGAGGAGTCCCCCGAGATGTTCTCCGAGTACCACGAGGGGTTCCGCCGCCAGGTCGAGGTCTGGCCCGAGAACCCCGTCGACGGGTACATTCGCGACATCAAGCTCCGCGCGAGGGCCCGGTACCCCAACGCTCGCGGCCGTCCCGGGGCGCAGCCCGCGTCCGCCGGGCCCGCGCCGCTGCCGCGCACCGACGGTGTGTGCTACGTCGCCGACCTCGGCTGTGGCGACGCCCGCCTTGCGTCGACGCTGATGCCCGAGGCCGAGAAGCTCAAGCTCAAGGTCCTCAGTTACGACCTGCACTCCCCCGCCGAGCACGTCATCAAGGCCGACATCGCCAACCTCCCGCTGGACGACGACTCGGTCGACATCGCCATCTTCTGCCTCGCCCTCATGGGCACCAACTGGCTCGACTTCGTCGAGGAGGCCTACCGCATCCTCCACTGGAAGGGTGAGCTCTGGGTCGCCGAGATCAAGTCCCGCTTCGGCCCCGTGCGCCAGAAGAACGCCGTCGTCTCCCACAGCGTCGGCAACCGCAAGAAGGCCGCCGCCGCCGCCACCAACAAGGGCAAGGCGGGCGAGCCAGAGGAGACAGAGGCGGACCGCGTCGCCCTCGCCGTCGAGGTCGACGGCCACGAGGACAAGCGCGGCGAGACGGACGTGTCGGCCTTTGTCGAGGCCCTGAGGAAGCGCGGCTTCGTGCTCGCGGGCGAGGGCGAGGGCAACAAGGGCGCCGTGGACCTGTCTAACAAGATGTTTGTCAAGATGCGCTTCATCAAGGGCGCGGCGCCCACCAAGGGCAAGGGTCTCGCCGCCGCCAAGGCGGCCGGCTTCGTCGACAAGGAGAAGAAGAAGCAGAAGCGCTTTGTGTGGGAGACGGAGGAGGACCAGGTGGACGAATCGGCCATTCTCAAGCCGTGCCTGTACAAGATTCGGTGATCTGGACGACTGTACGTTTTCGAATGTGCGCGGGTGTGTGGGTGTGTGTGTGTGTGCATCTGGTAAATAAAAAGTTACATGTGCTTAGATTTTGGCTGGGATTAGGGGTTTACACATACTCGAAAACCACATGCAATCAAGTTTCTATTTTCGGACAGATTAAGCTGCCATTAATCTTCGCCTGATACGGGAGTTTTCACTGCCTTCGTGCTCAACCTCAAGGCACACAGCACGAGCGACAGTGAGAGGAAGGCCGAACATGGCAGGGCTTCAGGACGCTAATCCGGTGTTGTTTGTCATGGTCTCAGCGTGTGGAAATGCTATATTGATCGCTTCGATGCAACCCGCGTTGAGCCACGCATGCATTCCGACGAGTCTAAATTACCTCCCAGCTCGAGTGTTCCATAACCGTCCATGCCAACCGTACCGACCACGCCCTTGTCCCATGCAGGCTCCTAACTACTCAGCCAAAACAACATCCAATGCACTGCACCACGGGGCGGCCTATGCTCCGAACAAAAGGCCGGCGGCGAACTCGACGTTGCCACCTGTTGCCTGCAACGCATTGATGGCGGCTTCTCGAGGAAAACCTAGTGCCATGAGTTGATTAATGTGCTCCTCAGGAAAGCTCTGAGCAGCAGCCTGCTGCTGAGGCGCCTGCTGGGGTTGTTGTTGTTGTTGTTGTGATGTGGCAGCGGCAGTGCCCTGGGGGCCGCTGACAACGCCAGATCGTTGACCAATGGTAGTGCCGGCCGGTCCCGGCAACCTGGGCTCCTCTTCCAACGCCTCCTCGCTCTCCTTGGGGATTTCAGCCTCGCCCAAGAAAGGCACCTCCTCACCCTGGATGATCAGCTTGTCCTTGGCCAGGTCGATGCTGGCTTGGTAGCGCTTGAGCATGTCGAGACCGAGAAGAAGCTCCACCTGCTTGCCCTCCATGACAGTGAAACTGCAAGGCAGGAACATTGAGCCGACCTTGATCTGGGCCGAGTGCACGCGGCCAATGATGTTGGCGGTGCCCACTCCGCGGGCCACTCCCGCGAACCGCTTGTCGACGAGTCTCATGATGCCGCAAGCCTCGGCGCAGGACGGGGACATGATTGTGGCCTGGGCTCCGGAATCGACAAGCGCCTTCACCCTATGACCGTTGACCTCAACGTCGACATACAGCATGTGGACACGCCCAAACACTAGGCAAGAGTTAGCTTCCGAGTCTGCCCTCGGACGTCTCGGCGCCCATGTCATCCATACCTTCGGGGTTATGCTCCATGGCGTTCTGGAGGTTCTCCATGACCCTCTCTTGGCGGATCATTTCCTCGATCTTGGCCTGGGCCTCGACATCGAAGGGGTCCTCGTTCAGCCGTGCAATCTGTCTCTGGCGCTCCTCGCGCTCTCGCTGCTCTCGATCATAGCTGTCGTTGAAAAGCTGGGCAAACCGCTGCGGGTCGTCTAGCGCGGCGGCGAGCTGGGGCTGCTGGCGGGTTGCTTCGGCACGCAGGTTCGGGTCACCGAGTATTTGGAGGCGGATGAGCTCCGGATCTTGGCCCCCAGGTCGTCGGCGCGGCGGACCTCTTCTTCCCTGGTCCGGAACACCGGTGCTTCCTTGCATGTCCCTCACGTGCAACGCCAGCATCTCGCCGTCGGCAATCTGTAGCTGCTCCATGGTTTTGGTGTCATCTTGAATCAGGCGACCGTTGTGGTAGAGGTGTTGGGAAGTGGGAGCGATCGTAGTCTCGGCTTGGATAGCTTCGCGGAGGGTGGACACAGGCATGTCGGGGAAGATCTCGAGGGTAAGAAGGTCCTGATCCTCGATCTCGGGGTTCGTTATGCTCAACGTGATACGCCTGGCGGGGTAGCTGTCAGCCGGGGAGACTTTGTCTGGTTTCAGTTTGGGCAACAAGCTTACATGTTGGGCGTTTATCCTAATGAGGGAGAGGATCTAGTAGGGTGTTCGTTTCTGGGTATGTTAATGGCAGGATAGCCCTCAGGCGGTGAGAACAAAGGCTGGAACGCAAAGCAGCTGACAGGGCGTTGAGTTTCACGATTACGAAAGCGAAGGGAAAGTTAGGCTCAGCACGGAGCTTCAGTGGAAGGAGGGGCGGTTTGTGGAGGGGCCAAAATTTAGGCAACACAGCAGATGACGTCTCCTCATCCAAAGGCAAATAGTTTGGAGGACAGAAGGGTATAACGGTCTTGACTGGCTGGTTGCTCCGAGGAGAGGAAAGGGAAGGGGGAGAGGGAGAGAAAAAGAAGAGAGGAAATGAAGAAGAAGAGAGAGAAAAGGGGGAAGTTCGATTGGATAACGGAGTAGCTGGTCCGTGTTGGATGGTTGGACAACGGGAACGAGGTGCGTTGATGTGGTTCTTGAAGGTAGAAGGTCTCTAGGGAATGGAGATGGACGACACGAGTAAGCAGGTAGAGGCCTCTCTACCTTAGTAAATAGAGTAGGGGAGAGCTCGTGCCACACGCTTAAGCACCTTGCTGAGTGTTTCGTCAAGAAGGTGGATGCAGTGACGAGACCCCTCCATTTCCCCCGTTTGCAGCCTGTAGCTAAATAAACCACGTAACAGTTAGCCCGCACGGGGACCACCACGGGAGAGGCGGGGACTGGGGCGTCGGTGGCCTGCCATGGCAGGCGCCACATACATACAGGGCAGGGCAAGATAGAGTGAGAAGCACTGGCTGGCTTATTAGGTAATTACCTAGTGACCAAGCCGAGAGCGGGTGCCTGCCGACGGAAGCCCATACCTAGGAATGAACTTGCCCGGCCAGACAGACTGTTAATTGACAGTTTTCACAATACGACGACACTGCTGCGATTGTCCAACATAACAGAGTCATCCTGTTGGAAAGCGCTGCAAGCAAGCACACGTATCTCACCTTACATGCCCGTTTCCTTGCTTCCCCCCTTTGCCTGGGGCTGTGTTTGCCTTCGTCGAGGACTGCTTGCCCGAGCTTCCCAGTTCCGAGATGTTGAGGCAACCGCATCGCGGCCAAGTCCCTCTCGACGGCATAGTGGCCCCTACGAGCTAATCGTTGTCAAAGCCCCGGAGCACCAGTAATTACCTATACTTCAAGGATCCGGCAGATGCGAGATAGCCCGTCTATTACTATTACCCGATGTAAGCTGAACTCGCAGCAGCAATCGAAAACACCCTTGCAAGTGATTTCGCCCCCCTCTTGCGCCTCAATCACCTTCCGTTGGCCCGGTACGCCGCACGAGAACGGTGAGTTCACATTTTCGGAAGAGGCGACCAATCGAAGCCCCTGGTGACATATCTTGCCAACACCTTTTGTAGATTCCTGTACGATGATGACCAGCACACGAGCATCGTGCTTGAAGCCGATGCCAAGTAGAAACGACATTATACCATAGCGTTGGTTCTATTCGCTCCTCTGGATGCTGCCCCGCCGTTCAGGCGACACGCAGGATAAGCACGCATGCCTTTTTTCTTTTCTTATATCTGCGCCATGCGGAGACTGCACGCTAGCCAGCCAGCATTAGCTTCCACGGGAACCGTCTCTCATCAACACATGCTTCACGCCTCACCAAGTCTGACCGAGTCACCTCGCACATTATATCCGGTTGCCCGAAATTGAAATCCGAGACTTGGCCAACTTTCTTTTCCAAGGCGCGGCTTAGCGAACGCTTCAGGAATTGCCAGCCGTATCCGTCCGCCACACCGAACGGCATACGAGCCGGTCTTGCTAGTAAACACGTTCGCAAGTGCCGAAGACGAATGTCTAAGACAGAACATGGAAGAGGCCCAATGACATGCATGGATGACAACCTCTCTATACTGGGGATGCTCCAACGTCGTTTCACCAATGTCACCTCAGGGTTGAGCGGCCGGTTCTGTTAACTCCGCTGGAGGGCCGGAACTGTGGTTGGCTTGAGTTCCGTTCCGAACTTCCCAGTTGACTGAGGCCGGGATCAGGTGTGAGCCTTCTTCCAACTGTGTGGCGCCCCATGTTTTGTATCCGTTCATGTGTCTTGCCTTCTCGTAGCAGCTCACAGCCTTTCGGCGGCCGAGTCCAAGGCAACTCAAACAGCCATGTCTTCTTCACCAAGTTACGGCCTATTGATTGTCCGTTGCCTGGTGCCAATCTGGATCATTGGGGAGTACTGGCGGCCGGCTGGCTACGACCAACCAGTCCACGACAAGCAAGCGGCCCTTAATCAACGCAAGCTGGTCCCAGTGGTGGCATCTCAACGGTGGTTCACTGTGCCCCGTTCCAGCAACAGCAAAGTGACAAAGCAAACAAACACAGAATCGCAAACCTGGCACCCCTTGAAGGTTGGCCAATTGTGGGGACAAGGTACAGGTCAGGTGAGGTCGCTAATTAATGTTCCTCCAACTTTGGGCTGGCCACCAACTGTAAAGCCTCTCGAGACTTCTACCAGCTTCGCCCTGCCCTTGGAGGCGGGAAGGGTGGGGGTCCCCTTGAAGGGAGCTGAAAGAAGAAAGACTACGGTATCCATTGTTACCCGCAACGCACTGCAAAACGGATTTTTCCTTGCACCGCGACCATCACGTAGACAAAACAATGAACGGCGTCATCTAGCCCTACGTCGCAACTTGGGGAATCTCAAGGAAAGTTGGACAATTGGCGTGAAGTTGTCCATGGGCCTGAACAGGCCACACAGCTGTGGCCACTGGGGTAAGTAGTCACGCGACAAACGCCTCATGCTCATGCCAACTCAGGCGCATCCAATCGAGTTTGCTTCCTACGTAATGGCAAGTCATTGAACTCCGATTCCCCCGTCTTCTCTTCTCCCAGACTAGACCAGTGCAAATGCTGGCAGTCTTCTACCAACTGCATAACCTTTGTATTGGCTTGGTCTTCCTGCTTTCCTTTGGGGTCTGGCCATTATCACTTGCACCAGCCATTCCTCTTCTTCTCATTTGCCCTTGGCGAGTTGTGCTACCCCTTCTTGGCCTGGAACCACTACTTTAGGCTTTCACCCTCTGTGGTCCGCTGTCCAACACCCGCCCTGGCCCCGGAACTTTGGCACTCAACCGGCCTAGCAAATCGGTCACCCGGCCGGTCATTACCTGGTTCACAGCCCCGTCCGGCCCCGCTCTACAACGTCAGTGCCGAGTTGGACAGCCGGTACCTTCTGTTGCTCTCCGTGTTTGCACCCGCCTAATCAGTCACCCACTGCAACAACGACAGTGCCCGCCCTTTTGACCCTTCTAACCTCCATTCTGAGCCTGCCCTTGTCTTGTTCTGAAACTCCTTCCTTCTTCTTTCATAATCCAACGGACACCCTATCAAAGGAAGGAAAGCGGCACCTGACTGATTGCCGTGGCCCTTCTCCCTGTTGCTGGTCCTTTCTCTCCCACTTAGGCTTCAATCTTCCCTGCTCTTCTTCCGCGCCGCAAGCCTGTCTGATCTCGATCTCGATCTCTCCCCCCCCCCCCCCCCCCCCCCCCCCCCCAAAACACCATCTACAAATCGAAACCACATCACCTTCCACCAGTTCTTCGTCATGCCTGATGAGAAGAATTGTCCCATGGCGAACGCGGGCGCTAATAAGTCCGACTGCGCCATCGATGACTCCGACGATGGTGACGAGTCCTACGTCGAGGCTCAGAAGTCCATCTCCGACCTCAAGAAGCGACACACCTCGGGCCGTCTCAAACTGAGCGACTTGCCCTTCCGCTGGAGTCCCTTTGTTCTGCCGCTCACCGAGTCCAACGTCGAGTCTTGCGTCGTACTCGATAGGGTCGCTTTTCCCGACCACTGCGCTACGCGCGAAAAGGTGTGTTGACGCGCCCCGTGATTTCCCCATTTACCCCTCCCTCAATTGCACACCTCACCTCCGCGGCTTTCCTTCTAGTCCCCGTTATTGACCTCGAGACTTATTCGATGCACGCAAAGAGAGACAAGTCTGGGAGCCGATTGTCATCGCCGTTGCTGGGCATGCCCTCACAGTCTTGTTCCCTGCCCAAGGTTCACTTGTACTTACACATCATTGTAGTTCGAGTACCGCCTCTCGAGCTGCTCAAACATCTGCACTGGTTTGTTCTGCAGCATCGTCCCGAGCGAGGTTGGGAGCTTCCCTATCCCGACCCTCGCAGTTGCCAATGTCGTCGAGACTGGCCGTGCGCACGAAGCCAAGATGGTTATGCTCGGTCACGTCGTCGCGACCCTCGGCAACGGCCCCGTTGTCACTGATGAGGACATGGCCTGTCCCGATAACTGGCGCGACCAGAAAGCGTCCAAGGACTCGAGTCTTGGCCACAAGGTCACGGGTCGCACCGTCTGCATTCACTCCTTCGCCGTCGTTCCCAAGCTTCAAAACTGCGGCCTAGGCATGCTGCTCATGAAAGCGTATCTACAGCAGATCAACGAGTCTGGCGTTGCCGATCGTATCGCCTTGATCTGCCAGGACGTAAGTGGACCATTGTACCTGTTACGGTTCGTTGTCGGCCGATACTAACATGGCACAGTGGCTGGTGAGTTACTACGAGCGCTTTGGCTTCAAGTCTCTCGGCCACAGCAAGACCTCCTCCTTCGGTGGTGGCGGTTGGCATGACATGGTAAAAATAGGCGTCGATATCATAGCCTGGACGGTAGATGGCTAACATCCGTCCCCTTTTCATAGATCATCGACCTCTCTGGCCCCGCCAAGAAGCCCGCCGATGCCCTATTAACGCAAGACGAGTAGAACCGCGCCCTCCGCCTCAGAGGCAATCGTTGAGAGCTTTGATCGTCCGTTCTATACCAGTGCTTTCTCATCGAGCGAGCTAAGCAAGGGACCTGACCTTCGCCGTCTTTCTTTTGCGAATGAACAAACTGGAAATGGCTTATGGGTACGTACAGCGCGATCGTCGGGATGAGACAGGCGACTGCATGTTTGTATGGGTTGATGACTTGGCTCCTTTCCTTACCTACTGCGTAACGATACCTGCGAGATGGGAGTCTCCAAACGGTGTACCAAAGATGCATACTGAGGTAGACAACCGGATGAGGATCGGGACATAGAGTGTACCCTTGCTCCCGAGATCCGAGCAAGAAAAATACCACATGAGTTTGACTTTAACCTCCCATTTCGGCGTGAGGTATTTCAAAATGCGTACGATGCTTCTTATGTCACCTTTTTTTTTTTTTTTTTTTTTTTTTTAAATCGTCCCATGCGTCTGGCCCAAAGAGGCCCGATGTAGTTGTCCACCAGTATGAGCGCCGACCGCTGACTATGAGCCAGAACCGACACCAGTTGTCATAATTCCAGCCTTACACCATCCCAAACCAGAGCAAATCCCATTCCAAAAACTTAGTCAGTGGCCTTGTACTTGGCACGGTATTCTTCCGTGCGCTTAATGTCCTCGGCGGAAGCAAAGCTCTTGGCACCCTCAATGATGTCATCAAGCGTCAGGATGGCGAAGATGGGGATACCGTACTCCTTCTTGATCTCACCGAGGGCGCTGGGGCCAGGCTTGCTGTCATCGCCGTCGGCGGCGGGTAGCTTCTCCATACGGTCCAGCGCGACGACGATGCCGACGACCTCGCCACCTTCCTTACGGATTTTGGCGATGGCCTCGCGCTTGGCGGTGCCAGCAGTAATGACGTCGTCAACGATCAGGACCTTCTGGCCCTTGAGGGGCGCGCCGACAATATTGCCGCCCTCGCCGTGGTCCTTGGCCTCCTTGCGGTCGAAGGAGTAGCAGATGGTGCCGTAGTGGGCCGGGTCGAGCTCGGCGAGCTTGTCAGTGGTAGAGGTCGCGAGGGGGATGCCCTTGTAGGCCGGGCCGAAGACGACGTCGAAGTCGAGGCCGGTGGCCTCGCGCGCCTCGATGACGGTGTGGGCATAGGCGAGAGAGATGGCGCGCAGGAGGTCGGCGCGGTAGAAGTCGCCGGCGTTGAAGAAGTAGGGGGAGACGCGCTTCGACTTGAGCTCGAAGGAGCCGAACTTCAGGACGCCGCCGGCGATGGCGGCCTTGAGGAAGTCTTGCTTGTAGGGGGGCAGCTGGGAGGCCATTTTGGAGACGGGGCGTATCGGGGTTTCTTTGGGATAGGAGGGAAGGGACGTAGGATTCGGGGGTCGGTCTTCCAGAAGTTTGACTTGTCGCGGGCTGGAGGATGAAAGATCAAAAACAGAGGGACGGTTCCGGATACCCCTCCATCGATAGACATCTGCCCCGCGGGACGTGCCCCACCAAGAAAATTCAAAAAAAAAAAAAAAAAAAAAAAAGTCGGGAGGAGAAAGAATCCGCAGTCCCTGCATGTACTACTGCCGAGACATGATTACACCGCTGATTTAGCAACGGCTCAAGTGAAATCAAAATAAACGAAAATCGCAGGAAAACAAACAAATAAGGGAATCCGATAAGAAAGATAGTCAATAATTACATGAAAGAACACTAGATCGTGACTGGACTAGAGGAAAGCTGGCTGCAGATGTGCAACAGAAAAAACCGGGCGCCAGGATGCGATGCCAGACCCCATCACCCTGACACTTTTCGTCTGTGCGTATGATAAGATAAGCAAACCGAAAAGTTTTTGTGTGTGCAGGACGTTCGCCGCCCCCCCATCCTTAGCGCTACGTTCAGTCCACTGGCGGTGCACCTTGACCGATAGCAACATCTGAGGACTCTGCTTCGAGTTTTTGTTTCCTCACTCCAACGCAGAACCCCCAGCCGCCCAAAATGAAGACTCAGTATGTTTTGGAACCCCCTCTCCCCCCTCAATCCTCAAGACGGTTTCGCTAATACCCGTGAATCGCAGGTGGAAGGACCTCCCCCCGGTGCCGAACTCGCAAGAGTTCCTCGACATCGTCCTCTCGAGGACGCAGCGCCGGCTGCCCACCCAGATCCGATCCGGCTTCAAGATCTCGAGAATCCGCGGCTTCTACACCCGCAAGGTCAAGTTCACCCAGGAGACCATCACCGAGAAGCTCGGCCAGATCATCGAGTCGTTCCCGCGCCTCAACGACATCCACCCCTTCCACAAGGACCTGATCAACACCCTCTACGACGCCGACCACTTCAAGATCGCCCTCGGCCAGCTGTCTACCGCCAAGCACCTGATCGAGACCATCTCCAGAGACTACGTTCGCCTCCTCAAGTATGGCCAGTCTCTATTCCAGTGCAAGCAGCTGAAGCGCGCTGCGCTCGGTCGCATGGCGACGCTCATCAAGCGTCTCAAGGACCCCTTGGTGTATCTCGACCAGGTTAGACAGCGTGAGTGATGACCTGAGGCAATCCCCTTCAAAGGCGCGCTTGAGCTCGCTGACATTCGAACTAGATCTTGGCCGTCTTCCCTCGATCGACCCTAACACCAGAACCCTGCTCGTCACGGGTTTCCCCAATGTCGGAAAGTCTTCTTTCCTCAAGTCCGTCTCAAGAGCCGACGTCGACGTCCAGCCGTATGCCTTCACGACAAAGTCGCTCTTTGTCGGCCACTTCGACTACAATTACCTTCGTTTCCAGTGCATTGATACTCCTGGTATTCTCGACCACCCCCTCGAGGAGATGTAAGCACACGAACCAGACTCACAAAAGGTCTGTGGCACGAGATACTGACTTCCCACCCAGGAACACCATTGAAATGCAGTCTGTTACCGCCATCGCCCATCTGCGCTCCGCCATCATGTACTTCATGGACCTGAGTGAGCAGTGCGGCTACTCGATCCAGGCCCAGATCAACCTCTTCCAGAGCATCAAGCCCCTGTTCCAGAACAAGATCGTCTTCATCGTCATCAACAAGATCGACGTCGTCAAGCCGGAGGACCTCGACGCCGCGACCCAGGCGCAGCTCCAGGGCCTGCTCAAGTCGGGCGATGTTGAGATGCTCCAGCTGTCGTGCAACACCCAGGAGGGTGTCCAGCACGTCAAGAACACCGTCTGCGAGCGTCTCATCGCCGAGCGCGTCTCTCAGAAGCTCAGCGCCGGCACCAACAGCAGCGGCAACATTGGCGGCCGCCTCGCCGACGTCATGGCCCGTATCCACGTCGCCCAGCCCGGCACCGCGCCCCTGCAGACCTTCATCCCCGAGGGCGTCAAGAACCTCAAGAAGTACGACCGCGAGGACCCGGAGCGCCGCCGCCTCGCCAAGGACATCGAGGCCGACAACGGCGGCGCCGGCGTCTACAGCGTGGACATGCGTCAGGACTGGCTCCTCAAGAACCCGGAGTGGAAGCATGACAAGATCCCCGAGGTGTGGAACGGCCAGAACGTCTACGACTTCATCGACCCGGACATCGATGCCAAGCTGCAGGCGCTCGAGGAGGAGGAGGAGCGCCTCGAGAAGGAAGGCTTCTACGAGTCGGACGAGGAGCTCGACGACGAGGAGGAGGCCGACGTGCTGTCCAAGGCCGAGCTGATCCGCGAGAAGCAGGCCCTCATCCGCAACGAGGCCAAGATGAAGAAGCGCCTCAAGAACCAGGCCATCATCCCGCGCAAGTTGCAAAAGGTGCCGCTGTCCCAGATGGACGACGCCCTCGACCAGCTCGGTGTCGACACCACCGACATTGTCAACCGCGCTCGCTCCCAGTCCCGCCCCCGCGGCCGCTCCCTCGGCCGCTCTCGCGCCGGCACCGAGGACGTCGACATGATGGACATGGACGCTACCCCCAAGGAGCGCCTCCGCTCCCACAGCCGTGCCCGCAGCCAGAGCCGCGCCCCCATAGTCAACCGCCGCGAGGATGGTGTCCAGGACGTCGAGGACCGCACCAAGGCCGACCGTCTCGCCAAGCTGTCCCAGAAGAAGAGGAACCGCATGGCCAGACAGGGTGAGGGTGATCGCCACACCACTGTTTCTCTGCAAAGACATTTGGTACGTTCTATTTACCTGCTGCTTCTTTCTTGTAACACCTCCCCCTTCTCCCAGGGGGGGGTCAGACTGAACTGCGACAGCATGCTAACTACCCCCTTTCTTACAGGTTGCTGGCAAGCGTGGCTTGGGCAAGAACCAGAGACGTTAAGGACGGTCGTCGGTAATGGATGATTACAGAAAAGAGAACAAAAGTAGATATGGCTCACTTGGGGGTTGGTTTGTTTTGGTTTGTTTTGGTTTTTTGATCCAACCTCTTTTTCTCTCCTCCCCTTACTTCGGCATGGTGGCGTTTGGTCTTTGTTTGTTTTTCTTTTCTTTTGACTCCTTCATCATTCGCTTGGCGATCACCAGTAAGAAAGAAAGAAGAAAAAAAGTAGGAAGATGGGAAGAAGGACAACAGGGGGAAAAAGACTTGACGTGCCTTTTGAGAAACGTACATCAAAAGCGTCGCGCGGTTGCTCTGATATGTGTACGTGCATGTCGTTTTACACGGTCGTCGGCCACAGAGGTCACACGGCCCGAAAAAGGACCGTTGAATACCCCGAATGAGAAACTTGAAATTGAGTCAATACCCCCCACCCCAAGGCTTGCATCGTGCTCGTCCGCATGTTACATTTGTGTTGCGGACACTATGGATGAAGGGATTAAAAAGTGCAGTAATTTGGTTTGAAATAACCTTGAAGAGTCCCACCCCAAGATGATTTACGTCCGAGGCGTATATATATCTACTCCGGATTGCCGTCTGTTGCGACATACGATGGCTTGATGCCTCTCAAGACTCGACTTCCCCCCGCCTGTAGCCCTCCTTCCGTGGTTCCATAACAACCTCGCGCCTACTGCTCAGCTGCGACCTGGAGACCCTCTCTCAGGCCCTCAACCTTGAGCTCCTCACCGGTGGCGCGGCGGTAGATGTCCTTGACGTCGTCGGTCGTGCTCTCGAAGTGACTGCTGGCGTCGTAGCTCTTGGAGACAAAGACGTTATCGCCGGTGCCGTCGTCCGTGGGCTCGTAAATGGGGATGGGGGCACCCTGTGTTGAATCCGTTAGTGCTGTGTCCATTATGTACATAATCTCCTTCACAATTTCGCTTACCATGAACTGCTCTTCGATCTGACCGAGACGCTCCAGGCCGGGCTGAAGCTCGACGTGGTGGTTGGCGTTGGTCTCGGCAATGGTCGAGACGATAGCGATCCAGTAGCCCTTGGGGCAGACGTTGTGTGCCGATGAGACGCAGGCGATGTAGATGTCTAGCCTCGGTTAGCTGTCTCGTGCAAGCATCTTTGCCCCATTCACTCAAACGTACCGTTCTTGCGGCCAATCTGGGATTGGGGGATAATGAGCTGGGCAGAGTCGGCGTCGCTGGTGCCGGCCAGAGGGTGCTTCAAAATGCAAATGGCACGCAGGACCTGTCCGACAACCTTGACCTTGCCAGGGAAGTAGCTGGGGTCGCCGAGGATCATCTTGGCCTTGGTCTCGAACTTCATCTCCTCAACGCCAGTCATGGTGGCCTTGATACCGACAGCCTTGCCGCCCTCGTACAGCACCTCGTCGACGTTGGTGTTGAGCATGTAGGTACCTCCGTAGATGGCCGACAGACGGGCGAAACCCTGGGGAAGCTCGCCGAGACCGTACAGAGGGTAGATGTAAGGAGACTTGCCGTAGCGGGCAACCGAGGTGCCGTACAGGCGGATGCGCTCAATGGCCTCCGGGGCGGCACCGGGCTTGTTGAGGTAGTCATCGGTGGTGAAGAGGGCCATGGCATGGCCGATGAAGTCACGAGTGCCAGTCTCGAGGCCGAACTTGTCGTAGACCTCCTTCATGGTGACCGTGCTGATGTCAAGGCCTTGCGAATGTCAGCCACTGCGGGGGTTCTGGGATGCTTGAAAGCTCCGAAGGAGTTGGCTGCACTCACCCTTGTGCGTGGCGGGGTCCTTAATGTCGAAGGTGCCGACCCACTCGATGAAGCTCTTCATGCGGCGCTTCTCGAAGATGCCCATCAAGGGCGAGCGCAGGGCCTCACCGGCATCGGAGGGAACCTTGGCGACGGTGGCCTTGGAGCTCTGGCCCTGCTGGACGTAGCTGCCGGCAACCTGCTTGAACTCGAGGTATCGTGTGACGTCAGTTGAGACGAGGATGTTGGTCAGCTCGCCAGCAGACATGAGGAACTTGGGAACGAGGTCGATGTTCCAGTCATTCAGACGGCCGTACTTTGTCCAGGGCTCCTCGCCCTGTGCGTAGTTGCCATACTTCTTAAAGAGCTGCGAATGCACATGGTCAGAACTCAGACCGAGGGACAGGCAGGGATCTCGGGTGTGTTTACCGTCTCGAGGTTCACGGAAGCTGCCTCGCTGCCGGATGTTAGCTTGAGCTCACTGGAAGGAGGGGGAGAAAGGCAAGCGCCGGCCAGGGCGATGGGAACTTACCCGCCGTAGTGGTCATTGCGGTCAATGTGGAGGACCTTCTTACCCTTCACACTGAGGACACTGCACGCGGGGGAGGACTGTTAGCATGCCACAGAACAACTCGACTACGATGCCGGAAGCTTGCTCACCCAGAGAGAATACACTCAGTCAGGCCTAGATGCAGCAGACGGTGAGACGGTCAGTTAGCCAGGAAGCTCCTCGGGAGAGGAGGGGGGGGGACCCCACACGCCGACGAGCGACGATGCGGGGCAATAAAGGAGGACGGGCGCGACGTCACGTACCAGTGCCCAGCACGATAACATCGTATTCCTTTGCAATCTCATCCATGGTTGCGGCAACAGAGGAGTGGTGTGGTTGTTGTATTTAAAAAGGCGGATCGGGGGTTGGTTTGGCAGAGGAAGGGGAAAGGTGGAAATGGGAACGGGGAGAAAAGTATGTTATGTTCGTTGCGGTGTTGCAAGCAGACACGGGACCGGAAATGCAGCAAAAAGAGGATCGAGTGGGGGGGGCGAGGGCCACCTGCTATGCCGTAGAATTGCTAGATTACTGCAATTACCTGCCTGGGTCGCCCAGCGGGTTTGGAGGGGTTCAGCGTCGAGTGTGTCATTGGGGACCAGTGCCTGCGCTCGCCTGGGCCTGTCTGGCTCCAGTGCATTACCAGCGGCCCATGCAAGAGGTCCGCTCCCCGCCTGCTCACCGCTAGCAGAGAAGACATGGACCAACCGAGGCCGCTAGAGGTAAAGGCCAGGCATGTCAGGTACCTCTGGACCCTTTGTCGGTCTCGTTCTTTGTGTTCTCCTGGCTCGCTGGCGTACTCGGCGGTGTGATTGGGCCTGTCCCTGCTACCAGGACCCAGCTCCCGCCCTTCCCCGTCCCGGTTCTGTAACGTCAATGCAAACACAAGTCTCGATTCATCCATTACTCAGTTACGGACAGTCCTCCTCGGAATTATGCAAATGCTTGCTGTTACTGTGTACGAAAACTGGGGGACCTATGAAAACGGTCATCAGTTATGTCGTGTGTCTCGCTCGCTTCAGCCACGAGCTCACACATCAACAGCCGGTGTGCGTCTGCAGGGTCGGGGGAGAAAGGCAATCATTTCTAGTCGGCTTTTGGAGGATAAGCCTGGCACAAAATATTCGTATCGTACAAGGGTCTATACATGTCTGGATACAATGGTACATGGCTCTCCCGTCGTCGGCCCTCATACCGGACGGAGAGACTACAGCTACCGGGCTGCTCAAAACTTCGGTTTCGGCAGCGAGGGTTCGGCCTGCTCAGCCTGCGGCGCGGCCTCCTTATTCTCCGTCTCGGGCTCGGCCGGAGCCTCGACGGCTGGTGACTCGACGGCAGCAGCCTCGACGTCCTCAGTCAAATACTTGTTACTCGCCGGATCCTCCTCATAGCCCGACAAGGGCATGTACGCTTCTCCCTCGCCTGAGAGGTCGACCTCGGGGTCTTCCTCCGCCAGCTTGCGCGCATCCTCCCAGACGTAAAAGCGCTCGGTCAAGACGTGCTTGATCGCCTTCATCGTCGTAACAACCTGCACCCGAACCTGTTAGCGTTCATCTCTCCGTGTCGGCGTGGTCGGAGTCAATCACAAACCGTCTCGTCCCTCTCGTTGGCCTCGTAGGCGCCGAATCCAAGCTTGCGTCTCTCCCGCTCGCGACTCGTCGTCGAGATGCGGTTTCTCTCCTTCAGACAGACATACCACAGCGTGTGGAGATCTTCCCAGCTCTTCTTCCGCAGCTCATCCACCGTCCACGCGCGGCCGTGGGACTGGTCCTCCTTGGGTGTCTGCAAAAGCTTGTTCTTGCCGTAGAAGAAACCCCAGAGCCCGTGGTTCGGGTCCACCGCAACCTCGGGCTTGTAGTTCGCCGGCTTGGGGAGCGTCTCCCAGGAGACGGAGAGCGGCTCACGGGGGCCGGTCCTCTTCATGGTACTGACGCCTCGCAGGCGGTTGTTGTCGCGAGTCTTGCGCACCGAGTGCCCAGCCGAAGTCGAGAAGCATGCCGCTGCGGTTCGGGGCTGCGCCGCCGTTGTCGATATCGTGGACAGCCAATTGCGGGTCTCTTGGAGTCGCAATATGCGGCCTATCGATGGCCGCATCACATTGGGGTTCGCCATCTCTGGCAATTGGGGTCAATGAGGCTGCTGGTAAGGATCATGAATCCCTTTTTGAGAGCTCGAACTATTTCGCCTGCTCAGAAAATTGGGCGAGCATCCGGCCAATCAGACGCGCGTGTGCGACGGCTGCGGGAGAACAAGCCACCGTCTGAGTGGGTCTGAGTTGGACGAGTAGAGCTCCAGCCACTTGGCTGCCACGATGCGTGGCGACGCGAAATCCAGTGTGGCTGACGCGTGAATTGCTCTTATCCACAACGGTTCTTCTTCGCGGTCCAACGATTCTCAACTGGACATTTACCCGACCTTTTTGGTTTCAGAGTCGAGTTGGCCTTTCTCATCTTGAATTTGTGAGGCTGAACTCGAAAGTTCATATTCTTGGGACCATGGAATTGTTCACGTCCGAACTCTGCCAGCTCAAAGCTCAATGAACGCGTCCCCTCGAATACGTGCCTCCAGCTCACCAAGTTAAGCGTTCTACTGCCTCTACTGCTTTCGCCCGCGCCACCAACTGCCACGGAACCCAGTAGCTTATTGTTTCGCGTGGGGCCACAAACGATTAAAAACGTCTAGCTAAGGGCGGTATTAAAACACCTCCAACGAGATAGGCATTCGCTGAAATTTGCCGTCCAGTGAGTGTCAGCCTGGCAAAAAAGGGTGGGTTTTCAGCACCTTCCGACATCCGGTCCAGGAGTTCGAGCAGATGCAAGAGAACATACCACATACCAGAAGCGTGATCTTCAGAAAGGTGCAACATGCACGTGAGTCTACCTAGCTCAAGGGTATCGGCATGACAGCCTTACTAGAAGAGTCAACTTTTCCCGTTTGCAAAGGCCATTCACAATCCGATAGCCATCACTGCGCAGTCGCTGATGTCCCAATGATGGTCGGGAATGGGCCACGTCGTACCCATCCATGTTCCAACTGCCTTGTATGTCGAAGCAGGAGAATGAATGTATATCGGCAGCGCGCTCAAACCTCGCCGAGTAATCCCCCTGTAAATCCGGGATAGCTAACATCCTCGTCCCCAAGAGCGTACCTTACGAACGCACTTCTGTCCAGATAAATCGTAGAGAAGCCCGCCCTCACCCACGCAGGCGTCTCCAAAAGCGCCCAGTTGTCGTCGGTTATTGGATAAAAATCATAGTTCTCGACCAGCCCCCTCTCCTCGCCATCGACCTCGACTCTGTCAACCTGCCGAAAGCCCCCCTCGAGATGGATCTTCTCCAGCACACAGCCAGCCTTGTCCGCTCTCAACCTGCCCCTTAACCCCGTAAAGAATCCGAACCATGTCCCCATCTCGAGCCATATCCCCCCCCTGGACTTGTCCCTCACGTTGGCGACTCCCCGTCCGCCCAGCCTCAGCCGTTTCAACGTTGTGAGCTGGCCCCTCAGAAACCCGGACAGTTCCTCTTGCGTGGTAGCGAAACCCTCCAGCTTCAGGTCCGTTAGCCTCCACGTAGTGCACCTCAACAGCACTTGGTTCAACCGTCCCGTCTTGCGCGAACGGTCTCCGAGCGGGCGATAGAAGTGCTGCTTCACCTCCAATGATTTGACACGTCGGCAGCTCGCCAACAGCACTTCCACAAGCTGAGTCCAGCTACCAGAGACGTTCTCCATTGTCTCTCTGGCCGTCTCTTCTCCAGCCGACCCCGAATAGTCCAGGCCGAGCTTTGCTTCCTCCAGCCGTTCCCCTACGCTTCTTGCAAATTCACCCCAGGCCGTCTCCGTCGTAACAGACGGCGTCATTTTCATAGGCAAGCGGTCAACTTCAAACCTCTTCAAGCAGCCAAAATTCATCAACACCATCGCCAGCATCCCAAGCATTGTACTCGCCTCACACGGCTCGGACCACCTCACTGACGGGGTCCGCAAACGCTCTCCTCAAGATCACACCCTCATATGGGCACTCATTGAACAAAATCCTCACGTGCTCAAGTGCTTCAATCTCGCCGCCGCATTGACCAACCGCTTTACATCACCCTCTTCCTCTTCGGCGAGACGTGCTATCGCCTTCCTCCTCGCTTCCGCGTCGTAGAACTCCGCCCAGCCATGTCTCAACACCAGCGACTCCCTGTCCTCGGGGTCCATGAACCAGTACTGGAAGAAGCTCGCGTGGCGGCCGGGATGTTCATTGAGGCGCGCCAAGTTAACAGTCCAGGACCGGAGGTGGCGGCGGAGCCTGTCGTGTCGAGACCAGTTCTCGAGCCTCATCACATCGTCGCGCCAGCTCAGGTGCGTGAAAGTTGTGGTGAAGAGATAAAGGAACCCAACGTCTGCGAAGGCCCGTCACAAGAGCCTAAGGGTCTTCGTGTCGCCAGTCGAAGAAACATGGGCAAAGATGAGCTCGATCAGCTCTACAGGCAGGGCGTTTGCCGCCATATTCCCACAAGGGGGTACTCTAATCAACTGGACGGGTTCGGAGGATTATACATTTAGTGCAAAAAGAAACTTGAACAAGATTGTACTCAAGACCTGCCAGCTGGTGTGTTGTGGAAGGAAGATAGATGGGGGCTGCCCTCGACGTTGGAGTTGGTGAGGGGTGGAGATACTCATTCCTTATTCACTAAAGCCACGCCCCTCTCCCATATGCCCCACCCTCGTCCAATCGTTCCCTTTTTCAACGACGATAACTTCCAAGAACCTCGTCCTCGTAAAACTCCATCAACCTCGCTCGACGGCCTTCACTCGATTTCAATCAAAGGCTCTTCAAAAGGTAAGCCTCAAGCCTTACTGCCCTCCCTGCATCATCTCTTAGCTGTTCACTCACATGTCTGTGACGCCAGTGATGCCATCCGTCCCGCCCTGAAAGATCATCTCGTTCATCCACCTGTCTGACCCCCCGGAGACCAGATGTTCAAGTGAGTTTAAAGCCCGCCAGCCCACCTCCTTCTCTCTCATCACATAAACAACCACATAAGCAACCTGGCAATGCCTATTCCCCTTAAAAGTCGACGTTGCTCACATGAAACTCAACCCCCGGCAGAGCCTACAAGAATCTTTCCCCAAAGACCCGCCTGGGCGTCGGCGTAGCGGTCCTGGCCTGGGGCGCCGCCGGCCTTTACCTCTCCGACCAGGCAGAGGAGAAATACCAGCCGACCCCAGAGGAGAAAGCTATCGTCGACAAGTATGTGCCTAAGGTTACCGTTGTCGACAGGTCCAAAGAATAGCAAACAGCCGGCATGCACGTATGGCTCCCAGTCACCGCCGTGTCCGCTTGAGAGAGGGACACGGGTCCGAGTCCGTCCGTATACGCTCTTCCAGCTACAGGATTGATGCCACAAGGCATCTCATACTTGCAATGAATGGGTCCGTTACAAGCGTCAAAGGATATGATATCAAGCCTTCAGAGTTTTCTTTTTACAATCGAGTCAATTTTGCAATGTCTAGTCTTCAAGTCCAGGCCGTAACTTGCAAAGAGAACGGAAAACTGGGCCAAACATCGATACCTCCCTGCAGACCTGGTTTTCTTCTTCAGTGATGCGATAAAAGAGTAAAAAAACAAGACAAGTACCACCCATTTTGAGACATCTACCATTAGACCAGACCAGTCTAGCCACACGGACCGCCAAAACAAGTCATTATGAGCGAAAAGCTATGGATATCGTGACAACCTCGTCGGGCCACCACTGGTGCCACCCGAGAGCCTCCCAGGTTCTATCTGATCGCAGTCTAATGCAGTGCCAACTCCGCCTCCCCCGTCTATCATTGCGTGAAACCACCCGCCACAAGATGCATATCAGAACTAACCACCGTCGATCCGGCTTTGATGCAGTAGGGAATCGAGAATGCTTTTCCGCAACAAAGCTTGTGAGTCGATGAGAACCGACCCATGAGGAAACAGTAAAAAAAAAAAGAGGAAAGAAAAAGAAAATAAATGCAAAACAGACGCCCCACCAAATGCAGTTGGTTTTTTTTGTTGTTGTGAAATGTCAGAGCATGCCAGCCGCTGCCGTGCCGATATCCGTTTGAACAGAAGGTATTCCTGGATCCTCCACCACCGCCGGAAGAGGTTTAAAAAGTCGTGCCATATCGAGTGTCAAGTTTGCCACCCCAAAATCCTTATCGATGTCTCCAACCGATCCCAATTCCTCACCCCGTGTTGCCCCGTCCGACATCACCCAAGCTTTAACCGACTTGAGCAAGTGCATCACCTCAATAAACCGCGCGTCCGGTTCCATTTGTAACTCCGATGTCCGTGTGTGTTTGAGAAGGTACTTGGCAAGCCAGTAGAAATGAATACCATCCCTAGAGAACCCGTACCTGCGCACATTCTTTGCTGATCCAGGTGGAAATTGATTGACCATGTCAGCGTCCCAGTTGGTCTTGAACTTTTGCAGTGCCATTCGGAAGGAGTCATGAACGTGGGTTGGGATGCCTTGAAGAGCGGGATCGACTGGCGTGCCTCTGCCGCTGTTGGCGCCGTTGGCATCTGATCCCCCGTTCATCATCCAGTCGCTCATGGGGGGCGTCGCATACCCCTTCATCACAGCACTACCGTCCAACTGAGCGCGTCGGATTAACGACAGAATGGCGTGTATCAGAACGAACTTGCCATATAAGTTCGTTCTGCCTGGCTGGATTTGATACGATCCATGCAGCAATGCTTGGAGGGCATAGCTCATCTCGGGCTGCCTGCTGCGTCGCGTCCCATTCGGGTTCTTTTGTCGTGCCAGTTCCTCTCCGTGAAGACCAAGAGCGTCCTCGCAATCCTTCTTCGTCCGTGCATCCCATGCGGCATCATCGGATGGCAGCGGAATATGCATTTCCAGACTATCGATGTGAGAGCGGGCGTTAAAATAGAGTTCCATGGCGGAGTTGCAGAGGAAGATGATGTGCATGAGACGTATCCGCTTTTCCTGCTCAACCCACACACCCCAATCGAATGTGGAGACGTCGAAGTTCTGAGGGGTAAAGTTGCTCTGGTGCAGCGGGCTGAAGAGGGGCAATCTGGTGGAGACCTCCAACAGACGAAGCCTGCGAGCCTGCCCCGCCACTGCTGGGAAAATCTCACGAGCACTCTCTCGGTGTTCAGGAGTGCTGTTCCAGATCAGCAAAATCTGGAGAAGCATAACAGCCTGAAGCTCCTCGAGGTTGCGTTGGCCGTTGCTCGAGTCACCGGCGTTGACATTACCGTTGTGCTGCTGCTTGTCCGCAGTCGGCGCAAGAAATTGCACGTCTCGAACCAGAGCCGCCTTGAGAAAGTTCATCATGTCGCGCACGTGATCTGGAGAGAGACGATCCGAGTAGCAGGCGCCCATGCAGCACATGCCGGCTAGCAAGCCAGTGTACGAATCCATGATGCGGAACGTTTGGGTATGGAGAATAGGAAAATGGACATGGAAATGGGTGTACTTTTCTAAAAAGTCGCGTATGTTATCGGCGGAAAAGTATAGGTTGAAGCCGGCACTTTCGTTGGTTATCGGGGAACCTGGAGGGTAGAAGAAGTTGAGGATCTGGTTGGAGAGTTGAGTGAAGGGGTCCTGGATCGATGGCGGCACGCCCCAGGTCGAGTAGAAGAGAGAATCGGGGTGGGTTTGGAGGCCAGGAGGACCTATTGTTCTTTCGGTGCCGGTATTAGGCTCGGGTTTGGTTGCGATCTGCGTCTGTCCAAGATTAGGGGGGAATTGATGATTTGCGTAGGTTTGTTGCGCACCAGCCTGGAACATTTGAGACCAATCAAGGCCCGATTGTTGGTTCGAGTTCGACCCGCCATACATGGACATTCCATTCTGACCCGGGGGCATATTGTAGTTTTGCATCTGTTGATTCATATTGGGCGTCATGGAGCTAGGGACATTGCCGTTGTATGCCTGCTCGAAGTTGCCACCTCGTCCAGAAGCATCCATGACAGATCCTGTCAAATCCCGTCTGTCTTGGTTACTGCCATTATCAAGCCTAGTCAGGCTGCTGGAGCGCGACAACTGACTCTGATCGTTTGCAAGGTTGCTCATCCCATCCTGCACAGGCATCATACCAAAAGGCTGAACCATGCCATCCGTAGGCATGTTACCAAGACCATTGAGGTGGTTAAGACCGCCATCCTGACCAAGCGCCTTCTGGGCGGCAGCATTCTTCTTGACATGAGCCTGAGGGTGGGACAAGTGGCTAGCACCAGTCGGGTTGCCTCGGCGGATGGAGCACTTCTGGAAGTGACGCTTGAGAATGTCACTTCGCGAGAAAGTGTCGCGGCATAGAACGCACATGTAGGGGCGGTCGCCGGTGTCTATAGATCGCAATTGTCAGCGAAAAGAGTCGTGGCCAATCGCGGATTGGAAGGAGGGAGCACTTACGGCGTAGCAGGTGGCGCTTCAAGTGCTTAGCGTGGAGGTAAGTCTTGGTGCAGTGAGGGCACGGAAACTTGCCATCAGCATCCTTGACCGGAATAACAGTGCTCTTCCCGTTGCCGGCGCCGGCAGGCGTGGCGGCGGGACGTCCAGGAGCACTGGGCAAGATGCCACGGCGACCCTGAGAACCGACGACGTGGGTGGGCTGGTCGCTGTCACCAAGACCGCCGGGCATGACGCCGCCGGGTCCGTAGGGAGAGTTCATACCGGGCTGGGGCATGACGCCGCCGGCGGGCATGGGCCGAAGAACAGGAGGGACACGGCCGGAGGCAGGCGCAGGCGCGATGGGCTGCGGATGAGAAGAAGCCATCGTGGTCTGAGGCAACATGGACTGAGTGCCGTAGGCCTGGGGCGGGGGAGGATACTGGCCCATCTGCTGGTAAGGACCGCCACGACCCGGCTGCTGCTGCTGCTGCTGCTGTTGCTGCTGCTGAGGGTAGGCAGGCATGTTGTTCTGCGAACCCGGAGTGTTGGGAGTAGCAGGAGTGCGAGGCGTGTGAGGGTTGCTGCCGTACATCTGGTTCATGGCTGCGGAGGTCTGCGGCTGCAAAGGCGGCAGAGTCTGGTGAGGCAGCGGGGAGTTGGTGTGCTGGAGTTGGTGAGGCGTGATGGCGGGGGGCGACGGGTAGGAGGCCGATGTCGTGTTTATACCGTTGTTAGGGTACTGGGAAGCGTCCATGCTATCCACTGATTTGTCTGCTGGCCTTTTGTCGAGACAAAGGCGCACAGAGCAAGCTTGCTTGTTGCGAGGTCGAGACGCGTTCCTACGTCTGAACGGGGGACTCGTCCAAGGCCTCGTGGGAAAATTTTTGTGGGACACGAGACAATGAAGCCGCTGACCCAATGGAAGATGATGCTGCACGCCGAGAAAAGGAATACTCGAAATGTCAGCTGAAGGTGCAGGTGAAAAGAGATTCTTCAGAATAAGCTTTCCGTCGAAGGATGATGGAAAGTCGCGAACCCAAAGACAACACGCGAAGAGGGTGTTGTTTGTAAGGTGGACTTTTGGTGGTGGGATTGAGGCTCCAGTTGATCCCGTTTGGAGGTGGTTTTGGGGAGGGTCGGGAGTGGAGCAGATGGGGCTCGATCCTTTTTATTTTTTTTCTCTCTGGCGCGTCGTTGTCTTCGGCAGAAAAAGCCTGTCAGGTACCTGGCGGCGCCGAGAGGGGTCAGAGGGTGGGAAGGAAGGGGAGGGAAGAAAAAAAAAAGTGGTCTTGCCGGGGTGGATGCCGAGGGTGTGCAGAGTAGGAACCGTTGAGCAGTGGTCACTCCGTCCAAAGAGGAGGAGGGGAGAGGGAAAAAAAGGGAAGAAGTGGGTTTGGACGTCGCCCCTTCTAGGAGGAGTGGAGACAGCGAGGTCTTTATGAAGGGCCTTTTTCGGAGAGAGTGTGGGAGGTTGGCCGTTGGTCGGGAATCCTGGTTGACGGATGATGGGTCGGCAGGCAGGTGAAGAGAGGAAGTAGTGTAAAGGATGGGGTGGATTGGGATGGGTGGGTTATTTCTTTTTTGTGCAAGGACGGTGTGAGGTACAGTGCTTCCTTTGCGGGCTCTTCTGCTGCGAGATGCCAAGGCAAGTAAGTACCCTATTGTCAAGTAGATTCGGGAGAGGCAGGATAAGACCTGACCAGAACAAGAAAGTTGGATACCACCGCGGTCCCCAGATCAAAGCATTGGCGGATGGTTCGAAAAAGAATTGGGGGGAGGGGTGCGCGGATGGATGGGAGAGAAGTGAGTGGTGGTGGTGGTGGTGGTGGTGAGGTGTGAGAAGTGGATGTGGGAAGGGGGGAGAAGAGGGGACCCGTTTTTTTGTTCCTTTTTGCCGCGGTCAATCCACTTTGGGGTTAAGGTGATAAATATCAGAGGATTGGCTGGGTTCTTGGTCACGGTTTCGAGTATTGACTCTCACTGATGGAATTCCGGTCGAGTCAGCGCTATGGGCAAACGGAGGACGTGCAACAATAAGCTGGCAGGCGGATGAGAGGGAGAGCAGAAAGTGAGACAGGGACTTGACGTGTGTGCGCGAGAAAGAGACGGAGAGTGCGTGGGGGGGGAGAGAGAGAAGAGACGATGGAAGCGAAAGGAAGCTCCCATCGACGAGTGAAAATTCAAATACTGCCTACCTCTATGCGCACGAATTTTAAAAAAAAAAAAAAAAAAAAAAAAAAAAAAGGGAAAAGGAAGAATAATTAGCAGGTAAGAACAAGAGTGAAGCAGGACAGGAAGGTACCATCCATGTACCTTGCCTTCCTGATTTCCAGGGCGCTTGAAAATTTTGAGGGAAAGCACCTCGTCGATACCAATCAATGCCTGCCCCGGAGATGCTCGTACACAGGGCAAGCACTGTGAGCGACGACTGTACGTGTGAGAAAAGCTGAGCAGACATAGACGGACAGGGTCCTCGACGGCGGTGATTCAGGGCTCAAGAGACGGTGGTGTGCGCTTGGGAAAACAGGAATGGGTATAGAGATGAGGTAATGCGAACTTGGTTCGGTCGACGTCCATTGTGCAGGCGAGTGTCAAGAGAAGGGGACTCGAACTAGCCGTCCTGTCCCTAGTAATCCGTCCACCCATATCCACCTATGAGGTAGGTAGGTAGGCACATTGACAAGGTACCTCTGTCAACCTGTCAGTATTCACACAGGCCTGCGCCATGCCGTTGGCTTCAAACAGGGCGGTGACGCGAACAATTTTCTGAGCGACAGGCTTGGTTACCATGCACGGTGGTCATTCGGCTCGAAACTCAATGGCAATCGTGCACTGCCCTGCACCGGAACAGGTACGATATTTGGTTTAACAACAAGGAGAGGGGATAGTAATAGTAATAGTAATTGGACTAGGAATGAGGAGAGATAGAGAGAGAAATGGGCATGACTTTGGCAAAGTCTGCATTAGATCAACAGGGCTATGCAACGTGATATTGTTTATGCCTGGATGCGGTGGCTATTTTGCTGGCTCGCTCGCTCGCTCGATATTCTCTGTCTACCTCACCGTCCCTGCATCGTATCGTGCACCGAATCGTGTAAATCGAATCTAGTCACTGTCTCACCGTCTGCCTTCACCGTAAGAGTGCCATTCTCCCACGCATACCTCATGGTTGTCGGGTCGTCATCAAACTCTGTCCCAACTCCCGAGGCAACACTTTACTCTTGCTGTCCCCCTTCTCCCCTCCGTCCCGCCTCAACATACATTTTCCAGCAACTCGAGGAAAACAAGGGCAGGACGTTTTAGCTTTCTTGGAATTGCCATCCAGTCAGTCGGATTCCCACAGGACAACAGAGGAAGTCAAATTCCAGGGCGCTGGCGTCACGACGGCGCCTTCCTGCATTCGTCCTTGCCGACCGAGCATATTCGTACATTATTACCGGACAGTGTTAGATGGGGAGTTGCTCCACCCTTGCACGCTGCTGCCATACCATGCCATGTTTGTAGGTTGTGCCTTGCCTTGCCTTACCTGCACGCCTCCTTCCTTGCCCGACAGTCCCTGCCCTGTTTGTCTGCCACGCCTGCCTTGTCTTTGCGCTTGCTGCTACCTCTTCGTACACGTACACGTACTCATACACGTAGGGGGGCGGAAAGAACTCCGTAATCGCAGTCACACGCCTTCCTGAAATTGAAACCGCATTCGAGCAAGAGAACTGGCCGCACCTGCACCACTGTGTCGTGTGGTGTCGTATAGTCCCGTCACAGTAAAACCAGGTAGGTACCTAGGTAGGTAGGTAGGTACACACTTGCAATAAACCCTACTTCTGCAGCTTCGTCAGGTCCGTCCCTCTTTGTGCTTGCCGAGTAATTGCAGTCGATTCCCTGTCGACTGGGAAGTCCCTGGTCGGAGGCTCGAGCTCGAGTCCCTCGAATCCGTCCCAGTTTTGTTCCCTTCTTCCGCTTCTTCCAACTATTCCATGGCCCCCCTATTTCCCCTCTCCCTTTGGTCCCCTCCTTGTCATCGTTCCTCGAACTCTTTCTCGTACGCCTTTGCCCCGGAGCTGCAGAAGCTGAAGAAGCACCCACCACACCTTCCATCACCCCGGTGTTCAGGACGTTCGCGCTCTCATGGTCGCGGCTCCGACGTTCAACCCACTCCTACCGCCCCCCCCTTTAGCTGCAGCTGTGAGCATCGTTCGCCAGAGCATCCACACAAGCTGTCTGCCTGCCCGCTGTGGCTCCCAAGCTGCCACGTTAGGAGGTGTCACCCAGTGCCTCGAGTACGTGCCGCAGCCTGCAGCAGGCGTGCGCTCCCGCATGGGTGTGGTCCTGGTGCTGTTCCTCCCGCGTCCCGCCGCTGCCGGTTTCCCCTCCCAAAATCAAATAAAATAAATCAATAAATAAATAGAAGCGTTTAACGTGGGCCAGGAGGTATCCATTCGCTAGACACCATCTCGCCCACTCCTTCCCTCTCCCCCCAAAAAGCCCCCAACTCCCGTTTCTTCAGGGTGAGGATACGTGCGTGGGTGGGTTGGATCCCACCTGCAGACAAGCACACGCCAGCAGATGTGATGAACCCTTAATTTGATACCAGCGGCGCCTCTGGCATCCTCCATCCTACCGCGCTGTCTTCATTTCTCTCGTTCACGTCGTTGCCACCATCAAGCCTCACGCAACGCACTCGTCGCGGCATTGTGTTGTCAACTGGCGCTGGACTACACAGTCTCCGTTTTTCGGCGTTTTTGGGTGCCGCTCTGCATACACACACACTATGTCCCTTTCCGGGCATGCTACACTTTGACACACCCACGACACACGATACACGCGGTTGAATCGAATCGAATCGTCTTGTTGCGGCCTCTTCCGCAGCTAAGATGCGTCGGGAAAATGCTCACCATTACGTCAATCTCTGCTTTCCCTGTCACCGGCAAGCGCCCCCCTTTTTACATAAACTAGTGGTTTACATCGTCGCCAACCCTAACATCCTGGTCCATCCAAGACAATACGCGCACGACAAGACACCGAGCACAAGCGTTCAGTACTGAGATCGACCCCTTATCGCGGCGTGCTGCACACGCTACAGTGCAGGCTGCGGGCGGGACGCCTGTAACGGTTTGACTCCAAGGATGCCCTAGCATCAGGCAAGATAGTCGTCAACCCTGGCTTTGTCGAAAAATGATGAGACGATGGCCAACCTTGCAAGCGTCACGACCGCAAGACGCAAATCAATGGGGTATCGTTACTCTGCGTTATACATACGACATGCTCAATGGTTGGGTACCTGAACGGAACAGGGTAGGGCAGGGTAGGGCACGATGCTGCCAGCTGCACTGCACCTTGTGAGGATCAGCCCCTGCTCCTGGGATGCACCAAGGACACATACACACACACACTTGCTCGCTGGGCGTAGGATGGTGTACGGCGTAATGGGCGGTAGGTACCCTGACACCCTTCTTTGGCTCGGGAACTGGTCTTGGCGTCTGCGTCTGCTGCAGAACAAAACACCTGTCAGGGATGTGGCTGCATGCCCGGCACAGTAAAACAGCGCACAAATCTGCCTCTATCTCGGTTCTCTCAGCCTCTGACAATATGCCGACGATAGTCGACTTGTCTGGCGGCGTCCCGCCACTGCAGTAGTCGCCTTCGTGAGGGAGGGGGGAAAAAAGAAAAGAATAAACAAGGCACCCATCTCTTTGAAAGGTCGAGGTAAGGCCAGATATCCGGTCGCCGACAGGTGGGCATGCTCCGAATGGGCTGCTCCACATATGGGTCAACGCGATCTTGACCAGCCCACTACTGCCAACGTCACGTCGTTGCTTGTGCACTAGGTAATACCAAGTTCACCACCACATCTGCAAGCAGCGGAAAGCGGGTACCTCGGGGCCGAGTACCGATGATGTTTCTCTTTTTTGGGGGGCCTTGAGGAAAGAAAACTATGTCAAGCAGTGCCGACTTCCTTCCTGCCATCCCAACAGGACGCAGCGAATCATCTATCGCCGCTGCACAGTTGTAGGAAAATGGCGTCTGACGGACCAGTTCAAAATGCAACACGATACAATATGATTTGCTGCGGCAATTCGAAGCAGGCGCAATCGCGGACACTCTTCCCTGATTCTGTCATGTATTGGAGTCGGTCTGCATCAAATACCGGCCATGGTTCGAGTTTAGGGCCAGAAACGTTTGATCAATCATACACCCGGTTCGATGCTCAAGAGACTCCTCGAGGCCAAGGGCGAAGGCACTCGACCTTTCAAGCTACTAATCGCCATGGGTGGCATGGATTGGTCCGGCATGACCGTCAACCGGTTTTTTTTTTTTTTCTTCATGTCACCTGATGGGCGTTTCTGGCGTGCGTCTGTGTTGGGTCACGCAGGCACTTTCACGGAGCTATCGTCGCGACTCGTCCCAGACTACTTACTGTTTCGAGCCATCATGCCATGCAGTTGGAAATTACACAACGGTCCGGCAAGAACAGCAACCATACCGGCGAACAAGGCAATCCTTCATTCCCAACGCAAGTGCACAAGTTCAGAAGTTCTGCAGAATATCCAGAAGCCGGGTGGGTCGACAGTTCCGGACCAAAGGAGGCTGGGGTACACCATGCTTGTATTACTTGGCGCTGTCCGAAAGAGAGGTGGTGTGCGCTTACAGACGATTGGAGAGGCCATCGGCGGTAACGTTCCGCATTGCGAATGATCGAAAGACATCGTGTCAAGGCCAGCCGGCCGTTGCCCCCGGCACGCCTGTGGTTTGGGGCCCAAATGTAAACCACGGTCCCATGTCGCTGGGCATGACAGTCGGTAGGCAAGACGAGCTCGTACATTACCTAGACTAGTATGCGAACCTTCTAATGGCCTCCCCAAACTAACGGGCGGAAGCATTTACCGCCACCGAAAGGGTACGTATCTGGAGGATTGCCGCCCGCACATACCGGTCACCATTTGTGACGGATGTCGAGAGATGACGAGTCAAGCGAAACGGCCCCAAAACACACTTTTCCTACGACACTCAGAAACATCGGACTTTGGCCGAGTCACCGCTTCGCTGTCGGAAACAATGGCGCATTTCCGAACGACCGTTATGATGAATGGATGGATGGCTGCCTGTCCCAAATGTCGGCCAACACGACCAAGGTCGAGAAAATGGTTAGAGCTGCACAGACGAAGCCGTCACTGAGGAAAATGCTCTCTGGGAACAGGTCAGCTATTGTCGGCTCGAGGAGAGTGGTGGTCAAACTTGGACGTTTCTTTAGCTTTATGACCTCGACCCAAGAAGAGAGCCACAGAGCCTCGCGACCCATCTCTACCCGTGCCCACCGTCCAATGGGGCAACTTTCGCATCCTTTTCTTCTTTTCTCCTTTGCAACGGGACGGGGCCATCTCAGATGACGGATAATGGGGCGCTTGAGATCGATCTCACCGGACCCATTTGAGCCATGGCCACGAACTACCTTCATGCCGAACCGCATGTCAGAAGAACAGGACCCTGAACTGACGCCGTAGTCGGGCACGCAACATGGCAACGAGGACCGATTTCAGCGCTTTTTGCTTCTTCTCCGGACTTGTTCAGTATTCCGTAGCTTGACTCAGCAACAGTCGCATACGGCGGAACTGTCCTCCCAAAAGGTATCGGCGTTTCCTTTTTTTCCTTCACTAACCGCTGGCTATCCGAGCATGCGTGCACATACACACCCACACACACACACACACACACACACACACACACTGTGCACAGCGCAAGCACACCCCAGCCACTCCAACCACCATTTGCTGCAGGGATACGAGGAAATCCAAGCAATTGCAGGACAACCCTTTATCTGGATTTCACATCAGACTTCAGACTCCTAGTCCAACGACCAGGATGTTTTATCAAAACGACATCACGGGGCCGTCAAGGTGAACAAGAAATAACGAAGGACGCGACGCCCATCATCGGATCAGCGCTACAGTACATACATGGTTCAAGGGGGATGCCAGCAGTCCTTCCTTGGCTGAGATGGTAGCCGTTTTTGGATGTGAGGTTGCAGCGCGAAAAGTAGCGACATTCCCGCCGGCATGCAGATTATCCCAGCTCTTTCGGCATACCTAGCTCACTCCTTGACAGTAGCTCTCCGCTCACCCCGTCCTGGCCCAGTGGCGTTGCTGGCCGCAGTACGGAGTACTCTGAACGCGAGGGATGCCACGGGACGCATTGGACGGCTTGAGAGTCGTGGAACGATGACGCTCGAACGAGAGGGTCCGCGGCCCCATTCAACCCTTCTAGCCGGTATTTTGGTTCCCCATTATTCTCTTCTAGAAGCACAAGATCCGGGAGCTTTGGCCATATCTCAAAGATTCCGTCACCAAAAGAGCACGGCATCGACGTCTCAACATCAGATGGTGGCGATGCAAATCTCTGGTGCTCTGCTGTGCTCGAGACTCAGTCGCGGTCCAAATCTCCAGTGACGATTTGCTCACGCCACGCTTGCATCATGGGCCATGGGGAGGGTGCAGAATTTTCTGTCCGAACTCGCTCCGACCAAGAGACATGCTTGACAAGGAAAACTCGAAGCCGCCGTGGTGCTTTGGCCTGGTTCCGGCATCAAGGTTCAAGTTGGATGCAGAGCACACAGTACTACTAGCAAATGGCTTGGCTCGGCTCGGGGGTGGGGGGTGCAGCAGAGGGGGGAGGGCGGAGAGATATCCGATAGTTACAAACACGGCCAGCCGGCTTCCCTCCGACACCGCCATCGTCTGGATGTACCTCTGTACCGCGTCTGTTGTTCTGGCGTAGGGATACCGACCGCACGCGTGGGCTGTGCCAGACTTTGCAACGGCCCTGTGAAAGCCTCGCGTCCGCAGACACGACGACCGACGCCGACAAGCGCTTCTTCCGTTCTAATAGCTTTGGCAACCAAAGCTCGATGACCTCCCTCAATCGGCCGAGAGAGGTGGTGACAAACGCAAGGCCATTTGCGGTCTAGCTCGATCAAATAGGGAACTCATGTCCGCCAATCTTGTGTGAAGATGCCGAGATGCGACGAGTTCCACGCTGAAGTCATGGCCCCCAAAAATGAGTGCCATACACTATCTCTGACGAGACGGAACAAGAACGGACGACATTGAGAGACGCAAGAAGGAGCGCTCGCTTCCTGTGCGAAGACGGTAATGGTCCGGAATAAAGCCGATATCCCAGCCGCTGCTACTCTGGTAACGTTGCGAATACATTGCGATGGGCAAATTGCGTGTCATCAGCCGATAACTGTTGCGCGAAGGAGGAGCGAAAACGAAACCGCAGCACCACCTCCTTGGGGCAGATCCCTGGAAGACGGGTCGGGGGATGCTTGGAGGGGGAAACCGATGCTGTGTTGTGGTTGGCGATCCCTGCAGTGATTCGCGTCAGTGCTGAGGTCTAATGGAGGTTCCGTCCCTTTGATCGATTCATCATCTTCCATTCGTGTCAGGGACACAAAACAAAAGTCCTGTCTGCCGAGCCTCTCCAGCAATGGCAGCTCTAGGCGCCGTGCGCTCGACATTGGCAATGTTGATCTGCTGATTGAAGTGAGCTCGCAAATGCCGACTGGCATGCAGTAAGTAATCTTTTTTTTTTTTTCTTTTTTCTTCTATAGAGGCAGCTGGTCTTCGGTACGGATACTCACTACACCATCATCACAAGAGGCGCCCCTCCCCCCCGTTACTACTTCTCCGCCTCTACTATTGCTTCACGGTTTGTGGATGGCATATATGACAGCGGCCGTCCAGCCTTCTTTGCGGGGCATGTGGTTCTGACAGCCTTGTCCCTTTGGTGCCCCCAAAGGACGGCGTCTTGGAGTTGGAGATTCGACAGCGGCGAGATCTCGAGCTGCTTTTTCATGGACCCTCCACCCCCAACGACAAGCGCGCTCTTCCGGTGGAGCATGCTGCCGGTCTCCCGCGTGGCTTCAGACCTCAGCAGTGATTGAGGCTGTTTTGCGGTTCCCCCGATGACTCCACCATAAACGTCGAGTGAGTAAAGTACGTGTACATACTTGTAGTACACGTGCAAACCGACAATCTTGGCGCTACGCAGCACAAGCCCGGAGCGGCGCTGACTTCACGGCGGTGTTGCCTTATGGTGTGTGTACATGGCAGATTTCTGCGCAACAGTATCATCATCCCCTTACCCCCCCTCTCCCCCGTCGGGTTGAATGCCGCCGGCGAATGCCTTCATTGACCGCCACTTGCAGGAGGTTGGCAGTTTTTTGGGATGCGGACGTCTTGCGAGATGACAAGCATGGGTGGTATCACACGAGTCATGGAGACCAACTACGTCAACGAGCCGTGTTTGTTGGAACTTTTGGTAGACAAGCCGACGCGTTACGTTTCCATCATGTCAAAATGTGATGGGGGTGGTTTTCTTAGCAAGCCGTCAATTTGCTTGATAAGTCCACCATCACGAGACTAGGACACACTATCTGACTCTGACTCGCTCGTATCCGATGAGCGCTTCGGAAGCGGTAAGGCCCATGTCTATGAATTCCTCCCAGTGGAAGAGGTACGTACACTACAAGCAAAGTGCCGGCCGGGAGTCTTGGTTCGCTAGTCAGGCCTTGACGAGGGGGGGAGGGAACGTTTCTTGCTCCAAATACCCCTCACGACGAGCAGCCCGCAGATTTGACGGCATAGTGGCACCCCTTGGATCGCTCCACCAGAGCAAGGTCTCTGCCTGCAAGATGCGGCATGGTCGTGGTAGCACGATGGGGGCTGCCCGACCACTCTCGAGTCGACAAGTCGAATTATCTCCGAGATTACAAGGCCTGGAGGGGAAGGGCGGCGCTACAGAACGATCAATGCTGGGGCTTCGCTGGCATGGTATTGCTCGTTCGCGGGACTGCGCACGACCTAAAGCAAGAGTGACAGGACTTGTCCAGAGGTTGTGTCAACCTGTCGTTTTATTCCGAGAAAGGCGCCGCGGCGGCCGCCGCTACCATCTATCCTAGCGTAGATAGTGAAGCCAACACGCATGGAAGCCGCTGTTCCCACGACCTTTCGCTGGTGTCGCTTCCAGGATACCTAGACGACCGACTATTCGTGCCGTTAGTGTACAAGGACGAGGACGAACAAAATCTCCACTTGGAACAGCAGTCCCGCGATCATCCACGTGGGAGCGGTATGCGAACCCCATGCCCAGCCGCCGCCCGCTCCGGGAAGACAGGCGCGGCGAGTCCTTCTGGAAAGGTCTCTGCGAACAGTGGCACACCCAAGTGTTGTGCACGCCTCGGAACCGCACACACACGCACTCACACTCACTCACGCGCGGCGCTGGGTGGTTACAGCCCCTCTCGGGGGCTCCAACGCTACATATTAGCTGAGTCCCTGAGCTGAGGTAGGGCTGTCGTGTGGCACACGGAAATACCTTCTTCAAGCGAATCTGCTCTGGCCAGTATGCCCCGCACCGGAATAGCCCAAAGCAGGGCTTCTGCCGGTTCGAAGTGGGGGGGGGGGGGGGGGGAGAATGTGCTCCTGTTATTAAGGCACCTGGCGCGAGAAGCGTCGGGAATGCAGCTCGTCTGATCTGTTGTTCGAGCAGATGTCACCAGCTCCAGCCTTGCTTGTTTCATTTCGTGGCTCTGCAGTACTGGTCATCACTGGCTGCAGCGATGTGAAGGAAGGCTTTGCAAAGCCTGTAGACCACACCAAGCCAGCCAGGTTGAACGAGCCATGCGTCTTTTCATCTCGGCAGGCAAGGGAGCCGCCAAGAAGGTCAATGTTCCTGCAATGTCAATTTGGCAGCCGGGTAGGAGGCTGCATCCCCGATCCTGCGGTTTGAAGGTCGCCTCACGTCCGGGATGTGCAACCTAGCAACCGCGTCCACGATTCAGTCGAGCCCTGCTATGACGACAGTTCCTGAGTCAAAGGACCGACTCGATTCCAAGCTGCTTCGACATTGCATCTCGGCCGGGTGCCGATCATGGAGCTTTTACCAAGTTCATCTCGCCAGCATCGGGTCCAATCTGCCAGTTCAAACTGGACTCCTCCTGAAGGAGCCTCAATCCCGGCTCCCACGGCTGTTGTGTATCACAATCGAAGACGCGGCCCTCTTCCGGGTGGATCCCTGCCGACGCCGAGGGTTACGGGCTTTCGCACGGTTGCACGGGATCGAAGCGTCAGCGAGGCACTGTAACGACGACATCGGCGGCGGTGGCAGCCGCAATCACCGTGCAAGCCACATCAATGAGATACACGAATGCATATAGAGTACTATGTATTCGTGTTTATTTATATTGGGACGCATTCGCGTCATTGGCAACTGTCCGCGACTCGAGCACCGCAGCAGAATGGAAAGGGGGCCCGCAGCTCATCAGGTCGAGTTGACGTCAGAGGGGGGGCCATATTGCCGTTCCAGGCTCCAAAGCCTCCCTTCGAGGCTGATCAACACTTGCATGTAACCATGCGCCCAAGTTGGCAACGGAATCAGAAGGACTTCAGCAACTCATCTTGGCCCCCTGTTTCCGCGTCTTCTTATCGTTGGCCCGACAGTAACATTCCTGTCTGCAACACACGTCCATGCGCGGCGACGACTCTGAGCAGCATCCTTGGCAAAACCAAACCCCCGGGAGGCATTTTGGGGGGGGGGGGGGGGGATATTGGACTAGCTAGGCAGTGAGGTATCATTACCCGCCTGTGAGATTGGTCACCATGCCTCGGCCCACGCTGGCTTGCGAGTTACTGAAAACGGTTATGTCGTGTCCAGGCACTGACCATCAGAACAAGATCGTCCGCTTGGGAACTGTGAACCCTGACGCGCCGCTGCGTCGTAAAACCGTGGCACACGACTGTTTCGGGCAGTTCCCGGGGCTCCGACGTACGCGCAGCGATGGATGACCTGGCAACTAATTCCCGCCTGCAACCGCTCTTCACCGTTGGGCGATGGAATGCAGATGCAGAGAGGCAAGACTTATGAATTGTACCAGCCGAAACTGAACCCCTATTCTGTCGCATGATAAAGGAGTAGGCTGAGAGGAGGACGGGGGAGCCGCCCTAGTAGAGTGGGTTACAGAGGGGACGGGGAGGGGCCTCGTGCAAGGACTCGTGGAACAGACGTCGAAACAGCTTTCTAAATACGGAGAGGCAAGGCGGTAAGTATAGGCGAGCGGACGAGCCAGCGAGCGCACCTCACATACACACACACACACACACACACACACACATACTGCACGTTGGTGATCCTGTCGAGGGACACCGCTGACCGATCTCACGATGTTGACATGTCGCGGACCGCCGCGGTTGTGGCTGCGCGAGCGTTGAGCCTGTCTTTGCTTGCTAGCCGCTGCCTGCCTGTCCACCTTGCCAGCTTCACCAAAACTCTGTGTATGTTCGTCGGCCGCTGTCCGCCCCTCCCCCCCCCCCCCCCCCTTCCCCCCTGGATCCGTACGTGGTGGGCCATACTTGGAGGGAGGGAGGAACTAGAGCCTCGATCGGCATTTCCAGACGGTCTAGAGGCGAGTCCATGGGAGTTGCCGTGGCCCGCAGATGCCGCGTGCTGGGCGGCGGCCACGGGAGGACCAGGTCAGACCTGGGCTTTCGACGTGGAGAGAGGCAGAGACAGAGGCAAAGGCGGCGGTCTCGGCAACGACAAACGGGCTCTCTCGCGCTCACCGCGGTGGTCGACTCCCCGACCTTCCCTCCCTGTCTCCGTCCGGCTGGATGAGTGAACGCGAGCCTCCCTCGAGACGTTGCGGATGTTGCCTCCTTTTTCGGGGTTCTGCTCCTTGGTCCACCGAGATGTCATTTGTGGGAATCGGCGGGTTGCCACTTGACAAGGTTATGTGGAAGACTGGGACTTTCTCCCCATTCTGGAGGGAGGAGAGGCGAAACCACTGGCAAACTGGATCACATGGGAAGTTCTGGTTTGCGAACGAACGGTACTGATGCGTGCCACTGCCATCTCCCTTTCCGTGACTGAGATGGACTGGATAGACAGTATGTTTTCTCTTCCGGTTGTTCCTAGGCTTTTGTTTCCGCAAAGACGGCTAGAGTTTATGGGCGTGGCTACTTTTTTTTTCTCTCTGTGGATTAGGTATATAATTTTCTCGGCTCGGGATCTGTATGTCTCGGTCGTAAACGCAAGACAACGGAAACCGGACGGGCCCCTCATTCCCTGAATGTGCAACGAGCCAGCAACGTCTCGGAGGGCGAGACGAGATGGAGGTGTTGAGGACTTGATCTTTTATTATAGAAAGAAGCCGCGGGAGATGGTTTCTGCGGTTGTTTTAAGCTAGACGGGCTCGTTCGGCTTTGTCTGTGGTTGTGATCCTCGAGGCTAGATGAAGAGGCCGCAGGACCGCATTCTGGTTTGGCGTACGCAGGCTACGAAGAGGGACAGACTACGACCCCTGAGGCGCCTCCCGAGCCCGTCGGTTGCCTCGTTCAATCAAGTCCTGATGAATCTTGCGAAAGCATTACACGACGTGTTTGGTGACTCCAAGGCTTTCCCGCCCGTCTCCTGATGTCAGAACTGCCTCTCGCGGCGCCTGACTTACGTTCCAAGTCCCCATTAGCATCTTACGCGGGAAAGCCCTCGGTGTCTGTATGCCTGCCCGTCTGACGTTCTCCATTATCCGCTGGCCTCCGGCGGTACTTCACGACGAGGGATTTTGCCCCATCTTCCCGTCGACGACCATCACGCGTTGAGATTGCGTCACCGTTTGAGAATGGGGGAGGGAGAGAGACCCGGTTAACTGGTGAAAACTCTGCAGCGCGTCGCGTCGTGACCGAGGGAGACCATGGTTACGGCTCCCCGGTGAGCAAATTCGGATGATGGAGGGTGACGACAAAGTCTCGGCCGGTGGGTGATGGATAGATGGATGGTTTGGACGGACGTCGAGGCAAACAGGAGCCAGGCAAGCCAAGTCAATTCCACTTCTGGTGGCTTGGTGGGAAACGGGAGTGAAGAATATGCCAAAAAAAAACAGGACAAAAGAGATGACCAGCCTGGGGGTCGAACCCAGAATCTCCTGATAACTTGTGATGCACCGCCTCCCACCCGAATGTCCGAGGGGAGAGATGGAGGTGATGCGGGATCGTAGTCAGACGCCTTGCCATTGGGCCAACCGGCCGGTGGGTTGCGGGCAGCCTCGAGGAATCGAGACTCTAGGATGCGGATCATTGTGCGGAGGTGGACCATCTTTGAGGAGTTTTGGTGGGTTGCGGGTGCCCAGGCGGGAGTGTGGGTTTGGTCTTGATGAGGCTGAGTGGTGCCGTGTCTCTCTTGGAGAGGTGGGAGTATGGGGATGGGAAATGAGATATCCGGGGACGACGGAGAAGCAGCTCGGCTTCGAAGGACTGTTTGCCTCTCGGTGTCTTGGCCGTACGTGGTGAAACTTGTGGGGGTTGACGTTGAGCCCGTGATACTTGGGGGGGGGGGGGGGGATGGCCAAGCAAAGCAGCGACGAGTCGAAGCCACTGGAATCAACCGACTTGTTGCTGTCCATGTACCCGGCCACGTACTCCCATTGTTGGCCGAACTCATATCTGGCAAAAGGACCGTTCTGGGGCAGGTCGTTCGCTGAGCTGGGACCACAACTCGCAGCATCCCCGGACAGGAGGTCCGTCAGGGGAGGACGAAGAGCCAACCCGACAGATGTAGACATCGTTGCCTCGTGCGGTTTTTTTTTCCTCGGTCACTCGAGCCGCGGTTTGGTGCTTCCAAGCTTCGGTTCTCCCATGGTTCTCCCGGGGCTCGTCACGCAAGGGGCCGGCGTTGTATCCTCTTGAGGAACCGATGCAAGGAGCATCGTCCGCTGGCACCTAGCAGGCAGGGCAACTCTGCTGGTTGTCCGAGGCCAGGGATGGCGGCTGCCGGCTCTCCCTTTCGTGCTCCGGGATGCCTTTGGCAAACTCTATCCTGGAGCATCAGCTTCGCCCGCTGGAATTCGATAGCGCCGAGGGCGTTGTTGGCAAGAGGCGCATGCATAACGGCTCTGCCGCTATGAGTTGGAGAAAAGCTTTGCAGTCCTCGCTGCCACGCGTGAACGGTCACATCATTCTTGACCAAGATAATCCCACTTGGATAGCACAGGTCTGGTTCCGTTCGGAATGGCTCACAGAAGGGAGGAGTGCCGCCGTCCGATTTCCTCAAGGGCCCGGGCATCTGACCAGTTCCAGGAGCCGAGCTACCTGTTCTTCTTTTTCCCTCGTTGATCTCGAGCTTGTCGTCACTTGACGCGTTATGACGCGTGACTGGTGTCGATATCTTGGCCCAAGCCTGGGTTTGAACGCCTAGCTGTGGAGGAGCAGTCGGCGGATCGACCAGGACGGGCGAGCCTCCAATTCCCGATAATTCTGGTCTTTTGAGTGACCGGTAGGCTAGGACCAACTCAGTAGGCTTGTCCGGGACTTGGGAACAGGTGGACAGTCGCCGTGGCTAGGTAGACTCATGACTTACCTTTACTCTAGTTGGTCAATATATTTATGACAACGCTCAAAACTGGTTTGATTTGCATGTTTCTGGTCATGTTTGCGAAGGCCTTCAGGTTGGGCAGCCTACAAAGACGGGTGTCAAGACATATACAACAGAAGACAGACAGACACTAGGATGTGTCTTGTGTACTAGATCAAATGACTGCGGTGTGTTTCGGTATGCTAGCATTTCGGCACAAGAATCATGATCCAGTCCATGTAGATACAGTCGCTGAGCTCCGACCCTGGGGTTGCTACTCTATCTTTCTCCCGTCGACGTAGTCGTCTGCTTTCCTCTTCGAGGCAAAGCATACGGGGAGGTGCCGATGTTTCCCTGCCAAGGTTCAAGGCCACGAGAGTAAATTGTGTTCAAGGGTTACCTGTTGAAAGCGACATTGGGCCCTCGCCATACGACGCTGCTGGAGACAGCTGTATGGGGTATCCAAAACAGAATCTTGCTGATAAGCTGCTGGGCTTGCTCTGTTCCTAGGTCAGGTGGTTTGCTAGAGGTACTCTCGACACCCGTAACATCCCTACGAAAGAGGTGTCACCGGTCGATTACCACAGCCGCATCCATCATGTCTCTGTTGGTACTGATGTTGAACTCTACGCAGACCAGCTAGACGACTGGACCGTCACTGGTCATACGGATGTTCTGGGAAATGGAGAGCTTTAGCACGGTACTTTATAAGATATAGGTGCACCGGTCGACGCAGGTAAACGCGACTTGATATCTTCGGGAGATAACCCTTTGCCGAAGCTGGATGAACCTGCCGACTGAACACCCTGAGCCATAGCGCTCTTGTTGAGCAAACTGGATTTTGCGTCACAGTCGAATGCTAGAACTCAGATATGAGGCTATCTCATAGTAATCGTCGTCCTCTCCCTCACCCGTGGTCGACTCTAACGAAAACGTAGCATCGTTCAAATCCTGTCACTGGGGTTGCCCTCATGTTTCTTTACTTTCACTAAAGGCTTCCATCATGGGATTCCCGCACTGGACATTGGTCATGGCGTGAGTCGCAAAGACCACGGTCAACGCCATCGAAGATGAGCATTACAGAATTGATGGCAAAGGGGTGAAGGAGCCCCCTCGTGACAGAACCGGTTCAGGAGCCTAGAGAAGGCCCCTTTTTGGTACTTGTCTCCGGTGGCCAGATAAAAGCACACTCGGTGAGAGGACGACGAGGCTCAGGATGAGTTGCTGGCCGTATGTTACACGAGTATCGGGTGCTTGCGCACCTCCCAGGAGGAGAGGCTGGGCTGGAGGTCACGCTGTCAGTAGGGAACAACAGACCGAAGCCGATGATCACAAGAACTGGAAACCCGGATGCCGGTCTTACTTGGTTTCTGCTGTGCCCACGGGAATTACATTTGAATCAGCATGAAGGTTAGCACGCCCGGTTATGTTGCGCAGTTTCATTACCAGCCCGTATATTCGAGAAATCCCGAGCCTAAACAAGTCTCCGAGCCCTGACCCTATTCCAGCGTGTGCGACAGTCTCAGAACACGTACAACGCACCTACGGTGAAGTGAGGAGTCTCGGTGTTCCTCGCTGTCGTCATCTTGGTATTGCTCGGGCCAAGAGCAGGCGGACGAGAAGAACGAGGAGCGACGGGTGTCAACTACGGAAGCTCTCCATTGTTCACTGCTGATAAGACACTGCGGGATCACAGATGACTATTCTCAGTCGATGTGCAGTCAGAGGAGAGAAGGAGCAAGAACGGCTTGCCTCCGCTTCTTCCCAGCCGGCGCCCTGGATGCTGCTCATGGCCCTTCTGTACGGCCTTCTTTGCCTCTAACGAGCCCCAGACGAGTCCGTCGGATTGGTACGAGCCGCCAGGAAACCCGCCTCCTCGGGTGCTGAGCTCTCTATCGTGACTATACCCTTTCCAAGTTGACTCCCATAAAGATTCGTAGCCACCCGTGGACTGCTCGCAATATCCGGCATGCAGAAGACGGCAGAGATGGCGGGCACAAGCCCGCGGACCGGAGGAGCCATGGTACCATCTCGAACGGAATGCTACTGGGCGTGTATAGAGCGGCGTACCACACCATGACTCGAGATCGAAACCTCGAAGGTGCGGACAGCAAGATGCATGTGTCTCGTTTTAATATGACCGGCGGCGACATCGACATCATATGCCGCCGGGATCCGGGATTAATTGTAACTAAAACCGAGTGGTATGTCATTAAGCGTTCGAGGCATGCACTGTTGAGGTTTGTTTCCCAGTGTTGCTCATGGACTGACTCTCGTTGGGAGGACGCCCGGTGTCAATTCTGAGAGAAACCCGCTGTTCGGCTTGTTAATCTGCTTGGGGGGCGTCTGGGAGAAGGATGGTCGCCGGGGAACAAAGGAGACATCTAGCAAGTGCACCGTGTGTGCAACGCGCAATGCATGTCGAGATACACACGCCATCGACGCTGTCAACATATGGGGGACCCCTAGTGAAGCAACCGGTATGACTGCACGCGTCGAACCAGTCACCGGCGCTCGATACCAGTGAGACTGCCTCCTCGGCATACCCAACGAGAAGCATAGGCCTGGGCATTCTCTATCAGATATACGGAACACCTCCCCCCCGATTTCCGCAATAGAACAAGACTCCCGTAGGGTATGCTAGGCAACATCCTCATGTTAGTTCACACACTCCCCATAGAAGGATCAACGATATCACTCGTTCTCTCAGCCACCATCGTTCGGGATCAGGCACGGGGGAACCTCCCCCCTCTGCCTCTATGACTCCACGGCATGGATTGCCGCCTAGCTGGTCTTTCCGACCTGTGTACCACGGAGAAGGTAACGTCCGGCAGATAATGTGCGTCGCGCGACTCTTGTGTCACACGAGGTACGGTCCCGCCACGAACAATGTGCAGTAGCCCTGGGGAGCCGCCCCGCAGGAGACGACAAACAACCCCAGTCGAACCTCCTCGACGTCGAAGCGTGGACGGCTTAGAAGAGGGCAGCCCTTCCGACTCGCGAAAGCTTGTTCAACGGGGACAAGCTATCAAATCCCTTCAGAGCCTCGCGACACGCTCACCTCGCCCAGTCCGCGCCGCCCCCCCCCTAAGGCGTCGGGGAGTCGCCGACCATCCATTCGTCTGATACCCAAAGAGCCCCCCCTTCCCCCGGAATTCATTTAAACCTCTGCCTTCAAAAATCAGCCCAGTCTCCACCGGTTAGACATCCACGGAGATCAGCTGAAGGAAACTCACTTTATAGGGTGTGGTCCATGCGACCACTGAAACCTCGCTCAACTGCCCGGCCGGCCGGCCGACCAGAACGGGACACTCTTCAAAGCCTGGTTAAGCGACGACCCGAAAGAGAGAAGGCCTCCTCCAGGGAAGGGGTATTGGGGGATATGCTACAGTTCTTGCGCTCCGTCTTCCCGTACCCCCCCCTTTTTCGCCGGTCGAGCCCTACGAGAGTCCACTTGCGAGACCCCCTTTCCTTGTGTCCGCCGGGCAGGTTGACGACATCTCGGAACCCGATCCGGCCTGACCCGCATAAGGACCCCGGCGAGAGAGGAGGACTGGGAGACACCCGGGGAGGGGGATAGCAACAAAATCAGGTTCGAGCCAGTTTCGGGGGACCGCCTAAAGGAAGAATGATGTAGTGAAAACCAGGAAAAGCCGGGTTTTTTTTTAAGGGAGGGGGAATCCTCAGGAGAAAAAGTGGTGTATTGCAGCCTGCCTCCCGCATCTGACGCGGGCTGTGGTTCCCAGTAGTCGGATGACCGGCCGAGACCCTGATTTTTGCGCCCATGTTCCCCCCTCCCCCACGCGGGAGCAGGACGTCATTGTCGATCGCCTCTCTCTCTCTCTTACACACAGGGGGGTTACACCTGTGAGAGGGAACTGCTGCACGTCAGACCAAGTTTTCCCCCCATCCTCTTCCATCTCTTTGAGATGTTGGAAAAAGGGATATAAACGGGCTCGATGGGAAACGGTTGTAGGATTTTTTTCTGGCAGACAACGATCAGAGAACACCTGCAATTAAGAGAGAGAGAGATATATATATATGTATCATCGCGAAACGACGCCCCTTGCAACTTGATCAAGCCCGCTCTTCGTCACCAGAAAAACAAATATACATCAACGATGGAGACCTCCACCACACAGTCCCTCGTAATCTCCCTGGCCGTCGTCGTCGCCGTCTTCCTCGCGGGCTTCTTCGCCTACCAACAGGGCATGTTGGACCCCGTCATCGAGCAGATCGGGTGAGTGCTTTACCTACCCTTTCCCACCACCGCCCAGCCACTTTCCCGCAACCAGGGGGGGGGGAGTGTGTTCCGTGGCCGTATCTTGCTTTGCTTCATACTGACGCTCCCGTTGCGCGACCAGAATCATCTGGTTCAAGGCAAAGGCCGAGGCGGAGAAGAAGAAAATGCAGGCGCAGGGGATGAAGGCCGGCCAGGACTTTGTCGATGGTGAGTGAAGAGCTGCCCAGCCCCCCACCCCTCTCTCTCTCTCTCTCTCTCTCTCTCTCCCTCCCCCTCTCTCCTTTTCTCTCTTTTGAAAAAAAGACGAAAATAATATAGAATTACGGATACAAAAGAACAAAACAAAAACTTACACGACGCTCCGGCGCAAACAAAACATTACCCGATGCTGACACACTCTCGCAGGCCAGCTCAAGGGCAACAAGCAGGCGGCGGACGTTGCGGACGGCATCGGCTCCGTTGGCGGGCTGAAGAAGCAGCTGTAATAGGGAGGGAGTGCCACACCCAACTCAAACCCAACCCAACCCAAACCGCAAACAGGCTTGGTTCGAAGCTTAATAGCCGAGTACAGCCGCACTCCGCAGAGTAATTGATGTAACATTATAAGTGCAAACAGGTTTCAACGGAGAAAAGTAGCGGTTATGAAATTGGCTCGAGACATTAATCGAAAGATGGATCAGGGGGACGAGGGCTTTTGTCACAGACTTTCGACCTCCGACCCGGGCGCTCGTGCTACCTAGTTTTTTTTTCTTGTGTCCTTTCCTTCCTTCTGGGTTTCGTTCTGGAACAGATCGGGTGGCGGCGCTAGAGGAGCCAACGTCTTTAATTTTTTTCTTTTCTTTTTTTCGTCAACGAATTGCCAAACCGCTTCCTGTGTGTGTTCCAATCTCAGTGACGTGACCATGAGAGCAGGGAAAAAGAAAAACCCCACTGATTGATTGACTGGCCATCACTGCCAGACAGCAACAATCTGTTGCATAGAGATTAAGGAGGACAAGGAGTTTGATGACCTCATGGCTCCCCGGTACTGCCCCGGAACACGTACAGCCTACAGGCGAGGCCCCCCCTGGAACCGCTGCACCACATCACAATCCCGCAGGCCCGACAAGTTACATACGCGTACCGTAGAACCAACCCAAATGATTCCTCCTTGCTGTCGACAAGTTTGTTGGTCTCTCGGGATCCGATTGGGCGGGCCGGGACAGGGGGAAGACCACCCCTCCCTTTCCCCCGGTTCCCATGCAACCGTGAATCTGAGGGGCGATCACCAGCGAGCTCGGACGTAATCCACACACCCTCGTTCAACGCACTCCCAAAACCGTCAGCCAGCCGGACGGACAGAAGAGGCAGAGAGCTTTGGTAGCTTGGGCCAGCTATATGTGACGGCAGCTAACACAAAACAAAGAGGATCCAGCCCCCCCGAGGGTTTCGTTGCGGTTGCGGCTCTCGTCCTGGCCACGAGGCGTCGTCGGCACTTGCGGATGCTCCCACCCATTGGTAAGCTCGTTGGGCCACTCGTTTCCGTACCCGATCTTGGCACCCGGGCAATCCGGCTCTGGCTCCCTAATTTTTTTTCTTTCCTTTTTTTCTTTTTCTTTTTCAGCCGGTGGATGGTTCTCCAGTTGCACTGATACACTCGGCCGGCTGTGTACGTCCAGTCCTGTATAGTATCCAGGAGTTCGTTGTTCAGGGCACGGCACGGCACCGAGGCGGAGCCCCGAAATGTTGTATATCCGGCACAGGGCTCACCTGCGCTCGAACCCCACCCCCCATATTGCCGCTGTGAGGCTGTGAAAAAGCTTCATAGTACATCTGATTGGTGGGCATCCTCCTCGCACTCTGAGACTAAAAAAAAAATTGGGGGGGGGGGGGGGGGGGGGGGAAGGACCCCCCTAAGAGAGGGAGGGAAAAAAAAAAAAAGGCCCGGTTAAGTTCTCCATTTTCTTCGTGGCATGCCTGCTTCGGTATGACTTCTTGCATCATCCCTGGCCGTGAATATTCTTCAGTGAGAGAAGAGAAAAAACAAACGGAGATCTCGGTTCTCTGGCCTTGAGCGGGTCGTCTGATGTGGCCTTGGTTTGCCAAGTGGCATCTCGACGCTGCTCCATCCGCTTGCAACCGCGCCAAAACAGCAACGACGGACGTATGGCAGGTTGGGTTTTTAATGGTGCCACCTTTCTGTTTTCGTGACATACAAAAATACCCCCCTCTTTGGCAAGAGAGACATTGCATGGGATATTTGCCTCGACAGCTTAGGTCTCGAGGTATCGGCAAGCTCCAAGCCGAACTATGGAGTGGAAATGGGCTGTCTAGGATATAGAGACACGAAGAAGGACGGAGCTGGAGTCTTCTTGGCGGCAACGTGGTGCGCTGGTGGACACATCAAATCACCCCGTTGGCATTTAGTCGGCGTTGGCCGTGCGCCTTTCTCGACGGACCCAACCTTGAACCTTAGTGGTGGCGCGCCTCGCCGTAGAAGAATCCGGAATGAATCCTGTCGGGCTCCCACCAGTGCTGCCGCATCAAGCAACTGTTGCAGCAACTTGCCACGGGGATTGCCCCGCGCTTGGAAGGGAAGGAGAAAAGAACCGGCTGATGGCACGAACAGCACGGGTGACGACGTCTGCTCCTTTTGCTGACACCTCACGGGATCAATGCTGGTTGTCTCCCGCACCGGTGGAACAAGCATGCGACACCTAATAACATGTAAGGCAGAAAGCCGATTGCGAGATTGGGCGTGAGCAGCATTCGAGAGGCCTCTCAAACCTGTGGCCAGAGAGGTTGTAAGTGGCCTGGCGCACGTAGACAAGAGGCAGAGCCGAAGGCGGTTGGTGTAGGATTGCAGCAATAACGTCTCATGGATGCATGCATGTATGCATGCAGCTCTTCGTTTCGATGATACTACAGAGCTGCGGCTTGCACCCTTCGGGTCCAAGGGAGGGGGGATAGGGTGAGACATTTGTGTGATAGCGTCAGATGCTAGCGCTGCAGCACGATACCTAGGCAGTATAGCTGGTAGCCGAGGCGTTTGGTTCGCTCGCCGAAGATGAGTAATGACTTGCTTGCAGGCGTCCGGTCAGTGGAGGGGGGGGGGGCGTTTGCACACGTCTACCTAGGGCAAGAGCAGCGTGAAGCGGGAGGGAGGGTTGGAGGCGGCAGCGGCGACGACGTCCGGGTGGAATGAAACAGTTCCCGGTTTGGCTGAACTAGCTCATTGTCGCAAGGTGTTTGCTTTTCTTACTTCCCCTTGGTGGCTTGGGCCCAGCCGGGCTGAGCTGGCTTGATGGTTCTGGGGGTTCGTCGGATCGCGGTCGACTTCCCTGTCTTCGGATTTGCACGAGCTACGGCAGAGGTGATCGGTACTGTGGTGCGCGATGTGGTGAATAGGTAATTATAGCAAGGTCTGATGCGACAGTCGCCTTCACCCCACCCCGGTTACACGAAGATGGCAGCGGGGGCGGGGTGTGAGAGCAGGGCCAAAAAGGGACGAACAGGTCAGATGTGGCTCAGAAGGGGTGCTGCGGGTACAGTCAGTCGACAGGGCCAACAGACGACGGGAGCAGTAAACACACACGAGGAGGAAGTGGTGGTTCGGGTGCATCGAGATATTGGCTTGATAGTGAGAGCGGTGCGTTAGCCAGGAACACCGAATAGAGTACCACACCCATTCGTCGCCCCGGCACAGGGCACCCGATACGCAGGAATGAATGGATGGATGGGTGGTAGCTGCCGGGTTCGCAATGCTGAGCTGATGTGGGTGGGATGCAAAAAGAGACGGAGAAACGGCCGGACAGACAGGACAGTCACGGCTCAGCTCGGCCCCCTCGCCTCCCCCCTCTCCCAACCTTGACATGAAATCTGATGGTGGCTGGCGCCGCACAGACAGTCTGACATCGTATGACGAATGGAGAGGAGGGTGATGTGAGATGGAAGAAGGAGAAGAAGAGTTGGAGGACCCTACGGCCGGACTGACCCAATCAATCAATCAATCAATCCATCAGACAAATATTCGTCTGTGACTGCTGGACGCAGATGTCCGTGCGTTCGCCGCGGCGGGCCAGAATCCGGAATGATGCGAGCAAACTTGAGGCGAACTGGAATGAGCCCACACATTTGTCAGTGCCGGGGTCGAGATAGAAAGAAACACTTTCTGTGTGGTCCGAACGACAAAAGAAGAGACACCCACTCTTGCCTGCCCTCTTTCGATTCGCAAGGGGAAAGAGCGAGAGAAAGAGAGACACGAGGAGACACTGGACAAGACCACCTACCGGTACCTATCGATGGGCTTGTACCCCACTTCGCACCGTAGCTGCTATCGATGGCATGCGCGAAAATGGACGCAACTTCCTTTTTTCCTCCTCCATCGTAGCACTGTACTTTCTCTTTTAGGATTTTGTGATCACCTGGAAGAAGGTACGACCGCGAATTGTGATGCCTCCCGACTCCTTCGCTGTGCGCCGCGGATGGAACAGCCGCTCAACCATTTTTTTGTTTGTTTTTTTGGGGATGTGTTTGAAAGATGCCAAGATGGGGTGGTTACCGCGTCGCTGGCCGTCCCTCGCATAAAGCTTCGCGACGGGCATAATCAGAATGTGTTTAGACATACAAACTTACCGACACATCAAAGCAATATGGCATGGTTCGCCCAATGCGTGGATCAGGCTGCACTTGAAGACAAGACAAATCAAGACGAGTAGGAATGCCGACGCCAACCCGTGTGTAATTGTCTACTTGCGCTTGGACCCTTTACCCATTTCTCTCTCTCTCTCTCTCTCTCTCTCTCTCTCTCTCTCTCTCTCTCTCTCTCTCTCTCTCTCTCTCTCTCTATATTATGCGCCCATGTCTCCATGTCTTGGATTGGATGGAAGGTGCGGTTGCATGGCCAGAGAAGAGGAGACGACCGAGCGAACAGATCGCCAGGGTCCGATGGGGGTTGTAAAGGGTCAGGTCACACGGGCTCGAGCTCGCAGCGAAATGACCTGGTTTCAGCGCAATATACGCTTCCTGAAGAGGCTTCTCTCCCTGCGCTCACGCGGCAATAGTCGTTGCCCTCCTGGACAGCGAATGCCTCGCCAATGAGGGACGGCAATAACGGATAACGGCTACAGCCCTCTGTGTTGAAGACACTCGGTGCGCAAGCGGAAGGGGAAAAAAAAGGCCCAGACAAGCTAGGCCTAGTCATTCATGTCTTTGAATGTCTCGAGGACGATGGTAAGATTGGGACGCTGGTAAGATTGGCTGTGTGGAGGGCATTTTCTTATTTGTTATTTCCCCCTAATACACTTGCTTTTCGAACGTCTTATCCAAATGGGTCTTGGTTCTTCCCTTTTGCTTTTAATAGTCTTTTGAACTATCTTTCCGATCCCGATCTGCGTAACCAACTGAGGCACTTTGGCAAGAGAAAAAAAAAAAGTGAAAGAGAGAGAAGGACAGAGGAAAGAGAGATGGGATGTTCATCCGAGCATAGGTTGGCTTCTGAGACGAAGTGAGAGAATTGGTTCTTCGTGTTTATGGCGTAACCTCTGCGTACCTTGCCGCATATCCACGCACCAGCCAGCATTTGTAAGTGGGAGGACTAATCGTACGAAAACCTAAAGTACGGCAATTTGTCAAGCATCAAGTATCAAGTACCTAAGTCAGTCTAGTCATCATCGGTATGCACGCACTTTGCTGTCAGGCCTGGATAGTCTGATGGCCTAGTCCTAATGCAGTTACGGGGATGGCACTAGCTACCATGCTTGAACGAGTCAAACGTCGACGTGTGCTGCACCGAGAAACAAGCACGAGAAACAAGCACAAGAAGCTACCCAGGGAGTCCGCTGTACCTGGTGTGCACCCACTCCCTACCTGTGGGTAGATGCACATGTGCCGTTCGGCACGGGGGGAAAAAAAAGGCCCCGTCCGGTTGTCGGGCTGTCAGTCAGTCAGTCAGTCAGTCGGGTTGTCAGGCTACGAAAACCCCCCAGCCAAAAGTTTGGCCCCCACAGTAGGTACAGTACGATGTACCTTGGTGCCTTGCAAAACCTGGAAGTGGAAGGGAGCCCCAAAGTCAATGGTTTTTGGTTTGCTCGGCAGGCGCTCACATGATTAGTTCAGTTGACATCACCGCCTTGCCCGATTCAAATACCCCTCATCAAGTTAAGCAGAACTTTGGTGAATCGACCGTTCATCTCTCCCAACCCGTCATCGTCCCGTTATCCTCTAGGTCCCCTGACGGTCGTTCGTTCACCTGCTTCTCGCCTCCGCCAGGCGTTCGTTTGGGAACCCTGACCGGCATCGAGCCTCGGAGTCGAACTGATCACAAGCCTACTCTAGGCCTGAAGGTCTTGGGCCGGGTCTCGTCTTGGTCTGGTCTAGTGGCCTGGTGCCGCTTCTCTCGTGAGTGTTGGAACGTCTAGGTTCAATGCACACTACGATGTACATCGTACTGCTGGAACCCGGTCTTGGTTCATCTGGGCTCTGATCCAGCGCCGTCGACGGCCAGCGCGACAGGGATCATCGCTCTAATGGTCATCCTCGTCGCCCGCCCACGTCACCAACCAACCAACCACATGGACGAGTAGTGTCATACGTACCGTCTGTTAAGTGCTCTCAGGCCTTTTCTCTCTCTCCCAATGTCTTCCAAGTCTCTCTCCCTTGCTGCACTCTCACGAGTCACACGCCCCCCCAAACCTCAACACCCACACCACTAGCAGGTGCTGCAACCCCCCCCCCCCCCCCCCTCCACTTCCCCCTTCCTGCAGGTCTCTTACTGCGTTCCGCTGCGCTGCATTATGGGTGGTGAACCGTGAGCCCGCTGCTGCAACAAATTGTCTGCACCTTGGTAAAGCTACTTACTGCTCCGCCCGCATCTCTCGTAAGGTGGAGGATGCTCAGTCGATCTTGTGGACCTGGTCTGAGTATATTCAACAAAGTCCAATTCGTCCCCCAGTTTCTCCCATCTTCTTCTTTTTCATGACTCTTCATCTTCTTCCCATACCGGCCTTCCCATACCGGCGGGAAACTAGAGTGAAAGCAGCCGTTTCTTGGTGCTTGTGAATGAGCTACACCGCGTACTCGTCGACGCATGTCGCTGCGTTCGTACTCCCCTCCTCATCCGCGAACGGGGACAAGACATCACTGCCGCCAACGCCCACAATCCTCCGTCACAAACTATGCAACGGGTTTCCAGCTTTCTCCCCTCCTGGGACGCCAGGAGGAGAAGTAACGCCAGCACGACGAGCAACGGCCGAGCCAGCATCGCCACCGCAAACGGCATTAGATCCCCTCTCGAGAAGGTCTTCCGCTGGTCTAACAAGCCTACTGCGCCGCCCCTCACCACCGCCGCCCTCGCCTCGGCTACCTCGCGTGTTGGCCGCGAGGCTTTCTGGCCCGCCACCCTCGATGCTGAATGCGATCGCTCTGCTCGCATATTGAAGTCCTTTTGCTGTAGGCTACCCTCGAACCTGATTTTGTTTCTCTGCGTCGTTGCTGGATTAGCATGCCATGTCTTGCCTCGTCGTACATTGCCACTAACACCCGCTCCTCCACTTGTCTAGCCGACGGCTTTCTGGCACCGCTGGATAATCTGCCGAACATGGACGCTGACGCCAATCCCGAACCAAAAAACCCTGCTCGCATTTTTAAAAAGATACCTCCTCGCATAATACAGGATGCCGCCGGCATTGCCATCTTCACATGTATGCGATCTGGTCTGTGGATGACAGGATCGGGCGGCTCCGGCATTCTCATCGCCCGCAAAGCCGACGGCACCTGGTCACCACCCTCGGGCATTCTCCTGCATACGCCTTCACTAAGTTTTATTATGGGCGTAGATATTTACGACTGTGTCCTGGTAATCAACAACATCGCTGCTCTCGAATCACTAATAACTAAACCGACCGTTACCCTGGGAGAGGACATCGGTCTCACCACCGGACCATTGGTGGCACTGGAATCAACAGAAGTCGACGGTAGGTGGAAGGACCTCGACAACACCGTTCTCACCTACATGAAGGCGAGAGGACAAACCCAGAACGTCAACTTGAACGGCTGCATCCTGACCGAGCGAGCAAACGAGAACGAGAGATTCTACGGTACCAGCTTGTCGGCCATGGACATTGCCGCAGGAAACGTGCCGAGGCACGTGGAGGAAACACGCCCACTATTCGAGGTCATCAAGGAAGCCGAGGGAAGGGTCGACGCCGACCAGGCCATTCTGAAGAAGCTGTCGGCGCTACCGGCACCTGGCGACGCAGTCATCGAGACACCAAGAACCTCGCCGGTATCGCCCAAGACTCCCTTCGGCATTCCTCTAGCAGATGATCCCGATCCGTTTGGCGTTCTCGCTTTAGAAATGGCGGGCTTGGAGATCAGGGAGGCCGGTACACGCCTTCGGCCTACGAGCAATCAGTTCGAGTTCCACCCTGCCCCCTCGAGCCCGGCCTTTTCAAGATTCCGCCAGAGCAGTGAGACGTTCACGACCAGGAGCAACCGAGGCAGTCTCATGTCAATCAAGACGAGCCGTACTAAAATGTCCGAGGCATGGACGCAAACAAACACGAACGACACGCCAGCCACGTCGCCGAGTCAAAGCCAGAACCAGAGCGAAGACGGTGCCTCTGTCAGCAGTCTTCCCGTTCTCAAGGAGCCGGAAGAGGTGGACTACACCAAGATTGACTTCACTCCTCTGAGGCAGATCAGCGGGAGAAACTCCATAGAAGGAACCGTCATGGCAGACCGCGACGATCATCTGCGAGCCGACGTGAGCACCATTGACGATGCGACCACCATGGCCTCCAGCGTTTACACCAAGGACGATGCTAGCGTAATCACCACCCACGATGACAACTACATAGAGTCCCAGAACGAGCAGCAAGACGGCGACGCCGACGATGAGGATGACGATGAAGTTGACGACGAGGACGACGATGACGACGACGACGACGACGAAGAACCCGTCATCTTCGAGATTGCCGCCGCGCAACCCGCCGCGCGCACAGCCGTCATGGCCGCCCCTATCCACGCCAAGGGCGCGCTGGTGACCATCCCCAAGAGGATCCCCCCACCCCTTCCCGCGAAAAGCCCAATGAGGAGCTCTCGCGCCAGCAAGAGTGACATTGGGGACGTCAGTCATCTTCAAAGCCCTCTTCAGTCCTCTTTCGCCCCTTCGCCCAGACAGTCCATCGACTCATCCTCCACTCGGAGCGGCTCGGACAGGATCCCATCGATCACGGAGACGGCACCCGATCTGTCCGACGATGAGGAGTTGGAGAAGACCAACTTCACACTCGGCGAGAAGACGCAGCAGGCAGATGTGCCTGTTTCCGAGACAGCAACCGCTCACGAGTCAGAACAAGCGACGCCTTTTGCACCTGGAGCCTTCCCAGATGATGGAGATTTCCTCACCCCTCTCGGCAGTCCGTTGAAGGAAGTCTCCAGCATTGAGTCGAGGCAGCATACCGCCCCGAAAGCAGTTGATGTCGCATGATACCATCATCTTATTTTTCCTTCATTTTTCTTATTTGTCTTTTTCCCTGCCGTCTTTCTTTTTGAGCAGAACAGGCGGCATAGCACCATTTGGACACAGTTTTCAGTCCTATTCCTCTCTTTTGAGACGTGTACCAGGCGTTTGACGGCTTCCATGATTGATCCTCGCTGAGGATACCGAGCAACCACTGCAAATAACGACCAATTTTATGACGGGCAAAAGGCGTTTACGGATGTACGGGACCAAAATGGCTGGCACAGGGGGGGGGGCATACCACATGAATATCAGTTACGGGTCGTACCAAAGGATCAGGGGGCGCACTTGCTGGCGGACGGGGCAATACTATTGTATAGAAACTAGGACACCGGTCGAGGCAGATTCCATGCTGCAACGACATCGTGGAGCTGGACTATGAGGGGCGACTCTCAGTCTCCGAGGTGACCTAGCAAGGATAGCTTGGCCATCTATGTATTGCTTAAAGATAATGATCAATCATTGAGAACAAACCCGAATGACCTCAACCCGGTTCGACCAACTTGATGACAAGCCGCACAGCACGCGGCTTAAGCAGCCTGCCCCGTTTCTTTGATTTGGTTTCCACCTTTGACTACTGCCTTGCAACTCCAGAGATTCTTCCAAACCATCTTCACATTGCCTTTCGGCATCACCGCACAATTCCTTCCCATCATGAAGGCCTGCAAGCTCATGAAGGTGGATTGTGCCTGCAATCACTGCAAGGCTCGGAGAAAGGATGATGCGAACATGGATGCACGGACCATATGGCAGCCTCTGGGAATGGCCAACTTTGGCATGGGCAGTGCCACCCCAGCTGCCAGCTGCGACTCCAATTCTTACGCGACCAGACTCAGACCGCGATCCTGCCCGCCATCTGCCCCAGTTACGCCCAAGAAGAAGACCCCAAGAAAATCCAAGAAATCTCCTCCCCAAAAAGGTGGCGCCGCGACTCCAGGGAACCAAGGCGCTCCCGTGTGTATCGACTCCAAGAAGACTTCCAGCGGCGCTCAGAAAGCTGCGCGCGCCGGCAACATGTCGACCCAAACGGGCAAGTTCCGCGAGGACCAGGTCCTCATCATCTGTCCCGGCAGCCAGACGACCATGGCCCAGCTGGGATGCGGCGAGCTGACCCCGCCCATCCACCGCATTCCAACGCGCATGTTCAAGGACGCCGAGACGGATGAGTGGCGGCCCTTCCATACATTCAAGCGCAAGAAGCCCAATGCCAACGGCGCGCTCGCCATCGATGGCCCGCGGGTCGATGAGGACGAGTACGAGTGGGTGGAGGACACGGACTCGACCGAGGGCGCCGTCTACCCGCTTCAAGGTACGATCGAGTGATTGCCGTCGTGTTCCTGGACGTCTGGTGTGCTAATTGATGTCTCGTCTCAAGGCGGTCGCATTGTCAATATGGAGGCCTTCCTTGCCTTCCTCGACCACGTCCACAGCATGCTCACGACCACGTACCACAACACCCCGATCATGCTCATGGCTTCGCCTCAATGGTGCCGCCCTGACATCGAGACCCTTGCGCGCTACATTTTCGAGAAGACCCGGACGCCCGCCCTCTGCATGATCCACAGTGGCATCGCTACCCAGTACGGCCTGAAGTGGCCCGCCCTCACGGTGGTGGACATTGGCTACGAGAAGGTCGACGTCACCTGCATACACGAGGGTCGTGTGGTAAATCATGGCGAACTTGGCGCGCCGAACCCGGAGCGCTTCATCTCCGGCGGAGAGATGTTCACGCGCAAGCTTCTCGAGAAGCTCAAGGACAAGGACTTCACGTACGACATGGCGGAGCAGCTGAAGAAGAGCCACATCTGCGAGGTCCTGCCCTATGTGCCCACCAGCCCGGACCTCATGGAGCTCCCGACGGACCAGACGGCCGGCATCGCCGCCGTCGCACCCATCCCCGATGCAGTCGCCGCCGCCCACGAACCCGCTGCGCGCTCTGGCCTACCCAGCAGCATCGAGGAAGAGCTAGAGGAGAAGGTGGCGGACGAGGGCGTCCTCGATGTTGCCGCCATCGTCACAACCGGAAACGCGCGTGAGTTCCTCGCCAAGAAGGAGAAGGAGAAGCAGAAGGGCGGCAGAAAGGCCAAGGCTGGGCAGGAGGTCGAGACTGCGAAGCAGGTCCGCTTGCCCAACTCGAAGCGGACCCACAACATATTCCACTTGGAAGAGGTTGTCATGGAGGAGGTTCAGCTTCCCAAGCCCGAGGAGGCCAAGCCCGAGGACAAGGAAGAGCCCAAAAAGGAGGGGTCCGGCAGCGCGGTCGAACCCAAGGACGTGGAGATGACGGACGGCCCTAAGCCCGCTGATGACGCCGCTCCCGCGCCCACCGACAGTGAGGTCAAGCCTGCAGAGACGTCGGCCCCCGCAGCACCCACAGACTCCACATTCCCTTCTGCAGCTCCGGAGACGAACGGAACGACTGCTCAGGCCGCCGCCAGCACCACTACCGCCAACGGCGCGCCCCAATCTCCTCAGTTGCAGGCCAAGCGCGTTCGCCGCGACATTGAGGTTGGCCCCGAACGCTTCACCTTCGCCGACCGCGGCGAGATCGACCGCATCGTGACCACCATCTACCGCACAGTTCAGGGCATCGAAGACATGTACATGCGCCCCGCATGTTGGGATAACCTCGTCTTCGTCGGCAACGGCTCGCGCCTGCGCGGCCTCAAGGACAACATCCTCCAGACCCTCATAGCCCGCCACCTCATCTCCCCCAGCACGGCCACCATGTTCACATCGGAGCTGCCCTCCAACATGGCCACGCCCACCGGCACCGGCGCGCAGACCCCCACGGGCTCCTTCACGGGCGTCCCGCTTCAGCTCCCGGTCAACGCCGCCGTCGGGGGCTCCTCCGGCGTCAACCCCCTCCTTCAAGCCGCTACGACGGCCTCGGCACAGAACCAGGGCACCCCCGGCCCCTCGGGAGGCGCCGATGCCGTCGGCAGCCACTCCGGCCACCACTTCCACAGCCAGACACCCACGAGCATCAAGCTGGCCACTTTGCCGACCTATTTGAGCGAGTGGAACAAGAACGGCTTCGAGGAGGCCATGTTCCTCGGGGCCCAGGTCGCCGCTCGCATCGCCTTCTGCCAGCACAACCTCGACATGGCCGGCCTCGAGGCCCAGCGCCAGGCCAGTCTGAGCAGAGTCGACTACAAGTGAGCCCCCCTTTTCCCCTTTTCTTTCAATCCGTGGCTCCCCAGAGTTTCGTTTGCTAACCAGTCATGACCTTGTAGCGAGCTCGGTCCTAAGGGCATCCGCACTCACTCCATGCTCAAATAGCCGCCTCACCAGCCAGCGAGAAATCCTCACACCCCCTTCCCCCTTTGGCAAGCAAAGCGACGGCGACAGGCATGGGTAAGGCGTGTTTCGGGGGAGGGTGAGGGGAACTTGACTTGACGCATTTGGGAGGGTTGGTGCTTGCATTTTTTCCGGGCCACCACCACCAGCAGCTCGCCATGGCCCCGTCTTATGAGCGCCTCATCCGCGTCGGAGGATTACGGCTGTTTCCTGTTTGTTTAGGTTTGGTTTTTTTTTTTTTTCATCACCGCGTTCTGGAGTTTTACGGACACATCAAAAAACCCTCGGAGTGTGAGGCGCGAAGAGGGTGAAGGGGGGGAAGGGACTATTTTTATGTTGGTTTTGTTGTTTATGGACCCGCCCCCCTCTCTTCTGCTTGTTCTCTCTAATGAAGAAGAGAGAGAGAGAGAGAGAGAGAGGTTTGGTAATCCAAGTTTTTGTCACCTCCCGACAGAGACACAAAGGGAGGAAGGAGAGAAAGTAGAGAAGACATACGAGAGAGACAGAGACAGAGAGAGAGAGAGAGAGAGGTGCGTCGACACTTGTTTAGGACTGAGTGGGTGACGAGTTCGGCAAACTTACTTTACTGTATGATACTCCCACAAGGACAGGTATAGAATCCTTCTGAATCAGGACCCAGCCGTGACGAGAGCGAGTCTAGGCGATTGACGTGGTGAATAGGTACGAAACATTTGGTCTTCATTTAACTATGCCGTCTAGGCGAGAACGCGAGACACAAAGAGCCATGCTTTCGCTTATGCAGATATATCGTGCAGCAGATGCGCCGTCAAACTCTAGAACACTTCCTCTCCCCATATCTCTCTCTCTCTCCGCCAGTCAAAACATCTTCGTTCTCTCGGTCTTGTCCGTTGCCCCTTTTCAGAATATCGCTCTTGTGGCGCCGCCCCTTGCAGGCCTCACCTATATCGGATCCTTCCTAGACGGCCGCGGGCGACCATGCACCCTGACAAACGGCACAGTCGACGCCCTAGCCGCTGAGCTCCCGCGCATATATATCGAAGCAGGAAGAGTGGGTATGGTTGCCGCACTTTCCGCAGCAAGCAGTCTGCGCTTCGCCAATGTCCTTGAAACAGACCGGGCAGCACTTGCCGTCCTTGGACTTTGGAACGCCATCCGACATGGAGGGGTCGGTGCTGACCTCGGCCGCAGTGAAGCGTACCTTGGGCGCGCGGTCAAGGAGCTTCATGAGCTCCTCGGTGAAGAGGGTCCTCTGCGGGAGAAGCTCGGCAGGGGCACGGAGAATATGTGCCAGGACGTCTACCGCTTTTCAGTGAGGTTGAAGGTGATGCAAGAGGGCGGGGTGTACTCACAAATGATGTGCTTGCAGTTGCTCTTGGGTCGGTACGTCTGGTAGAGGTCAATCAGTGACTGTGGCTTACAGATACTCTGGCTCTCACGCACAATGCTCGAGCAGTTGCAGAAAGTCTTGTTCCCAATAGTGACCTGGTAATTGTCTGAGCCCGATCCAGAATGAACGCCGACAGTCAATCCTGGCGAGCCGTCATAGTTGTCCTGCTGCTTGATGATGTACATCGACTCCTCCATGGCTTTCTTGGCAGCGCTGAGGTAATCCTTCTCATCTGGCCTGACCTAGAAGCGCATACTTCCTGTGACGCTCCTATTCTGAGAGATGGGACCGAAGACTTGGCGATCGGGTGCCTCTCTGCCAGCGACGATCTCAGGCTTGCAAGTCTTCCAGTTTCTCAGTCGCTCGATCAGATCCTTTTTCTTGCCACCATCGGGGATATCTCGCAAGCCAAGCTGCTCCTCAAGCATGGGGAGTGTGAGCTTGGTCAGATCAGCATTATCAGCCACAGGTCCAGTGTTCACGCCGAAAGTGCAAGGACCGAGCCGGGTCATACGCGGCACGTCCGGCGGGTACTGTAGGAACCTGGGCTTTCTCTGGGTCGTCGAGACGATCTGGCTCGAATCCTCCTCCTCGGGGCCATCTGGAGCATAGCCGGAGGAGGAGGACGGAGCAGACATCCCTGAAGGTGGAAGGCTGGGCATGTTGCGGGGGCTTGGCTTGGGTTGGGTTGGGGTCTACTCGGCGTTTGATCGTTGGCGACGAGACCTTATTCAAACTCTGTTCGAAAACAACAAGAAAGGGGTTGAGTTGTTATTCAGGAGGTTGAGATGTGTAGTGGAGGAAAGTTGGGCGAAGTCGCAGCCCCTTGATATCGCACCTTCTCTGCATATACTCGAGTGTTTTTCTAAAAGTACAGTGGCCTTCCACCACGGCAGTTGCGCTCTTCATCGGGAGACAAGCATGGAAAGGGTCACTTGACCTGGGGCAGGATCCAGTATAGCAGCACGTACACTCTACTAAGGAAGGGACAAGGACTCCCAGGCCTGATCAAGGACACTCAGAAGGGAAGTGCCAGTGGTCCCAGACTTCACATTGGTCGAAGTCGAAGGTCTGCTCGGTTAGCTTCGTGGTGGGCGCACTTGCGCCAATATTTCTCCATTGAGTAGTCTTACTGAGCTTATTGAAGTCCGGTATAAATGCATCCCATTGATACATCATCTCGGCCCCGTCGACGTGTCTCAGACCTGTTGCTCGCGATCGGTCTTAATGCGCGACCTCTTTCTTGCCAGTATATACCCTCTGTCACGGACTCAAGAAAGCCCAAAACACCCAGCCGGTATATCGAGTAGTAACTCCGCCCCCGTCAACCTTTTACGCGTAGTAAAAGGGGAAACGTCTCGCACAACGATGCCGATTGTATCTGTCGGCATTGAAGCTTTCCACATCTTGAGTATCCTCACTAAGAAAAAGGAGGCGACCGAGACACGGTTCCAGGGTTTGTTCGGTACTACTGTCCTAAAATGGTATTCTGAGGTCCAGCATCGGGGTTTTGATTGGCTTTCCTCGGGCGGACGCGAGTGAGTCAACCTTAGAATGACTCCACCCATAACCTTGCTTCAACTCCTTTCTTTCTTCCATTTGTCTTGAGTCTTGCTGCAAGTAACCAGAGCCAGCAAACCAACCCTTTTTTATCGGCGCATTACACTTTACCCTTCCTTCGGCCCATCATGACCAGGCGAAACATCAGCTCAGGGTCCGCCTTCGAGGCACAAATCGGCTACTCCCGCGCCGTAGTGTCGGACGATCTCATCTTTGTGTCGGGTACCACAGGGTCTGTCTCTCTCTGCGCTTTTGCCTGTCAACTCGACTCGTGTGGCTTTGCCTCCTAAAGCGACGTTATCCGAACAGTTACAATTACCAAACCGGCGTCATCTCCCCCGACGTCGCCGAACAGGCGGAGCAGACGATGCAGAACATCGCCGCCGCGCTCGCCGAGGCCGGCGCTCAGATCAAGGACGTCGTCCGCGTGCGCTACATCCTCCCGGACCGCAGAGACTTCCAGGAGACATGGCCCGTACTGCAAAAGTACTTCGGCGACGTGAGGCCAGCGGCCACCATGGTCCAGGCCGGATTAATGGAGGAGGCCATGAAGATTGAGATCGAAGTTACGGCCAAGAAGGCGAGCCCTAACCAGTAAGAACCTTTGCTGGGTGTAGGTCGTGGTGGAGGAGGGTGTCAGGGAAATGGGTAATCCCGAACTACTCCGCTGGCCCATGCCCGAGCACCGGAAGAGGAAATGAAGAAGAAAAAATATTTATAGTCTAGATGCATTGCCAAGATGTCTTCGTTCTGTCTTCATTCCTCAGATCATACCGCTCATTGACCGTAGGGGCTCCAAGTATGTACTCTGTACACAATGGCTGTCTTTCGGACAAGACTCCGCGGTGTCGGCTCTTTCCAACGAAGCACGTTTGTGGCGAAGCCAATCACTTGTCAGTCGGCATCTGTTCGACCATCCTCACAACCTCTAAAATGCAGCCACTGTTTTAGTGTTCCCCAAAGAAGCAGCTCCAATTCGTGTGGGCTTTGCGTGACCTCTCTCGTCAGAGTAATAGGTTCGGCGGCATGAGAGCCAACAATCGATCAATCAATGGCAGAGACCATGCCCCTCCAAGGAGAAGCCATGTCATCAGGTCTCTCTTGGGTATTCGGAACGATGAGGTCTTCCGACTGCGCCGTGCACGCCAGCGCTATGCAGTGCCAAACATCCCATCTCACTGGTAAACGAACGGGGCAACCAAGCCCCCGGCACCAAACATTGACATGGCGGTGACGAAGCTGGCCGTCGAGAACACCGCGACGCCGCTGAGTCCGTGTCCAGACGTGCAGCCCCCCGCGATCCTGGAGCCCAGCCCAATAAGGAATCCACCCGCGGCGGCCAGCGAAGGAGAGACGACCGATTCAGCAGCGCCGGACGCGAGTTCGGGGCACGCCTTGGCGAGGATCCACGCGCCGGCGACCAAGCCCGCAGAGAAGAGGATGCTGCTATACGACGCGGGCTTTCCCTCCTCCCGACCGCCACGGACGGCCCACCAGAAATATCGCCCAATCTCATCGTACGACGTCGATACTCCAAGCATCGACTTGCGGGTGAGCAGAGAGAAGAGCTGCGCGAGGCCAATCAGGGCACCGCCAACAACTGGCACGACGACGGCACGAGGGCTGGCAGGGGCGTACGTCAAGCATGCGTATATGACGCTGGCGTAGAGAGCCTCGAGCTCGACGAACGCGGCGGCCCTGCTGACGCCTACGAGCTCGTGGACGGCGAGTTTTGAGTCTTCGGGCTCCGCGGCACCGGCGTTGTTCGTGATGAGCCTCTGCAGGGAGCCCGTCCAGGCGATGCCGGCGAAGGCGGCCCCGGCCAGGGCGTAGATGCCGGATCTGGTACCGACGGCGATCTGGGCGAGGACGGTGCCCGGGCAGGAGCCCGAGAGGGCCATGCCGGCGCCGAGCATTGCCCCGCCGAGGATGTTGCCGTCGTACTGGGAGAAGAGGCCCAGACGCGAGGGGCTGCGGGGTTTGGGGCGGACGTAACCCACGTTGTCGAGAGTATAGATAACGAAGCTGGGAAAGCGGTGTTAGTCACGAGGCTTTCGAGGGCGGAGGGGGGGGGTTGGCTGCCGCGACGTACGTGCTGCTGGCGATAGCTGTGACGAAGGCCTGGACCATGTGCCAGTCCTCGAGCTTGAGCTGGGCAATAATGACGGAGGGCTGGTAGACGCCCGCCGCCACAAGCGAGGCACCAAATGCGGCGCCGGATAGGACGGTTGTTGCCATGATTTTGGTCACAAATCGAAATGTTCGGATGTGAAATGATTGTGTAGTTTCTGGGACGAACGGATGTGGCCCTCGAACTCGACTGTGAGTTATTTGTACGGGTTTCCGCACATCGGCGACGAGAAGAGAGATAATCCAGGTTAGTCGTCAAACGTGCGTGTGTCTCGCATGAACTTATAAGTCATACGGCCTTCCGGATTAGAAATCCCGAAGACAGCGGTCTGATAAAGGACAAGATGTCGGACTTGACCAATTTCCGTTGCTTAGTGAATCAAGCAGGAGGGGGCGTAACGAGAGATGGTAAAGTGGCTCTAGCAGCGGGGCGGCAGTCACTTGTCCCCATAGTCCAAAACTAGACCATTGAGTAACTGCGGAAACCCCTGCAAAGACGCACCCTCCGTTTGCTGCAGATCGTCCGCATCTGTATCATGCCCGAGCCATAGCCCTAAGGCAAGTTGGCTTGGTTCTTTGAAGGCGGTTTAGCATGTTGGGGCGCACGGAAGGTGGCGTTCACTTGTTCTTCTTCCGGGCGCCATGACGCCTTCTCTGAGCTCATCAACGACGTGGCGCGGACACGGTCCAGAAAACGATACGTAGAAAACTATAAAAGTTTGGTGGTAATGATAGCGAGCGAGCGTTGGAAGTCGTCTCTAGAATCGCCCGCGTGAAAGTGGGCCACACGGCAGATGAAGAAAGACATGGCTAAACTGTGCAAGCAGCATGGGTGGTGCATGATCTCGTTTGTGAGTTCGGCGTTTTGCAACCTTCGCACCAATAAACCAGAGAGCATGGGGCCATGGAAGGACCCACGGTTCCCATAGTGGCATGCCTCCAATATATGATATCCCAGGGATGTAGTCCCCGAAGACCGTGGGGAGGACGGCGACACTCGACAACAGACGGTCGCCGACCTCGGGTGTGTGGACGGTCGGGGTGCACGGGCGTCGCCGGGGACTGGGGGCTACTTTGCCAGGATGCCTCGTCTTGGAGAGATTGCATGTTACTGCTGGGCCTCTCAGGGACTTTCTCTGTGACCGGACTGCCGCATATTTGCCGGCTTATGACATCGCCGACGGCGTGGTCTCTATGAGATGCTGCGGAATGCTGGCTATACGATTCCCTTGTCCGGATTGACCGGTAACCTGCAGATTAGTATAAAAAGCACGCGAACAATCGTATCTCCATCTTACAAGAACAGTCAATTGCTCGCTGGACCATTCATAACATCCAATATGGCACAGGAACCTATCATCCACGACTTCTTTGAGCCGGTGACAGGCACGTGGCAGTACATCGTCGCGGATCCCTCCACCCAAGCCGCCGTGATCATTGACTCTGTTCTCGATTTTGACCCGGCGAAGAGCGCCGTCTCCACCAAGACGGCCGAAGGCCTTCTTGATGTCCTTCGAGAGAAGTGTTATAACGTGGTCGGTATTCTTGAGACGCACATCCACGCCGACCACCTGACGGCTTCCAAGTATCTGCAGTCCCGGCTGCGAGATGCGCAGAACGGCGTTGCTCCAGACATCTGCATAGGCAGACGCGTAGGAATCGTTCAGGCGAGGTTTGGTGAGAGATACGGGATTGCAAAGGATGAATACGTCAACGCCTTTGACCGGTTGCTCGACGACGACGAGGTCTTTGGAATCGGAGACCTCGAGGCCAGAGCTCTCCACCTGCCGGGCCATACCCCAGATCACATGGGATACATGATCGGATGCAAGTATTTCGCAAGGTTTACAAGACCTGCTTCAAGAAAAAAGGGCTGAACCCGCAACAGCAAACGTGTTCGTAGGCGACTCCCTCTTCAACCACGACGTCGGCTCCGCACGCTGCGACTTCCCGGGAGGCAGCGCCCGAGACATGTTCGCAACGACGCGGCGGCTGCTGAACATGCCGGAAGACACAAAGATGTGGACCGGACACGACTACCCGCCAGCCGGCCGTGGCCCTCTAGCGGCGACGAACGTTGCCAGGCAAAGGACCGAAAACAAGCACCTCGCCCGGAACGTGACAGAGGCCGAGTTTGTCAAGTGGCGCGAGGAGCGCGATTCTGGGCTCGGCGAGCCCAGGCTGATGCACTGGGCGCTGCAGGTCAATATAAGGGCAGGTAGTATGCCCAAGCCGAACAAGCATGGGGATCATCTGCTGCATGCACCTACCATCAGGATGCAGGGAGTGACTTGGTGAGAGAGAATTGAGATGCGTTCGGTTCACTAGAGTGTGGCAGGTCAGTGTTGGTGGAATGTATTGAAAGACGTCCAGGAACGAGCCCAAAGGCCGATATTGGCCACGGGTTTGCTGCCGCTGGAGTGGTAACGCTTTTGATGTTTTGGCGAAGCTACTGTGACATATGCGAATGTGCCGAGGTTCCGAGCCCCGCCATCGTCATGGAATGCGGGGCCCGGTCCCCGGCTGTGTGGAGGATGATGGACTGGAGGAGCCGGGGGGGTAGTTCCTTCCCCACACGATTATGCGGCCTCCGTCGGCATCGGCGTAGCTTTCCATATTATTGATCTTTAGCTGGGTGCCTAACTCTTGGTTTTCTAAGATCTGGTGGATTTCCTTGTTTGTGCCGATCTTCAACAGCTTGCTTGACTCACATATGCAGTCCTCGAGATAGCAGATATATAAGCGCTGAAACGATGCCTCATTCCATCACCGTCAAGCAGATTGAGGGGAAACCCGGCAAAGTTTACTACCCGTGAGTCGAAACCCCGTTCCTGATTGCTGAAGACAAGTTCGGAGGGGGCTTATAACTATCAGCCTCCAAATCAATGAAGTCTCTAAGCCATCACCGGGTCCAAAAGACGTCCTGGTCCGGCTGACCGCCGCGGCCCTCAATCACCGCGACCTCTTCATCCGGCGTCACCTCTACCCGGGCATCTCATTCGACCATCCATTTCTCGCCGACGGCTACGGTATTGTCGTCGAGGTTGGCAAGGACGCGAACAAGGACCTCCTGAACAAGGCCGTCCTCATCACGCCATGCCGCGGCTGGGCTTCCAGCCCCGACGGGCCCGAAGACATACGCAAGTTCAGTGTCATTGGGGCCACGAAGACATATCCCGACGGTACCGCGCAAGACTACCTCGCTCTTCCCGAGGCCGAGGTTGAGCTAGCCCCGGAGCATCTCACGCCCGCCGAGGGCGCGGCCCTTCCCCTCGTCGGACTGACTGCATGGCGCGCGTTGGTGACCAAGAGCGGGAACGCCGAGAAGGGCAGGAACATTCTTGTCACCGGCATCGGCGGCGGCGCGGCGCTCCAGGCTCTGCAGTTTGCAGTCGCGTTTGGCTGCAATGTCTACGTGACGTCGGGCGACGAAGCCAAGATCGAGAAGGCCAAGAAGCTCGGCGCCGCCGGGGGTGCGAACTACAAGAAGGACGGATGGGAAAAGAACCTCCAGGCTCAGCTGCCCGACTCGCGGCCGTACCTCGACGCCGTGATCGATGGTGCCGGCGGCGATATCGTCGCCAAGGCGGTCAAGCTGCTCAGGCCCGGCGGTGTCATCAGCCAGTACGGCATGACGGTGTCGCCGCAGATGGACTGGCTGATGCAGGCGGTGCTCAAGAACGTCGACCTCAAGGGAACGAGCATGGGGTCGCGGGAGGAGTTTAGAGACATGGTCGCCTTTGTGAGGGACAAGAAGATCAGGCCGGTCGTCAGCCGCACTGTCAATGGGTTGACAAATCTGAAGGGCATTGAGGGGCTCTTCAAGGACATGGAGGCCGGCAAGCAGTTTGGCAAACTCGTCATCGAGTTTGGGGAGACTCGGACTTCTCCCAAGTTGTGAGGAGCGGGGCTGCTTGATGTAGTAACCGATGACTCGGCTACAGTGATAGGGAGCCGTGTAACATGTTTCAATGTGAATAAAGAACACCTGCAGGTAACGTTGTCTTTTTGCGATGCTGGGTTCTTGGCTTCCTGGGAAAACGGGCGCCAAGGCTATTTCACCGGCTCTTCTGGCCACTGAGGGGATGGGGCAACACCGAGGTGAGAATGGAAACGAGTTTCTTCATTCCGTATGACCATTTTCTTGAGTCATCCTGCTCCCTGACCTAGCACGACCAAGCTATGTGGCTGTTTGTAGACAACTAAAAGGAAAATACATACATGTATATTGCGTCGAGTGACCGCAGGGGTAAGATATCTCTTTGTTGCCCAGGCGTTTTCGTTACTGTTCTCTATCTCCACCTCTTCGTATGTCCCGGTTCATCCCGTCGTAGCGGTAAACCTCGTGGGATTTAAGTGACTATAATACACACACGACTAGACAGCCTGACCTGGGCCGTTGCTTCATTTCGATCATACTGCCTGGCTCATGTCGTCTATGCTGTCGTGGCGCTTGCCCAAAGCTCACAATTCCCTGTCAACATCACCTCTACTACCTTTTATTCTACCCATAAAAGGAGTTCCTCCCACAGCCTCACCCATCGATATCGCCCTGATAACGAGCCCTTGCAAGATCAACCTCCCCAGAGAACGCCTTGTGGCCGATGTCTTCACCGAGACAATCTCCAACAATGTGGCACAAGGGAGTGGCCATCCTCTCGGCGGCTGCCTTGACGCTTCTCACGCGCGTTGACCTCGTAGCTGCCACTGGAGGCATCGTCAACGTCAAGCACGGCACTACACTCCCCGTGGAACCCCGTATACTCAACCTGCCCGCCAAACCCAAGCGTTCCATCGGTTCCCACCTCGAACCCAAGACCTTCCCCCATGACAACCCCTTCAACATCACTGAGGAGGAAGCCCGCAAGCACGGCCACAAGATCATCCCCGTCGAAAACGACCTCTGGGACGAGCTCGTCGAGAGCGCCGGCATCGACAGAGATTACCACAAGAACGCATCACTCTCGAAAAGGGCAGCATGTGGTAAGAACTGGGACGACGACTATGACCCGCCGAACCCGACCGACTGGTGCACTCCGATCAGGAACACCGGGGAGTGCATGCTGGGCCTCTGGGTGAACCGCTTGGTCCCCCACAGAGGCCCCAACCGCGGCTGGGTCTTTGACAACACTTGCGAATGGATCGGCGAGAACGTCCCCGCCGCCTATTACGACTGGCAAGAGATCTGCTCCAAGCTCAAGTACGTCACATTGTTCTTTATTAATCCGGATCGATGGCCTCACATGGCCTACGCCGGCCACTACTACAGCAGCTGGGACGCCGGCTGGGAGATTTACTATCCCCATGGGAAGGAGGGCACCCGGCACCCCCCAAGATACTACTACCGCCGCTACTTCAACTGCTCGGCCACTTAGGCAAGCGAACTGCTCTCCTGAGCGTCGCCATGGGTGGAGATGGGTTTGATTGAAGAAACACATGCAAGGCGGCCAGAAGCTGAATGTGCGGGTTTGGGTGGGTGGTTTACCTAGCCCGCCTAGTCAATACCAATGAACCCCTAGAGTCGAATGCATTTATTACACACCAGGGCTTGGAAAAGGTTTCCCATTAAAACGTGAAACTTCGCTTTTTTTGTTGTTGTTGTTGATGATATACAGTCCTCCGGGGCGGTGCAGTTTCCGCAGATCGCCAGTGTACATGCGAGAAGATTCCTGAACTCTCATGAATGGAAGGGTATCTTGGGTGAGCCGACACTTCACCTGTGTACGTGGCGACCCCCCATCTGCCTAGATGCGTGAGGCACCTACTCGAGTCTACAACACGCACACGCACACGCTCTCCTCCACGACGTCGTCTCGCACCACTACCGCTCCGGCCCGCGCCCCTTACTCGTCGTCGTTTTCGCCGTCGCTCTTCTTTCTCTTCTTTCTCTTGTGGCCGAGCTCTTCGGGCGGTACAAACTCCTTTTCCCTCTCGCGCAGCCTCTCCTCCTTCTTCTGCTTCTGCTGCTCCATTCGCTCGGCCTGGGCGGCCTTGGCCTTGGCCTCCTTGCCCAAGAAGTACTCGCCCGTCTCGATCTGCTTGTCGACCTTGCTCTTCTCGGGAGCGGGCGGGAATGGGGTGTAGACCTTCTTGCTCTTGTCGGTGACCTTGAGGGGCACGCGTCTCTGGCTAAGCGTCTTCTTCTTGAAGTTGGGCAGGAAACGGTCCCAGCTCTCGTTGGCGAGTTCCGGGTCCTTTGCGAGCTCGCGCTTGATCATGAGCTCCTTGATGTGGTAGATGGGGTGGATGTTGGCCATGCAGTCCTCGACGACGCGGCGCACCTCCTTCAGGCCCTTGAATGGCCCCATAACAGAGACCGTGCTGCCCTGGACGAGGATGTAGGTCTGGGTGAGCAGCTCGAGGGCCTTGAGGGTAGAGCCGTTGGGACCAAGAATACGCTGCCGGCGCTTGACGTAGCGCTCCTTGTTGCGCACCAGGTTGCGGATCTTGATGATGTCGCAAGCGACGCCGTCTTCGAGGATCTTGAGCGCCTGGGGCGCGGGGACGCTTCGAGCGAGGAGCTTGATGAGGTCACGGGCGTTGAGGATGGCAGCGGGGTCAAACGTTTTTCTGTAGCAGTGCCTATTAGTTTCTACCGAGTACTACTACGATACGAGGCCCGGGGCGTCGAATGGGCGATGAGGAGGGGATCCCGAGACTCACCTTGTTGTCTTGACGGTCATGGAGCCCTCAATCAAGTCGAGCGAGCAGGCAATGCCCGTCTTCTCGAGGGCCTTTGTGACGAGAGGCCATGCCTCCTTGAGGTAGACTTCGCGGTACTTGGGGAAGACGATCGCAAAGGACGACTCTTCGGCAAAGGTGCCGCCGGCGTTGTCGGCGGGGGTGAAGGCGTCGATCTTCCACTTGTCGATATCGTCCGTATCCCACGGCTTTTCCTTCTTGTATGTGGAGGGCATTGTGGCGGTCGTCGGGTGTTGGAAAGACGCAGGATCGGCTGCCGTCTCTGTTTACCAAGGAAAAAGAAGTGTAGGAAGCCTGGTGGTGTAGGTAGTGGCGCTGTTGGTCGAATCTTTTTTTCGGAGCTTATCGATATGGGTGGGGCTCCCCGACCCGGCCTGATACCAGGACCCCAGTTCATCGTTATTCTTGTCCTCATCGTCGCTCTTCGGCGTTCTCACATATAGTATAATAAGTGAGTGTGTATAGGCTTTGGAATTGAGCCTTCTGATGACATCGGCCGCGCTGTACAAGGTAACCTAACTCCTTTAGCAGCCAGCGGCTTTGGCGACTCTGCGACGTCGACATTTCAAATAGACATTGGCGCTAAATAAACTGATTTCGCGGCCAGATGCGGTAAGCCAGCAAGTCCTATACTACGTACGATGCTCCGATGCGGGAAGGGTCGGGAAAGTATCGCCACCTGCAATACCCAGGTAGGCAGGTACAGATAGATTCACAAATATCTGGACGGATACAAGGGGCATCTGACGCTGCCCCCCTTATGACGGTACGTTGCGACAGCGAAAACTCTTTTCAGTTTGTTGACCCAGCGCACAGCTGCTCGTGCTGTAAGGCTGACTTCAGTAGGCGGGCCAATCATGGCCCGCTTTCAGTTACGAGTTGCAGCGGGTGCCCCCCAGAACGACCACTAGACAGTCGCACTTGATAGGTCCGATCAAATCGACAGTTATCGCGTAGCAAATTGTTGACGATTAGGGGGGGATACGGGATTGAAATCGTCCATTCTCTCTCTCTCCTTTCACTCTTCCCAAGGACCACTCATTCCAATGTCTAAGACCTCATTGTAACTTCGCATCAAACTTTGAACTTTCGGCATCCGCATAACTCCACTGACATTGGAGGGACCGTACCTGCCTTGCGATCAAGTCGACACCTTCCTTGCCTACCAACCTACCTACCTAGTCGCGCCTTCTGCGTGCCTTGCCGCATCAATTTTTTTTTCTCTTCCTCACCAGTCAGTCCTCCCTCGTCCGTCCACCCACCGGCCTCCCCCGACTGCCCACTTCGTCTCCCGGAACCTCGCATTGGCCAAACATCAACACCGGACGGGTACCTCGAGCCAGCACGTGAATCTTCTCGCTGCGGAAAACTTGGACTTTACGCGACCGCCCACCCAAACACTACAAGGGCAGCACCTCGCCAGCTCACCCATCTTCCCACGAAAACCCGACTATCCTCCGCGACGAATCCGCCGCAACCGCCATCGTGGCCGTCATTCAAGATCCTGCGCCTGCTTCGGCCTTGGACAGACTCGCAGACCACGACCTACCCTCCTTCCGATCCGTCATGGAAGAAGCCACTGCCCTAGCCAACCTGGCGTTGCCACAGACCAACATCGAGCCCATCTCCCGACCTAGTTCGACCTCGACCTCCGAGTCCGCATCCGCGTCTTTGCCCCAGTTGCCGGGCATTTCGGCACTCGCTCAGGCCAATTCCGCGACCAGTTCGCCCCAGATGCGGTACGTTGATAAATGATGGAGGATTTGTTAGGCAGGCTCCGGTCACCCTTGATGCGTTCCCTATTCTCCCACCCCTCTGTTCCCTTTATGTTTTGCTTCTTCAACGTCGTACAAGCGAAAGGTGGTCCGTTGGCTGAAGCCGACTCGAGGTGTTGCTCAAACCGTCGCGCTTTCTTCGCCCGCGCAATCGTCACCTACGGAGCGGTCTTGATGGATGCACTTGCGCAGCATGCGCATCTCTCACCGGCGTTGTTACGCAATCCTAATGACTGCGCGCCAACTCGGCGTCTTTCTGTTATCACAAAAAAGAGTGGAGGGATAAGGACTGATATATGATCCACACAGAGAAGCGATTCCCGCGACTGCTCCCGCCGCATCCACACCGACACACGCTCCAGCGCCAGCGCCCGCTCCCGCGCCAGCGTCTGCGCCTGCCCCCGCGCCGACTCCGACGTACGCCTCTGGCGGAGGTTCCACCACGGTATGTCGGTTCCGTTCCTATCGTTCCCCTGGCGAGCCAATCCTAGGAACGCCTTAGAACACACCCCAAGCACACATGACAGTTGTAATTCCCCTTATCGCGCGAGCCTATTAGTGGCTGGTCTGCCTTCCGTTATCTCCAACCCTGTCGCCAGTGGGGAAAAGCGGGGCGAGAAGATAAGATTACGCTCGACCGGCGATTATCAGAATATTTCTTGCTTCCCTCATCAATCCCGCATCAATCCCGCACCACCAGCAGCATTCGCGCAAAGCCGTCAGCATTGTTTTTTGCGTTCCCCATACTATCAAACTGCTTCGCGGACCTCCAGAGGGGTTCCCTGTTATTCCCCTCATTCTTCTTTAACGGGTTCGGGACTTTTGTTTCGGAAGACATCACAATGATGGCCAGTGGCGCTAACGATCGCGACTCTACACAGCCAACATGTCAAAACTGCCAAACCTCGACTACGCCTTTATGGCGTCGCGATGAATACGGGACGGTTCTTTGCAATGCGTGTGGTCTGTTTCTGCGTCTCCACGGGCGCCCTAGACCGATTTCTCTTAAGACCGATGTCATCAAGTCTCGGAATCGCGTCAAGACGATGCGCCCCGGCATGGCCTCGAAGAAGAAGGTTTGTCATGCGCCTTCAGACCTCGCTTTCGGTGGCAGGTTGTAGTTAGCTAACGCAGCGTTCGAGAGCAGCAGCAGCATGGCCACAACTTCACCGGCGCGACCGACCCCAACGGCCTTGACCTACACGGGCAGAATCCTGGCTCCGCCCAACGACGACCCTCCCAGAAATCTACGAACGGCAACGCGGACGGCGAATCCCCTGTGTCTCGGACCGTAACCCCCTCTCTGTACAATCCCAGCCTCCCCGTATTCCAGGGCATGGACGACGCGCAGCTTCAGGCAGGCCTGCAAGGGTTCTCCGACAACCGTGCTGGCTCCCCCCTGAACGGTGACCGCCATCTCGACGTTCCCCAGACCCATGAACAGCTCATCGCGACCAACTCGGCCCTCAAGACCCGCGTGAGCGAGCTGGAGTTGATCAACGAACTCTTCCGTGGCCGGCTGAGCCAGATGGAACAAGACGAGGCAAGCGCAAGACGTGGGCAGGAAATCAGCGGCAAGGCCGAGGCTCAGTTGCGCATGCAGCTCGAGACGAGCAAGAAGCAGCTGGAAGAGAGCCACCGCAGAGAAAACAACCTCAAACGTCGTCTCGACGAGCTGGAGCTGGAGCTCAAGGAGGCCCTCGATATGTCAGACTCGGGTCGCGTAGCAAAGAAGCTCAAGGTGGAGATGGTCGGCGAATCCGAAGTCTCCACGCCTCAGTCCACCACATGATGCGTTGACGATAATCCGCAAGAATCGCGATATTACTTTGGCGGCCCGGATACTGGCTGCTCATGCGCTCATGACTCGAGGAACAAAAACCGCCTCGGGGCCCTTGTATCACCAACATCGGTCAATTTCCCCCTCCTTTCCCATTTCTGGACCGAGCATACGCGCATTCCATCGACTTTCCCCCTGAAAACACAAAAAGGACTTGACAAGTGTTGCAGACTTTATCACGTTTATACCTATAATGCTGCGTGTTTCCCTGGTTTTTTGCTTTCTCCCCATAGGCAGTCACGCCCATGTCGCGTCCTGGACCTTGCGAGGGACCTGGGCTATGGAAGGTTTGATTGTTAGAGGGACAGACAGGCGTTGCGGCCCCTCTTGGACTTGGACCCAAGAGGGAAGATGATCTTAATACAGGAGAGTAGAAAGGGGTCTGATGAGAGGTGGGGCCGGTGGTCATGACCACCGGCGATAACCACAAAAAAAAAACTATTGATGAGGATTTGAGGGACCGAAACCCTTTGCGATGGAGTACATAGGGCGCTGTTCGAGGGCAATCCCCCTTGGCATATGGGATACTCAAAAGTCTATTCATTTTCTTCTTCTTCGCAACCGAAAAACAAAGGCCTGAAGCCGTTGATGACAAGGATTTTGTGTTTCCGATTTCTGTGATTGCAGATGCTGAAGAACGGCCATATAATACTGCATTTCGGCCCTAGGCACGCCCCCTCCTTCTCTCTCTCGTTATCGACGCTCTCTGGGCGTTGGATCTTTGTCGGAGGGAACCAGCAACACATAGTTGACACGTGGGCCTTGAGTAGATACAGACCAACTAGATTGCTGCAACCCTCAACGGTCTCGGCATGCGCTTGTATGAATTGCCCTGCGAGGGCTGACAGTGGAAAAAAGAAAAAAGGAAGATCAAGGTTCCCAGCCTCGGTCCTATATATCAGCGCCCCCCTGTCGCCGACCGCCCCGCTCCGGCGCCGGGGTTAGGCAAGATACGAGAGACGGACGGCACCCGTACCCGGGAAGCTCCAGTGGGGACGACGGAGGGACCGCGGACGATTTGCTGTTGGAAGCCCACATTGCAGGCCGCTCCCACGAAAAGGTTACCTAGGTACCTAGGCACGGATGACTATCTATATCTCTCTCTAAGTTGGGGAAAAGATTAAATTAAAAACCAGCAGAACCGTGGGGGCCAGGCGTGTCGGCCGCGACAAGGGCAGATTGCTCCAATCCAACGCATACAAGTTCATGAACGGCAGGATAGGAACGCTGCCGGGGAGGGAACGGGGGAAGGGAGGGGTAGACAAGGATGCCCACCTCGGGTAGGATGCTGGAGAGAAAACCCGCTCTCCACTGCATGGGAGAAACCGTCGGCGCCCGTCCCCCCAGACGATGTTCTCTTATCGCACACGCGCGCGGGCGCGGGGTTTCGATACGGAGGTACGTATTTGGCGGTTCCTCTGGCGATCGCACGGGTACACGGTTGAGGACCCCTCACACGAAGAAGCAAAGAGAGGGGGGGAAAAAAGCATTGAGGCTCAACATGAACTAATTAGTTACTTTCACAACGGGATAGATAGTGTGCATATATAGCATGCGCCATGGCGGAACTTTATAGCGAGTGATCTTCTCAGCTCCCCCTCTCCCCTGGCTCTCGGACTATCTTCTCTTCTGCCCCCAAGGCCACAATCCCCGACTCTTCTTCATTCATCTCCCTAGCCGAACCCCATCGCCCTAGATAAGACAGGGATGGAGCGGTTTGGTCAGATGGGCAATGCAGAAATCTGATGTTCCTCGAGGTGCGTACGCGCACTGCATACGAAGGGAGAAGGAGGTGGGTACGGCGGATGGGATAGATAAGGCACTTTCTCATCAGCACCGTGAACGAGAAAAAAGAAAAGACTTTTTTTTTTCGTCCTATCGACGAGCAGACGACCAAGAGGTGGAAGTAAACAACCTCTGGTGTCTCACGTCCCACCTTGCAAAATTCCACATGGCAAAATGACCCAGACGACCGACCGTGTCTAATGAGGCACCGCCAGTGCTCAGTGCGCTTGCCAAGAAAACAACAACATTGGGATTGTCGATCGTGAGGCGTAGCAAAGTACACAACCCATATCCCCTCCCCCTCCTTCCCCAAAGGGGAAATCGAAAACGGAAGACTCTGCATCGTGGCGACTTTCTGGTGACGAGAGAGGCAAACTATCCCCAGCTGTCCCCCCCAGGAAAGAACGGTTTTCGCACTCCCTTTTTCTTCCCCTCGGAGGAGACGGACGAGAAGAGTGGGAAGACGGGGAAGGGGAATGCAGTGCGCCTCGTTCCGAAAGTTCGGGCAGGGGTGGGCCGGGCGACAGATTATCACGGATTCCAGTTCAGCTCACCGGAGATCTGTTTTCGTTCCTCCCTCACCAATGTTGCCAGTTAGGTAGGCAGGTAGGTACCAGGTAGGCAGATCCCAGGTACGTTCCCTATTTGCCTGTCTACCTAGGTATATTTCTCTGTCCGAGCTCGACAGGATGACGGGACACCTGGTCCTGTGAATTACTCCGCGATGGCGAAAAGCACACCATCCACACGGCTCACCAGTCTCCCGCAATCCCCCAACAGTCTCCCTGCGGTGATGGTAGTGGCGCTGGCGCTCCATGCTAAAAGGCGTGCAAAGGGTCTTCCTTCGCGCGGACGCGGCCCGTGTAATTAACGCCAGGGAGGATCCGCGGCGGGTAAAAGTTGGAAACCCATAACATGGGGAAACGGGCGGAGAAGGATGCTGGACGCCAGAGGTTCAACATAGGTATCGCTCTCGAATCGAAACCAACTCGACCCAATCGAATCCCATCACCGACGGGCGGAGGGGTTCTCCACGCCAACACTTTTCGCAGAGACATTCAAGTACCTTGCCTTGCTTTGCGAAAGGGTAGATAGAAGGAGGGGGAAGCGGGTGGAGGGGGAAGAAGACAAGGAAAAGAAAAAAACAAGAGGGCGAGCTGGTAGCTGCACTGGCACCCCTCTGGCGCGCTTTACGTTATTGTTCAGTTCCCCTTAGCCCTCCACACTTCCCCCTCGGCTCTCCTCCGCTCGCCGTGTCATTGGACAGTTGGGTTGGTCCGCCGTGCCCGAGCGGACGCTTTAGGCAAGTTACTTCTCACCTTTTGGGCCACGGCTCACGGAGGGAATCGGGGGAAGGCGAGGTGGTGGCACCCTTGGACATACAGGATACGAGAGAGAAAGAGAGAGATAGCGAGAGAGAGGAGAACAAGAACAAGAAGCTGTCATGTATATCCGTCCAGCATGGCGGCATGATCCCATATCAACCGCACACCCGCCCGCTCGTTCCTCCACCCACACGCACTGTTACTATCCGTAATCTTTTGCTTTTCAAAGATTGTTTCTCTCACCCGCCGCCCCCCTTCCCACCAGTTCCTACTTGCCTGTTTATCTGTTTGCTAGTTTGCCAGTGTTTGTGTATGTAGTGTGTCTGCTGTGCGTGCGTGCGTGTGGAACATTACAGCTTACAGATCTGGTCTGACTGACACCAGGGAGGAACGTCCGTGTCTATCCCTCTTGGGTTGCCCTCCAAAGACATTCCAGACTGGTTCAGCTACATACCTCCTCCCACGCTCGCCCATACCTTCCTATCTCCACACGCGGTCTTTACCCTCACCTCCTTCTTGTGTTGACAAGACAGCAAAAGGCGCCCATCTCGTTTCGGTTTCCGCCCTTTCCTCCGAGCAGCTCCCGATCCCTCATTTACATCGCACCATGTCGAGGACCGGAGCCAGTTAATCGTCCGCATCCCTCTCTCCCCAGAGCGGCGCATTCCCTTTCGTTCAATACCAGCAAAAGAGACTCACCTTCTCTAAACCGGCCCATCGTCATAACCGCATTTTGGAACCGCTGCAACGATATCGGAACCAAAGATGCTTCAGTTGTCGACGCTGCAGAGCCGGGCCGGCTACAGCCCCCTCGTTCCCTCTCCTCTAAATCCGCAAGTCCACGCCATCGCGCCGCAGCGGTACCAGAGACTGCGTGAAAAGAGACGCCAGCAGAGCCGTGGGGACGTGAGCCCGACCCAGAGGCTGCTCCGTCACAAGGCCGCCATGGCCTGGAAGTCGGAGGCTCTGACGCGCGAGAGCACAATATACACCCGCGAGGAAATCCTCGACATCATCGCCGAGTGCGACCGTCAAGACGCCGCAGCGAGGGGGAACGCTCCCCCCACCACCACCGCCACCTCCGACGATAACAACAACAAAAACAAGCAGGCAGAGAAGCAGCATCCCCAAGTACACATCCGCGCTGCACATTGGAAGGAGCACGACGGTGAAGAGTATGACTTCTTCTGCGAGGCCGACGAGTTCGATGCCGGCGATGCAGACGAGGGCTCACTGCAGTGGTCATCATTCGTTCCCAGGCCATTCTCCAAAGATACGGCACGCCGCGTTGTGTTGGCATTCGGACTAATGTGTATCTGCGGGTGTCTGCCGGTGCTTCGAGCCAACGGCTTCCACATCTACCCGGCCACTGAGACGCCATAGAGGTGCCTGCAAAACCGCCAGTCTCTCCGTCTATCTTTTTTCAACTAATCGAACAAACCCACGATTTCGCCATTCATTAATCGGAGCGGGGAATCTTTCTGGCAGTAACCCCTCCCCCCCCCCCCCCCCCCCCCCAAAAGAAGGGGGGAAAGAGAGGAGTCTATTCGGAGCGGCTCTCGATCGTCGCCCATATATCATGTCGAACAAGTTCTCATCTGTAGAGCAAATATTACAAACCGTCTTAGCGGTTCTGGGAAGCCTCGGCGAAGCGAGGCTATCTTTTCTCGTTATCGGACGGAGCAGCGGGGTTTCTTTTGTCTTTCGGGGGTTCGGCGTTGACTTGCTTCGCGGCTTGCTTGGCGGCATCGTCCGTAACTTCTTCTTGATCGGCCTGCTTGGCATGGTTCACCTGCCAAATAGCCCGTTCGATCTCGACGGCCAACTCGGGCACGTCCAGCACTTTGGCGATACGCTGGCCATTGGCCTGTGAAAGCAGGATCGCCTCATCCTCTGCGTTTTCCGTGTTTCCCTGCAGAGGTTTGCTTTGGCCCAGAGCTGGTTCCGACGGCGTCTGGGTCATGTTTTTGGGGATCAACGGCGTATAAATGTCGTCCAGCAGCTTCGATGGGGACAGGGCCAGGAGTTTGTTATCAACGAGGAATCGAAGGTGCTTGCCTCCCTCGAGAGCGCGCCAATGCGACCAAGCTCTATAGGCTAGGTAGAAGAAGGGCAGGTTAGGAATCCTAGCGGAGCGTAATGTCAGCAAAAAGTTCCTTTTAATGAAGAAAAAGTCCCTATCACTTACACCGGTACGAGCGCGAAGGGCGCCGATATGGGCATGCCAATCAAGCACCATATAAGCTTCTTCTTGTGCAGCGCATCCCGTTCCGTCGCCAGTGTCCTAACGACCTGCTCCGCCTTCCCCGTGGGGATCACCTTGTCCGGGAAGACCAGCTCAATCTTCTCGTTGCCCTTGAGCTCGTCGTCCTTGCGACGCGCCGAGATGGGCGGGACCGACTTCAGGCCCCATTCCTCGTAGGGGATCCGACGGAGGGCGTAATTGCCGTAGTTGACGACCTTCTTCTGCCAGCCGCTCTCCCTGGCTTCCCAGCCGGCCCACAGCTTTGCGGCCTTCTTGCCAACCTTGTCCGCCAAGCCTTGCTGGCTGTTAGTCGCAACGTTGAGGCGCTGCGCGTAGAGCAGAGTCCGGCTCGTGGTGAGCGGGAGTAGGTAGAGACGCATAGTGGACACCACGGCACAGCCCGAGTGATGATGAAATGGTAGAAAAGAGAAACAGAGAGGAGCGGTCAGTTGTCGGCAGCGGCCGTCCGGTCGGTTGGTCGAGGAGATGCGACGGTTGAGCCCCGCGGTGATTGCGATAGGACGCAGTGGGGGAGGGTGGGGGGAGTGTGCGTTTTGGCTCACGGTCAGAGTAATTCAACTCGTCGCGACTCGCATGACGGTGTTCTATGTATACTTGGTCGAGTGAGGGGAGGGGGCGATAAGTCGTGGGGAAGCGACACGATGCTGGGCGGCCTCACGGTCCTTGTCCTTTAGCAGGAGGCAATTTTGACGTGTGTCGTGGAGTCTGCGTTTGGAAGCTCTGAGCCTCCCGGCCCTTTGCTAGCACGCCAAACCAGCCCCCCTGTCGTGCATCTTAGCTTCTGGGTCAAGCTTCCTGGATTGAGCCTGGGACCACAAGCGGCAGTGACGCAGGCGGGCGTCATAGGCTGTTGTCGCGTTTTAAGTGGTGTACTAGGTTCGCTTCGCGGTCCATTGTTAGGACGATACCTGGAGGGATGCCCCTCAGAGCTTAAGAATGGTCGCGTTGCGACAAGTTGGGGATCCCCCAGTCAGGCTACGCAATAGGGGAAGAAATGGCGAGCCAGGGGAGGCTTTAACTGTCCCAAAGCGTGTGATCGGGTCCACAGGACGTGTGCTCCTCTACCTTGTCTATGGGGGTTTTTCTTTTCCACATCTTTTTTTCTCCCCGGCGGGTCTCAACCTGCGCTTGCGCAAATTGGCCCTCAGAACTCGCTTAAAAAACAGGTGGTACATTTCCTTCCCTCGCATCGTACGGAGTATGTTGGTACCTACCTAGATACCTAGGTAGGTAGCAGTGGGTACTCGACGTCTGATGTATCCGTCCACGGCCCACAGGGTTGCTCCAGTGCTGCCGCATTCTGCCGCCCAGGGCACGCTCCATTGGATATCCTTCCTTCCTCTCGTTCCGCAGCTCTCCCTCGCTTAGTCTTCTTCTTTACCAGCTGCCTGTCCGTGTTGCGCTGCGACGGGTGCTGCAGTCTTTCTGCAAGGTTTCCCGGTTTGCTAGAACGCCCGGGCTAAAGGTGCCGTCACCGATTCAACTGTGGGACAGTCGGAGTGTCGTATCGATCGTCTTCTCCATCTGTCTATCTCTCTCTCGCGTCTTCGTTGTGTATGTGTATTCATAGCAGCTGGACGACGCCAACGACGTTCACACGACGGAGCCAAGGAATAGACGACCAGCCAGCAGCGCTAGCTCAGTCCATCTCCACGAGACACACACACGCACATCCAACACAGCCGCCGCCGCCTCTGCCTCCGCCGCCGTTGAGAGGGCACCCAACGATTGCTGACCATCTCCCGTCACGCGCGCCCACCTCCCTGGCCCTTACTGTCACCTTTCCTTTGCATCATCCTGCTTTTGTAGTTCTCCCTTGCTTTCCAGACCAAAACCCGGCCTTCTTTCGCTTCTCT